GGACTGGCCATAACGTACGAACGTGCCAGAATGCTACGGAAGGGTCTAATGTATCAAACTAAATGTAATTATTGTAGGTACTTCATTTTATGGTGGTTTGGTTGAAGATTATATACGTGTTGCAGTAGAAAGTGGCTCACTCGGTGGTGTGGCGCACTCGGTGGTGGATTACGTTATCGCTTCCCTCATATCGAAGATTGAGAAAGTAGCTCGACTCCATCTTTGTACAAGTTGGGTCCATTTCTCGGATCGATTTGGTAGTCTGCTCTCTCAGGTCGTCAAACGTGGATCGTACAGTGGACTGTATTGGGGAGGCAAGGATCTCCGCGCAGGGCTTCCTCTCCTCTTGAACCGTGTCCGCCAGCGCCATACCATACGCAGACAAAACGGACGAGTATTTGTGTATTGCAACCCTATTGATACCGAGCGTTCGGGCGATGTCGCAAGCATGCTGACCACCAGCGCCCCCAAACGCGGCAAGAATGTGGTCCGAAGCAGCGTGGCCCTTGGCTTCTGTCAAGGCACGTATGGGTCGGCACATGGTCTCGTTCGCAACGGTGATGAAGCCGCTAGCTACCTCATGGACGCTGAGCGTGGTGCCTTCGTCCCGGTTGATCTCTTCAGCCAAGGCGCTTAGCTTGTCATATGAGGCATGGTAATCGAGCGGTTGATCTTGAGATGGCCCGAAAATTGAAGGAAAGCGATCCGGAAGTATCCGACCGAGCACCAGATTAGCATCCGTTATCGTTGCCGGACCACCTTTGCGGTAACATGCCGGACCGGGATGCGAGCCTGCACTTGCAGGCCCAACCGCCAGAATCCCTTTCTGCCAGGATAGAATGCTGCCGCCGCCGGCGGCAACAGTGTTGATATCCAGCTGCGGGACTTGTACAGACACTCCCGCCGTGGTGGACTCAAATACATGTTCCAGGGATCCAGAAAACCGGGAGACGTCTGTCGAGGTACCCCCCATGTCGAATCCTACCACTGCCCTTGGCTTTTCGGGCAGGAAGCACGTTCGTGCGTACCCAATGACTCCGCCCGCTGGACCTGACAGAAGTGCTCGAAGGCCTGAAAGCTTAGATGGGTGTACCAAGCCGCCGTCGGACTGCATGATCCTCCAGTTCACGTCTCGGAGGCTGTCTGTATCAACTCCAGCTCTGAAGCCTTGAAGATACTTCTGTATCTCCGGGGTCAGATACGCGTCAGTTACGGCTGAGTTTGCTCGAGACAGCATCCTGATGGCCGGTGAAAGTTCGCTGGAAACCGAGATTTGCGTGAAACCAATCTTCTTGGCCTCTTCCGCTATGGCCAGTTCATGGTCCGGAAAAGTGTATGAGTGCAGCAAGCATATTGCCACACTGCGGAAACCCTCAGCGAACGTCTCCCCCAGCGCTTCCTTGGTAAATTCTAGGTCGAGCTTCTCAACGATGCGAATTCTCTCGCCAGAAAGACCAGTGACTACTTCATCGCAAGCCTCCTGTGAGGAGCCATTCGCCGCCCTTTGTGGTGGATGACCTGGCGGGACTAGCTGGATATCGTCCTTATCCCCCCTCCTGTAGGACGTCGAATCGTGCAACGTCACACGTTCAGGAACCTCAACAACTTTCGAGTAAAGAAGCTCGGGCCTTTTCACATCTAGCGCGAACATGTGCGGACGAGATTGGTTTCCGATCTTGAGAAGATCCTGCCCATTTTTATCTCAGGGCCAGGTCTCTCGCCGGAAAGGACAAGTTCACTCACCCGAAATCCCCGCGTGATGAAAAGGGCAGTGCGGGCACCTTGCCTCTCGAGTAATGCATTCGTTGCCACCGTGGTTCCCATGCGCAGAGATGCTGGATGTGAATGAGTAATGAGCAACAAAACGAGTAAAGTGACAAACCTATGCAGCTCATATTTAGGGGTACTCCTCGTGGAACAAGAGTTCCGGTAGCATGCGCGACAATGCGTCGCAAGGCTTCGATCGGAGCATCGTCGTAGTTTGTTGGATCTTTTGACAAGAGCTTAAAGACCCATTCAGATCCATCCGCGTAAATGACGACAACATCTGTGAAAGTGCCGCCACGGTCTGATGGAGTTGTGTTAGAGATGGATCGTAATTGGCACCCGACCTTTACACCTAGCCTACCTATCGATACCTTGATATCACCCCTTGCTGTAGGTCTAAGTGAGCCCATATTGAGATCTGGGGCAATTTTGCTCTTGGTATGTGAGTGGTTGGGTTTTCTTGAGTCACTAACTTCCTACTCCAGAGCCCGCACACTTCAATGTTGTATGGCGACTTCATATGCTTGCGTCCTCTATGGGGCAAACATGAAGATTGTTCTGTATCAAGGAAAGGCGACCATGGACGCCGGACACGGGCTCCGAAACCCCCGCCGGATGCGTTCCCCGGCCTCGGAGAGCCCCCGGTGGAATCTGACCCCTGGGACACCTTCGGAGGTCATGCCCGGAGCAACGCAGTGCTCTTATTATCCGCCAAAGCCTCCACCGAGGTCAAGACCCGTGTGTTATCACACTGCGCGTTGAGTTACTTCTGGAGCAGTATTCACCAGTGCATTTCAGTACATGATTGACTCTGTTCAGTCGCGTCAAATGCTGTGTTGAGGGCTCAGCATTGCAGGACCCAGGCTCCTTGGTTTTTACACAATCCCATTGCTGGAGCTGCGATAGCTTTCAGACCTCCTCGCAGCCCAGTACCAAGGGGCGTCCTCCACCTGGTATTGAGCAGCGTCCACCGCCGCGATGGGCTTCGCATTCAATGTCCGCAAAGACAATGTCACCCCTCCAGAAGTGTTCAATTGGAGACTGTTCTGGGTGATATTTGTCGCAGCGGCCGGTTCTGTCATTTTTGGTTATGATCTGGCCTTCATCGGTGGCGTGTTTTCTCTCCCGTCTTTTATCAGGCGCTTCGAGCTCCGTGGCCAAGATGCTGGTGCCATTCAAGCTCACATGGTCAACACCTGTAAGAGTGCTGCGAACACTGCTCCCTCAGTTGCGGCCGCTAACGCTTCTCGATCTGTACGCAGTCCAAGGAGGCGCGTTTTTCGGCGTCATGATGTTCTACTACTTCAACGAGCGGTTCGGTCGACGAGTGGCCTTGATTGCAGCCGGCTGGGTCTTCAACATAGGCGTGGTGATGCAGATGGCTTGTGGCGGCAACATACCTGTGTTCTACATTGGAAGATTTGTCAGTGGGCTTGGAATTGGCGGCACGACCTTTGTCATTCCTCAATTCCTTTCAGAGTCTGCCCCGGCGGTCGCCAGAGGTGGCATAGTTGGATGCGTGAGGCTCCCGTGACGATTCCCGGCAACCGCTTCACTGACTCGTTGCATCAGTTCGAGATTGGAGTTCAGGTTGGGACAATAACTGGGTTTTGGATCAACTACGGTGTGGAGCGACAGGTCAGTTATTCTAGACCCAAGTTGCACTTATTCAACGGAATTGCTCACCGAATTTTAACAGGTTTCGCCAGTGGGAGATCGTCAGTGGTTTATCCCAATCGCCTTCCAATTTATTCCAGCCTCGCTACTCATCATTGGCCTACTATTCCTTCCTGAATCTCCTCGGTGGTACTACGCTCGCGGCCGCCGAGCGGAAGCTGAGAAGTCTCTCACCTGGCTGCGAAATCTCTCTGTGGAGCATCCCTACGTTGCAGAAGAGCTCGCGGACTATGAGAGGCAGATGGAACACGAGCTGCTGATCACCTCAGCCTCTGGTTTCCGTGCGGTGGTGTCGGAAACCTTCAACAAGAAGATGATCCCGCGGCTCATTCATGGCTGCCTCTTGATGATCTTCCAGAACAGCACAGGAATCAACGCCATGAACAACTTTTCTGTCACCTTTTTCCAGACGCTGGGCTTTCATGGCTCGGTAAGTATATCGTCCGCATGACATCCTGGTCCAGAACTGACGGATTCGTAGTCGGCCAAGTTGCTTTCCACCGGCATCTATGGTCTCGTCAAGGGCGCCGCCGCAGTCATCACGTTCTTGTTCTTGGTCGATCGATTTGGAAGACGCATGCTCGTCTTCGTAGGGTCAGCCATGTGTGCATTCTCGATGTACTACGTGGCTGCCTTTACTTCGATTACGGACTCTTTCCATACCACTCGAGAACCAAATGGAGCAAGCCATTCGGCTGCCGCTTTTATCTACATCTTTGGCGCCGGCTACGTAAGTTCCGTCTTCTTTTCACGTCGAGTCAACCTCAAAACTCCTTGCTCCTCTCGGACACTCATTGACGATTGTATTTAGGCCATCGGCTGGAACCTGCCATGGATCATTGCGTCTGAGATCTTCCCAACTCGCATCCGGTCTTTCTGTTTGGTCATGACAACGTGCTCTCACTGGCTTGGAGAGTTTTATGTGTCGTACGCAGTGACGTACATGTTCAAGAGCATAACATACGGGACATTCCTCTTCTTCGGAACCATGTCCGTCTTGGGAGCTGTCTACATGTACATCTTTGTTCCGGAAACAAGCGGTGTGGCGTTGGAGGACATGGACATCTTGTTTGAATCCAAGGGACTTGCAAAGCAGCAGATGACGGCATACCAGTCGTACCTGGAATCTCGGGAGGAGATCCGAGGGATCAAGACGGGCGGAAGCGTTGACTTGGCGGATGAGAATGTTGAAGCGTCAAAGCATGCTAGATAAGCTAGTTAGAAAAGCAAAACTCGGGGTTGCTGAAATTATAAGTTACGTGACAGGCTCAGACAGTGGCGTGGTTTTGTAGGAAATGGAAATGTGTATCCCTTGAGTGCCCTGCAATCTCCAAGGTTTCAGGTCGTGACCGCGCAATTGCTCGAATCCTCTTGCCATTAAGCCCTGTCTCGGCTCTATGCCTTGCGAGCAAGAATGCACTACTCACCGCCGGCCGGCAAGCTTCTAGGGCATACGCCGAATCCCTCCTCCACGGCATGGAGCGCGAAGTTCAATTGCGTCGTGGTTGGATGGGATCTCGGGACCAGCTACCAATGGCTGGCCTCGGCGTCCAACACCGGAGTTGGGGCCTTCAGCACTACCTCGGAAGCCAACACCGTGGCTGTGTCTGGTGGCATCCAACAGCCAGACGCTGTTGGGACCACGGTGAACTTGGGGGCGTAGTAATTACAGGAGGCGACACGTTACCGCATAACAGTATTGGCAGTGTTACAGTATCAGGCGAGATTCCAGCCCAACTCTCACCGAAAAGTCCCAAGTTGCGGCCAAAGAGTGTCTGTTCGGTAATCGGGGTTTGGGTCAATTCGTGAGCTTTGCCTGAGAGCCAACGGGCTGGGGAATGTTGTTCTGGCCTGTGACTTGTGTGACAGATTGAGACACGAGCAGCTACCAATCATACGATCGCCGTCATTGACGAATCACAAGGCACGTCAAATTGTTGTTCAAATGACACTCGATTTGAGAGGGGAAGGTGGCCTATAGATATCCGCCCAGAAGCTTCGTTCCTCAAGGCACTATCCCGGTGCGCACCCAGGGATCCGGGTTCGAAAGCCTAACAGTTGACTCTACAGACACAACACCTCATTCCTAGCTACTTCGAAGTTTCGCGCTGCATCTCGAACCATCTTGGATAGCACAGTCGGCAATGGTCCTCTCCAGAGAGAGGATGTCGTGCTCGACAACCCCACCTCCATTCGGGGTTTACGCACCCGTGGTGTGCTTCTTTACAGAAGATGAGGAAATAGACTTCCCGAGCGTCACTCATCACGTACAAAGGCTTCTATCATCCGGAGTTCGTGGCCTTGTTCTCCACGGAAGCAATGGCGAGGCAACGCACCTCTCGCAGGAGGAGCGGCTTGAGGTAATTCGACACGTCCGGACCTTGATCAAGGAATCCGGAAGCAGCGCAGTGATCATCAGCGGGTGTAGCGCAAACAGTGTCCGTGAGACTAGAAAGCTCATTGAGGATGCTCAAAAAGCTGGGGCAGACTACGCCCTCGTTCTTCCGCCGAGCTACTGGGTGGCGGCAATGACCAAGCCTGTGCTCAAGGACTTCTACCTGGAGGTAAGATGCCTAGGCTCATAGTCCCGCATCCAGGTTCTTACTTGCCATTCTAGGTAGCAAACTCCTCGGCGTTGCCCATCATGATCTACAACTTCCCCGGAGTCACTGGCGGTATCGATCTCGACTCAGACATGATCACCGACTTGGCTAGGGAGCGACCGGAAATTGTCGGCGTGAAACTCACTTGCGGCAACCTCGGAAAGCTACAAAGAATATCCGCAACTCTGCCGAGCGCTGAATTTGCCGCGTTTGCCGGCAAGGCCGACTTTATGCTCCCAGGTCTGGTCGCCGGATCGAACGGGGTCATCTCGGCGCTGGCGAACGTTGTGCCAAGGGCTCATGTCGAGCTCGCGAAGCTTTATCAGGCCGGAGAACTGAAAGAAGCCATCTCGCTTCAAAATGGGCTTGCAATGGCAGACTGGGAGCTGTCAAAGTTTGGGATATCCGGTGTGAAAATGGCATGTCAATCTGGATTTGGCTACGGAACGGGAAACGCCCGGAAGCCACTGCCCACTATCAACACTGAGAACTTTGCGCTGTGCCAACATAGTGCGCTGGAGGGTATGATTGCAGTAGAGAAGCAGCTGGCATGTGGGATGAAGTCGGCAAATTGAGGCACTGGAGGAATGAGGGGCAATCGTTGCTCAATTATACCAAGTCGGTACAGTACTCGTTGACAATGTGGCGGCCAAACTCCGCAAAATCCCCCATCCCCTCGCCGGTGAACTGCCACTGCGGGTTCCCATAAAGATTCTGGTAGAAGCTTGGAGCACCTGCCGCAGCATCTCCGTCCTGAAGTACTACCTCTTCCACCAACATTGGCGCCCACAGATGATTCATGTGTTCTCGTATGTCCAGATCCGCCAGGATGGATTGAGTGCCATTTTGACTAATCTCGAGAGAAGGACTCTCGAGACCAGACATGAGTTGCTCGCGCAAGGACGTTCGGCGTTGCTGTTGCGCGTGTGGTAGTATCAATGGGTTTCTGGGGTTTGTCGTCTGATGAGTACTGGGACTGTTACGCATACCATTCTCTGAACGGGGGCTCTGAGGTGCACTTTGTGTGAGAGTGGCGGATCGCGTGATGTTGAGGCGAGCACACAGTTGAACCCAGGTTCTCCGAATGTCATCCAACGATTGCTGAGCGAATTTGTTGCCGTGGCTGGCGACGTGTTCCATCAGGCTCAGCGCTTCTCCTAGACCTGGTGTGGGCTTGATCTTTTGATCATCCGGACACACCGAGTCCAACACCTCGGTAAGTATCATAATGAATGAAACAGATGACATGCCGTCAAGGTCAAAGAACCCAAACAGCGCTACGAGTGGAGCCCACATTAGCTGAGGCTCACTAACTGCAGCCTTGAAAAGGTACTTACTGATGAACTTGTGTTGACGTAGAATCATGAGCACTTCCAAGAGTCTTCTTGCAGCTTCCGTACAAGTTCTGCATAGCTTTCCTAGGGGAGACAAATACAACGTCTCAGAGTGCGATGCCTTTCCACTCAAGATCAGCTGAGCCATGTGAAGCATAACAGGCCTGATGGTGAGCAGGAGGGCCTGGATCAGTACTTTGTCAGTACAGAACGATGTTGTATGGATTGGATAAGCTCTCACATGGTAGAATATGAGGTGAAGCGCAGCTGAGGTTCTCAGAGATACGTCGTGGCCAAGCATTGGAAACCCAGTTGCCAACTCCACCGGGATCTCATCGGAGATGTCGTAAAGGTTTTTGACAATCTCTTGAACTCTGGAGACAAATGTTGCTTCCTCTTGAAGAACAGAGCCGTAAAGGACTTGAGTCGTCCATTAATCAGCGCGGAACAGAGCAGCCAGCACGCAGCACGTTACCTGTGATGATCAGGCCGTAGACGCGAGCCAGCTTTATGCTGGTTCTCATGGGTGCCGCCGGAGTGAAGCCTATGCAATCCGTGGGAAGGTCCTGTTCTATAACACTGTCGCTGATTCCGGACGGATGGCCAGTGGCTGCGGCCAATCGTCTATCCTAATCAGCTCTAGATCTCGATGTGAGTGATGGCGCAGTTTCCCCACCTCTCCTGAAGATAGACGGACCACCATAGGCGATTGATGTGGTTAACTTCGGATTGGAGCAGTCGAGACTTTGGAGACTTTTTGTGGAATCCATGCGAAATTGCCAGTCGCAAGGCGGTGCTAATCTGCATGGAAGACGAGGCGTCAGTGATAGATACATGCTCAAGGCAAAAGGATCGACAGACATAGACGTAGGCTTCCTCCTTGCGATTGATGTTCACAAGATACACCGCGACCAGCGCCAGAACCTCAACTCCGGATCGACCGAAAGAGTACAGCTGGCTCAGAGAAGGCATACGATTGCAGACATGGCTGAACAGCGAGTAGCCGGGGAAGTTGTCAGTGGCATGCGCACCACTACCAAAGTCTCCCTTGAAGAGCCTTGCATTGGCACAGATGAGAAGAATCTCGAGCGTCCACAAGCTTTCAGTGACTGCTGGGTCCTCTTTGTTGGCAAACAGCAGCCCGATCTTGTCGGAAATCTCGCGCACATCGACATGATTCTGGGTGTAGCCAATGTAAAACACCTGCATCTCCAGCAGCTCTAGCGCTTCCTTCTCGGACGGAAAAGACGGCAGGTCGAAGATGCGGGTAGTGGATCGTGAGGATTGGCAAGGTTCGCCCGCGCAACAGCCAACATCGTCTCGTTGCTGTGCCGGCCGCGATCCCTGAAACAGCCTCTGCACCCTCGAGCCGAAGGTGTAGCTGGAACTCAACGATGAATCGGCCGAGATCGCTATGTAAAGTAGGTTGTCAGATCCGTGTTCTACATGTAGCAGGCCATTGCATACTTGACCCCGACAGCGGTTCGGATGGCTCCGGGTCCAGGATGACGGTCGACGATTGGCGAGCTTCTCGAAAAGCTGGATCTAAGCCCTCGTTCGGCTCTCTTCCCAAGGGTTCAGGATCTATGTGCCCCTCGGCGTCCTGTGCCTGGGCTGAGTTCTCGTAGGCAGCTAGACGAGCCTCCAGGTTCTCAATCCTGCTATGATCGGTGAGCCGACGTCTTCGAGATATGAGCGCAGACACATACGCAACAGAGTACACCCTCATTCTGCCATGCTCGGACGCATGGCACTCCAAGCCCCGCTTCGCGCAATAGGAGCACGGGTTCGTCCCAGAGCACTTGACCTTCTTCTTTCGGCAGGTTAAACAACTGTGACACTGTCAGGCGTGTAATTCCTGAGGGAAAGCAACAGAGGCATAGAGTTCCGTGTGCCAACTCACGCTGAAAGAGCCTTTATGGTGGTGTCCCTCGCACCTATGCTGGTGTCGTACGGTGTTGCTCTCCGGTGTGAGCTCGGACTCACATGCCGACTTGTTGGCATGCTCCCGAGAAAAGGCTCTCTAGCCTCTACTGCTATGACTCAAGCACGAAGCGCCGAGCTTGCATGCCTGATATGCTCATGTATCGTCGAGAGGTCCAGGCCGTCAAGGTTGAGGTTGCGTTGCGAGTTGCGACAGCGGCGCCTTGATTACGCATCCGGTATGCTTGTTGGTTCAACCCTCCAACCTGGCTCCGATGGTAGGCGGGCCCGTGGTAGGGGATTGCGTTCTGTGAATGTACTGTGTAGCGGCTGGCAGGCCGGGGCCATAACGTCAAATACCATCCAGAGTCGATGAGTTCATGGCCCAATACGAAGAAGTTGCGGCAACAGGGACTGCTGTAACGGCATTTCCCAGCGTCCATCATGCACTCGAAAAAGAGCGCCGATCCACCACAGCCGTGATGGCACCCCGACACACATCCGTGGCTTTCCAACATCATGTTCATTCATTGTCGTTTTAGATTGACCGTGAGACAAAAAAGAATGAAGGTCGAACAAAATCTTGTGTGTGGATGTCATGAGCCCAAAAAGAGCAGCATTGATGAGCCGCCATGCCGACTCAATCGCGGTACAGGGTAACCTAGAGATCCCTCAACGGTGGAGACTGGAGAGGCTGCTTCTTTGCAAGCGCGGCCCTCAAGGCTGAAGTGCCCCGCGCGTCGCGGAACAGAAGGTTCCAGGCAGTGCCGCCTCGCCCGCCACGTTGCGCGTGCGCCGCGGGGCACTGGGCTGCGCCGACCGACAATTCATCACCATCGCCGCCGCCCACTTCCCGTCCCGCCCTCAACCTCTCTACATCCCAATCACCACCACCCAGCTCTCCCTCCTCCCTCAACTCGCCTCCCCTTTCTCCCCGCCAGAGCACCATTCTCGTCGGCGCCATGGTAAGGCACCCCCCGTCTTCTGCACCGGCAATCAATCCGCAACTGGCCTGCGATTGTGCCGTGCTGCCCCCTCCCGTACGTTGATGTTCGGGCCCGCCGCTGACAAGAAACCGTTTCTTTCCACCCGTCGCAGGCCTCCCAACTCACGCCCAAGCAGCGCCTCGCGCTCTCCATCTGCGACTTCCTCACCACGTCGGCCACGGACGGGACCCTCACCGCCGACGACAAGGACTCGGTCGACGTGGCCGTCAACTGCATCGCCGAGTCCTTCAAGGTCGACCCGGCGGCCGACAAGCAGGCCCTCGCCGGCAGCCAGTCCCTGCTGCAGATCTACTCCGTCTACGACAAGCTCAAGGCCTCGGCCGGCCCGCCGCCCCCCGCCGGCGCCGATGCGTCGACGTCTTCCGCCGGCACCGCCCCGACCGAGGAGCAGAAGAAGGAGGCCGAGGGCCTCAAGTCCAAGGGCAACGCCGCCATGGCGCAAAAGGACTACCCCTCCGCCATCGACCTCTACACGCAGGCCCTGCGCCTGCACCCGGCCAACGCCATCTTCCTCTCCAACCGCGCCGCCGCCCACTCCGCCGCCAAGGACCACGCCTCGGCCCGCATCGACGCTGAGGCCGCCGTCGCTGTCGACCCCACCTACACAAAGGCCTGGTCGCGCCTCGGCCTCGCCCGCTTCGCTCTCGGCGACGCAAAGGGTGCCATGGAGGCCTACGCCCGCGGCATCGAGCACGAGGGCAGCGGTGGCTCCGACGCCATGAAGAAGGGCTACGAGACGGCCAAGCGCCGCGTCGAGGAGATGCAGGCTGAGGAGGCCGACCTCTCCCGCGGCTCATCCAACACCCCTGACGTCGGCGGCCCGGGCGGCATGCCCGATCTCGGCAGCCTCGCCTCCATGTTTGGCGGCGGCGGTGCCGGCGGCCCTGGTGGTGCCGGGGGCATGCCCGACTTTGCCTCCATCATGAACAACCCCATGTTCGCCAGCATGGCACAGAACCTCATGAGCAACCCCGACATGATGGCCAACCTCATGAACAACCCGCGCCTGCGCGAGATGGCCAACCAGTTTGGCAGCGGCGGCATGCCCGACCTCAACAGCCTCATGTCCGACCCCAGCGTCGCCGAGATGTAAGCTCTCGCCCGTCCCCTTCCCCCTCCGACGACTCGAATTGCAGCTAACGCGAACCAGGGCGCGCAACATGATGGGCGGTGGTGCCGGTCGCGGAGCCGGTGGCAACAGCGGCAGCGGCGGCAACGACAGCACTTCGTGAGAGACGTCGCTAGAGCGCAAAGATTCACATAAAAGTGGCGCGCACTGGCAAACAGAAGAGATGGCCTGACACCCGGACACCTGGCGTACATCCTCGATACAGATAGATACCTCAGCAAAGAGCGACTGAACTGTTGCAGGGATATACTTGTCGCTAAATACCCCTAATGCCCTCTGCCGCCCCCAAGGCTTCGTGGCAGCTTGACCATATGATTGATAAGGTGTAGTAATACACGTCTTGCGATGCGTTCCCACGAGGCATTGCTCCGATCAATGGCCTGATTAGTCTGGCTCGCTAATAACAACGGAATCCTTAACCCCGGCCAGCGTATACGTAGCAATGATTGCTGTGATCGGAGTCCGCGCGCGACCCCACATAAGATGCCTACCTCCCCTACAAATGCTGGCTGTCCGTTGCTTCTGCTCGGGTGGCGCCCCGAGCGCGACGACCTCGAATCCACGAACCACGACCTCGTCTTCCAGGTCGATACATTCTTCCCGAGGTTGTCGCAGCTGCGGCGCCGGTAGGTCTTGGTCGTCGCTCATTTTCCTCTCCACCAGGCGTGTTCGATACCACAGTATCTGTCATGCCTGTTCTTCTGACTGTTGTTACAAGTATCCTATCGGTTTGAGAGCTAGATCCGGCGGTAGCGGTTTGCCGCAAGGCCGTCGGGCCGCGGCTCGTTGGCTTCGGTATGTGAGACTGCTGTGTTTGGCCCTGTACGGGTGGAGCGGACACGCGGCGCTTTGAGTAATGCTGTTAGCTCCGGTCCCCTCCCATGCCCTTGGGAAGTTGGTTCACACCGATGTTTCTTGTGCCTCATCCGGACTGGCGGAGACGACAGTCATGACAGGCGTCGGGCAAGTCTCTGCTGCGGCCTGTGAGGGCTCACTCTTGGACTGTATCCGTCTTGAATACCGTGGGTGCTTTAAGGCATTGTCGTGGGCACACCCTGGCTCCTGCTTCCCATGCGTCCCCGAAGCTCTCTAAGCATCGGGAGATGCCCCTGTTCCCATCAGTGCTGACCAACAATTGGACTGGTGGGCTTGATCTCACCGTCATCGGCTGCTTTACTCTTCTTGTCGGGGCAATGTGTTCCCTGAATCGCTTGGCTCGAGGCATCTGTCGACGTGTTTGGCGTCTCTCTAGACAATGCAGACCGCCTGTCTGACTCCTCTTGAGGCCCGACCGCATTGACTGCAGCAGCAGATGGGTCATTCGGTCCGCTTGCAGGCTCGCAGCTCGCGACCTCGTCCGCCCATTGGTGATGGACAGAAGGTTCCGGGACAGTCGCATCGGCGGGAGAGGCACTGCCGACATTGCTTGAAGTGCTGTCTTCCTCGGTTCGTTTCGTTGGTGAAGCCATGCTCCGAGGAGTGAACTCTGGGGCAACCGGGTTAAGCTTGGAGCCCTTTGCACTGTCAGCGCGTCCACATAAGAACCGGTACTGCGTCTTACTTCTTTGGTGTGAATTGTCGGCTCAGCATTGTCGGCAGGATGCTCATTGTCCGTGCAAAACATCTCACTGTCGCTATCAGTTGTTCCGCACCGGTAGGGATCGGCCGCGGTCTGCTCGGACGACACGTCGTCGGTGAGGTCCGGTCTGTCGTCGACAATCTCCACGACGTCTTCCGTCTTGTCGCGAGGCCGGAGAAACACTTGCTTTGACCACAAGTCCGCATATCGCCCCTTTTTGGCGATGAGCTCGTGGTGGCTTCCTTGTTCAATTAGCTCCCCGTGCTCTACGACCACGATTCGATCCGCATTCATGATCGTTGACAGCCGGTGCCTGAAGAGGTCAGAAATCTCGTCTGCAGGAATCAAGGCTTGACATACGCCACAATGAAAGTTGTTCGCCCCTGGCAAAGGCTCTTGAATGACTGCTGAATCTGTTGCTCGGTGTCGGTGTCCACTGCACTAGTAGCTTCGTCCAGGAGCACAATGTCTGGCTTCTTGAGAATGGCTCTTGCGATGGCAACGCGCTGAAGCTCGCCGCCAGAAAGCTTCCTGTCCGCATGTCAGCAACCCTGAGAGGGAATGCACTGGCCGGGTCGGACTTACACGCCCCGCTCGCCAACGCGAGTCTCGTACCCTAGAAATACGGTCAAAAACGTACATTGACGTGGCAAATGGGTATTAGACAGACCGTTCGTGAAGCCTTTGATCTTATCATGTATACAGGCAGCCTGACAGGCTTCAAACACTTCCTCGTCGCTGGCGGTAATTCGGCCGTAACGGACGTTGTTCATAATGGTGTCGTCGAAAAGAATCGGGTTCTGGGGTACGATGCCGATTCTGTCGCGGAGACTGCAAGCCGTTAGTGGGGTCCTTGCTCAGTGACCATTTCGAAGTACCTGAACAGATCAACCTCGCGGACGTCCTGCCCATCGATGCGAATGCAGCCCTCGGTGACATCGTAGAACCTGTCGAGCAGCTTCAACAGAGTGGACTTGCCGGCGCCGGTCGCCCCGACAAAAGCAACTGTTTCCCCTGCAGGGACGCTCAAGCTGATGCCCTTGATGGTCCCTTTGCGGCCGTCGTAGCTGAAGCAAACGCCCTCGAACTCAACATTGCCCGAGACAAACTTGAGAGGTCGCGCCCCTTTCTTGTTCTCAACCGTCGGCTTCGTCTTCATGATGTCCAGCAGGCGCTCAGCGTCGATAAAGTCATCGCTCATGCTCTTCCCGAGCTTTGCGAAGAATTGCAGTGGAGACGTGAGCTGTGACCAGTACATCAGAAGCATCGCAAATTGACCAGAGGTTGCGCGGCCGCTCTGGATCCTTGACACGGCCAGGAAAGCGCTCACTAGTAGGCCGGATGTGAGCACCACGGTTTGAAAGGCGATCGAAATGTACCAGCTCATGACATATTGCTGCTCGCTGAGCCAGCGATTAGTAACTGCGTTTGCGTGTCTGTTGTCTTCATAGCCAATTTGGTTGAACGCGCTAACAGTCTGCCATCCGAGTAGGCCGGACTGGCGCACATAATGCTCTTGGTACAGTGCATTGACTCTCTTTCGGCTCGCGGCTTTGGATTCGGCCACCAAGCGGCCAGCCATTATGAAAAAGATGGTGCCAGTTGCAACGGTGATGAGGCCTTCGTATGGACCAAAGGTGACCGACAAGTACACGACGGCGACGCCCATGTCGATGAGCATAGGGAGGGCCTGGAGCAAAACGCTTTCTACGACGTTGGACACCGCAGCCCCGCCATAGATGGCCATCATCATGTCGGATGAGCTTTTCGAGTCGTGGAAGTCGGCGGACAAATGCATCATGTGTGAATAGGCCGCGCGAGTGATGTTGTCGTGGGCGTAGTACTTGACGGGGATCCACAGCCATTGGCGGACAAGCTCAATGCCCGATTCGGAAGCGGCGAGTCGCAACACTGCGAAGAAGACGACGGCTATCCACGGGTTCGACTGGGATGCACCGCTAAGACTGTCCATGATGATGCCGGTCTGTCGAGGTATGAGAAGGTGCAGAGCGTTGGAGGCAAAGAGGCAAAGGACGACTGCCACCGCGCGGAGTTGGAGTGGCGAGCTATTGACCGGCCAGACGTATGGGAAGAAGATCTTGTTCGGGTCAGCAACAGAAGACTGATCAAGCAGTTTGCGTTGGCCGCGGGGAGTTGCCTACCATGAAACCCTTGGCGTACTCGAACCAGTTGCCTCCCTCCTTGAGCCTCTTTTCCATGGCTTCGCGGGCTTCTCTTTCGCGCCGCTCCCACCTGAATTCAGCGGTGGTCTCCGACGACTCGTCGGAACTCGTGGTAGCTCCATAATTGGCCGCGGCGGTGGTGCCGGTGGACTGCTCAGTTGGTGCAGTCTTTGGAAGCAGTGACTGGTGCTCTTCATCGGTTCCACGGAACGACGGGCTCGCCCAGTGCGCTACGAGCGGCCAAATGCTGAGTGCGAGCAGTGACGCAATTCTCGCCGCGGTGAGCGACAATTCTGCCACCTCATAGCTGTTTGCGGTGTGACTTGGGCGGCAAACTGTTGTGATGACAAAACCACCGATGACAGCCTCAAAGGCCAACGCCAGCAACCAGGAACCTTGGAATGGATAACCCACCGGACTGTTGAAGTCGGAGAGACAGGTGAGCTGAATGCCGAAGATAAGGAGGCACGACAGCGTGCCCACGACCAGGTAGTCATCCGGCGGCCATCGCTGACCCCTAATCGAAGTCGTTATGAGGGCTGCGAGCTGTGCCACGTAGGTGAAGACAAAGGCGCCCAGAAGACACAAGACGACAGGCCGGCAGGGCCGCTCCGCCTTGCCATCTTTGTCCTCCTTGAGACGCTGAAGAGTGCAGGCCGAGGCAAGGGACGAGCCTAGGAAATAGAGGAAAATGACAGCCGGGTACGTGTAGTAGAGTACTGGCAGAGCTGCCCAAGGCGTCTCTGGTGGGAGATCCATGCAAGGCGTCTGTGGCGGCAAATGTAGAGGTGGCGGGCTGATATTTGGCGCGCCGAGGCGGTTTGTGGAGGGATGGGTAGGGTGAAAGGGAGAGCCAGGCGTTCCCGGGGTCCAGCGCGAGACGAACGCCGCTGTGGTCCAATGTCGACGAGGCCGCTCAAGACGAATTGGCGATAACCGAGACCAGGCCAATCGAGGGACGGGTATTCACGCAATGCAAGTAGAAGTACCAGGATCAAGGCAAAGGAAAGAGAAATGCAGAATCGCAGAAGACCGACTCGAAGAATGTCGGGCAAGAGGAGCTGAGCGGCGAGGAGCACGTGCGGGAGAGCACGGCCCAGCTGGGATGCGGCGTAGCGAGTTGGGAAGAGGCGTGCCCTGAATCGTTGAACAGTCAACACCCAAGTTCTAACCAAGCGACTTGGGGATGTATGGACGATGGCCTTGCAGCAGTTCCACTCAACGGTCGCGGTGGTACAATTGCACCGCTGCAGTGGCGGCGGCAAGGACTCTCTGCCTTACCTTGGCGATGCAATGCGAGGCCACGCGTGGGGATGACGATGATGGGCGCGCCGGGGTGCCTGCGGCTGCGGCTGCAGTGCAGTGCAGTGCAGTGCTGTGGTGGTGCTGCGTGCAGTGAGCGAGGGCGGGCTGGGGGGGTGCTGCGGATGCGTGCCCGCGGCCGAGTGGTTGCGTGAATGCTGGATGCTTGGCCGAGATGCTTAACAAGTCGTGGAACGCGGCTCCGTCCGTCGCGATGCTGCCTTGCGGCTCGCGGATTCTTTTGTCTGGTCTGCCTGAGGCGGTGCCCTGTTGTGCTGCTGCTGGTGCGGTGCTGCTGCTGTTGGATGGCGACTCTTATCCTGGCGACCGCTCCTTCCTGAGGCAAGGCGAGGCGAGGTAGGGTACCTTGCGGCTGGCAGAAAACGCCCCAGGTACCGGTATCTCACGGCTCGCGAAAGAAGGAAGCAAGTGTCTCTTGCTGGAGGCCCGTTGGTGTCCTGCTCGACGGTCGTTGCCCAATGCCCACCGCTGCCGAGTCCCGACCATTGACGGGCGGCGACTTTCCTTTGTTCACCGTCACCGTCACCGTCTGCGTCTGCGTCTGCGAGAGTAAAGTGGAGGTGGAGGTTCGAGCCTTCGAGGTGGAGGCGGAGGCGGCGGAGGCAGGTGCAGCCCCATGGCCCACGACCCGTAGCAGCTGCCCAGGTGGTGCCGGTCGTGATCTCACTTGCCTCGTTAGCTCTTGCGCCCCTGGCCGGCGACTGAAAAGTGCAAAGTACGTACCTACCTAACGGGAAGAGAACTGCAAGATGTCTGGAAGGCAATGGCTGCCCTCCAGGCTGGCAGGCAGGCATCCGAGACGGTGATTTTCCAGCAACGCCAACTTCACATTCTCCCTCTCTCCCTCTTTCTCCAGGTCCTTCTTCTGCCCAGGACAGTACTGTGCCTGTCGCTTCCCTGCCCGTCCAAACTCCATCCAACTCGCAAAGCGCAGTGGCGGCGCCCTCGTTCCTGCAGGTCCCCACCGACTCACCTCGCCTCCTGCTCCGCTCGCTTGCTGCTGCGGTGCTGCTGCTGCTCCAGCAAGTCACTCGCTCTTTGTCCACCGGCCTGAGCTCAGCCTGCTTTGTCGTTCGCCAGCGATGCGACAAATGACGACGCACGTGCCGGCAAGAGCTCCCGTCCCAGTAAGCCGTGGGTTGGATGCCCAATATCCTCGCGATGCAGGTTGCCGGCCTCTCGCCAATTGGCCCACGATGGCGGTCACAGCATGTCAACTGAGGTGAGGTGGTTGTCGACATGCAGGTGAGCCTCATCGGCCAGTCCGGCACGCTGACACCAATTCCTGCCCGTGACGTTTACCCTTCCCACCAAGCTCTGATGACTGCTTCGTGCCAGGTCATTCGTCCACCAAGCAACTTAGTTATCGCCCTGCCAGGGCTGGCCGGCTCTCGACGTGAAGCCCACCACCCACGCGGCCCGGCCCAACAAGGTGGCCAACCAAGACGCCACGGGCAAGCGTCGCTGACCAACTCCTTCACCACCTCAGGCTCCGAGCTGCAGTGTTGTAATCCACGATATCGTGCCCTGCGTCGTCGAACAAGCGCATGTCGGCTTCCGGCTTCTCGTCAGTGGCCCCCGGTCTTGACGCCGCAATCAATGCGCGACTGTCGGTTGTAACACGTACATACATTTCGACGTCTCACAGCATTGAAACGGCCGCCGGCCAACCCTCAACGGCGCCGCCGCATTGGTAGCAAATCAGATGCGCGTGATGGTGCCAGTCCGCCACCCCAGGCTTGCCTCGACAGCCTCCGGCACACCGCGCCGTTGGGCCTTGATCCACGATGCCTATCGTGGCACCGCCAACCCGAAGCGACAGACACATAGTCTCCCTAGGGCCATGGTGCGGGCGTCGCGGTCCTGGCCTGCAGCTGATCCCTGTAGTCCGGCAACAGCTGACCTGGCCTTGGGTCCACTGTCGATAAGCTCCCACGCCAACTCAGGGTGCCGCTGGGCGCCGACTGCATGTCTTGCCTCCCTGGATCCAATCGAACGCTGTCGACAATTCCGACAAATGCAGGCGCCCGGTTGCCCTAGTGCCACTTGTTCTGGCGGTCAACCTGGAGAATCGCGACCGCCTTGCCCTCGATGGGCGACGGGACGCAACACTGCATGATTCGCGACACTTGGCAGTGCCGGTAGGCTCATGTCAGTCCTTGCAAGACAGCGGGCAACTTCTGCAGCACCGATTTCCTGTCAGTGCAACTCTCATATGCGCGGTTTCAGCGCCTCGCCTGCCTCGTTGGCTTCCCGTCGATTCGTGACACCGCGGGTTTGTTTTTGTGCGCCTCTCTGCCTCGGCGGCAGGCCGCTCACGAGCTCCAGGTCGTCTAAGAGGCCGTACACAATGGTCTGCTGCGTCTGAGGCGGCCGCGGCACCAGGTGGATCGTCGCACTGCTGTGGCCTAAGCGCAAACATGGCCTCGGTTGACAATGCTTCCAGTCTTCGAGCGGCCTGGAAATCCAAGGGGAACGACTCCGTCTTATATCTGCAGCACAAGGCACCACACACGTCACATACAGATGACACATCACCCAAGTCACACCTGCTGGCACCGACAATGTTGCGTTCTCCAAGGCCCTGGCACAAGGCACCCAGCGACAGCCGCTCGGGTGGGCTCGCCGACGGGATGAGACGGGGAGCACCTCGCCACATCTGTGGCGCATTACGCTCATGGACTAAGGACAACACTTATGTTCCCCGAGGCTGGCTTCCATGCTAAACATGCATTCGAAAAGAGGATACTGTGCACAGAGCGTGGACCGCACGGGCTGTCCTATGCACCAGCGACACACTGATTTTTGTTACTGTCGTCAAGGAAACGAGACCCGACGCCGAAGGATGCTGATCGCAGAGCTTTATTCCCAGCAGCAGGTTTCTAATCGACGATGGACCGTTGCCCGCGAAGCGCGTGCCCATGCAATAATAACTTCGGAGGATTTTGCCTCACGGAGCAGTTTGGGTAGGTCGATGTGCCCAGAGCTCCGAGCAGTCGCGAAACTGCCTGATTAGGCAAACTGTCTGGAAAGTCCCTGGTCAAGTGATGTACAGCCGATGCTTACTGTGTTAGAGCTTGGCCAGGGCGTATCGCAGTAGTCTTGGATGAGGCGACTCTCGGCGCGCACGTCTGTGTTTGGAGCCAACAGCACATGCCATCGGCCCACTGGCCGGCGGTGTCTGGATGCTTCGGGCTCCGCGAGGTCTTGAGCGCGAACGCAGCAAGCAAATGGGCTGATCGGCTTTGCAATTATGACCAAATGACTGTATTGGGCCGGCCACAGGAGGAAGTCGAATGGCGGTTGTCAGAGTGGTCCGTCCAGCTCGCTCATTTTAGGCAGAATCCACGAGCGCGACGACATTCGCGCGCATCGACGCCGGAGGGATACGAATCAGTCTGCAGGTCTTGTGACACTGTAGGTCGCACTCCTCATGCCGAAGGGAAACAGGACTGGGCGCAGGCCAGAGCTTGGTTGGACGAGTCGGCCAACAGATACGGGCTCGACACTAGCAGCTCGGAAGCGAGCTCAGATTTTCAGTAGCCCGTCGCCCACAGGGAGAGGCTCAAGAAGCCACCGCTGCGAGCTCGAATGATGCTCGAATCCTCCTGGCCCGGCTCCGCGACCCGTGGAATAAGCATCTCGCTTGCTGGCGACAAGAACTTGTGGGGTGAGAGATGTCCGTCGATTTCAATCTGGTGGCATCGGGCCCAGTCGTGGGGGTGACGAGATCTGAACCACCCAGGACCCCGCAAAATCTACTTTGGGAAGGCCTCGCCGGAGGGCTCAAGATCAGGGGCCCGCTCAGTTGGCGCCAGCGACAAACACAGCACTAGAAATGGAAACATGCGGCGGAGCTAATATTAGTCCCTGCCAAAACTGGCAGACGACGCCGGGCTGCCGGTCCACGAGATCCAGTGTTTCTGGATCCATTGGAGCAATCAACAACATGGCCATTACCCAGCCTGGTGCCATTCGCAAGGGCCTGCGGAGGGGTAGGGACCTCAGCAGCGTGACGTAAAGCAAACCACGAGCGTGCTCGCGGAGAAAATGTCTTCGTACGGAAATTATCTGGAATTACGCTGCGGGTCTGGGGTTGGCTGAGCCAGATACTTAAAGACGACAAGTTTCGACCCTTCTCGCCAACCTCAACCACTCTTGAACATACAAACCTCGGCCCTTCTCTCGTACACAATCTCGTCAGCATTCATATAGACGCACGTTCCGACTCCTTTGCGAAAGCTTTACGACTCGAGTCTTGCTTTTGAGGCTCGACGGGTGCCGGCCACTCCTTCACACCTCCAGTGCATATACGCCTCACATCGCACGGCCTCTGTGGATATCACAAATCCTTCACAATGGCCCCTTCAGCAATTGTGGAGATCAGCGAGGCCAACCAGATCGGCCAGGACCTCGAGCACATGTCGGACGCCATCGACGATGTCAACTGCATGAAGTACGACGCGGCGTCCAAGTTCGACTCCGCCAAGGACAAGACGCAGTTCCGCCAGTACGAAGACGCCTGCGATCGAGTCAAGAACTTTTACCGCGAGCAGCACGAGAAGCAGACCGTCGCTTACAACCTTGCCGCGCGCAACCGCTTCTATAATGCCTCGCGCAAGCGCCCGGAGATGACCATCTGGCAGGCCATGGAGAAGCTCAACACGCTCGTCGACGAGTCGGACCCGGACACGTCACTGTCGCAGATCGAACACCTGCTCCAGTCGGCCGAGGCCATCCGCCGCGACGGCAAGCCCCGATGGATGCAGATCACGGGCTTGATCCACGACCTCGGCAAGCTGATGCTCTTCTTCCCCGAGCTCGAGACCCAAGGCCAGTGGGATGTGGTGGGTGACACCTTTCCCGTCGGCTGTGCCTTCGACAAGCGCATCATCCTGCCCGAGACGTTTGCCAAGAACCCGGATGTCAAGGATCCCGTCTACAGCACCAAGCTCGGTATCTACACTCCCGGGTGCGGCCTCGACAACGTGATGCTGAGCTGGGGCCACGACGAGTACCTGTACCATGTCGTCAAGGACCAGTCGACGCTGCCCGACGAGGCGCTGGCCATGATCCGCTATCACTCCTTCTACCCCTGGCACCGCGAGGGCGCCTACCGGGAGCTCATGTGCAGCAAGGACTACGACATGCTCAAGGCCGTGCAGGCGTTCAACCCATACGACCTGTACAGCAAGAGCGACGGTGTTCCGTCGGCGGAGGAGCTCAAGCCGTACTACATGGAGCTCATTGACGAATTTTTTCCGCAGAAGGTGATTAAGTGGTGATTCATGTGCTTGGTCTAGCAAGCGGCCGTTGGGGATGTTTATGAGCCTGACTGTCCTCATTTCCTTTGTTTCCATTGTTTTCACAAGTCGACATGACAGAGTCTGATGATAGAATTAGCGCGCAATGACCTTGCATTGGGGATAATGTCACAAATAAACTTGTATGATGCTCGAGGCATGTTCCTTCGCGAATGCTTCGCTTCAGTCTATGTGGTGTAAGAGATGCTGTGGCTCAGGGCTCAGGCAGGTCGTAACGCAGAAACTTTCCCGTCCACACAGTTGCATCCTTGCGCTTGACGCCAAAATCCTGGATGGGCTTGAACCCAAGACGCTGGTAGTACCTAGGAAACACATGCAATCGTCAGCGCACAGGTCAGTGAAACTCTCTCAGTGCCAGGGACGAGCAGCACTCAGGTCCCCGTGGGGGGGTTGCACGCACGGCACCAGCTTCCCCGTCCCGCCGGTCCAGCAGTCAATGTACACGGAGCGCCGGCCGCGGTCCCGGGCGTACTCCTTTGCGGCCTGCAGCAGGGCGGCGCCGGCGCCGGCGCGCCGCTTGCCCGTGCGGAAGTCGGTGACGACGACGTCGACGTAGATGAAGCCGCCGCCGCCGCCCCTGGAACCGCTACTGCTACCGCTTCCTCTGCCACTACTGCTACCACGATTGCTTCCGCAGCCACTACCGCTATGGCTACCGCTGTCGCTGCCGCTGCTGCTGCCGCCGCTGGTCGCGCGCGCGTGCTCGGCCTTGGCCTGCTGTGTGTAGGGACGCAGCTGTGCGTTTGAGGAGACGTGGCGCGAGAAGGCGCCGTCGCGGATGGTGATGAGGCCGACGGGGAGGAATGTCGCGCCGGACGGGGAGGGGGATGTCCTGAGGGGGAGGGGATGGCCGGCAACACCATCTGATTGCTGGCCACTGTTGCTCCCTTCGTTGTCGTGATCGCCGTCCGCGTTCCCGATCCCGTTGTCGTTCCCATTCACGTTCACGTTCACCTTCCCGTCGCCGCCATCATCGTTGCCGTTGCTGTTGCTGCTGGTACTGTTGCCATCATCAACGCGCACCTCAGCGATAAAAGTCCGCACAGGGTCCCCCTTGCCGGTCAGGCGGTACTCCTCGGACAGGCGCACGTCGTCGTGCGTCTCCTGGATGAAGCCGTCCTTGCGGGAGAAGGGTTCGACGCCCCACTGGCCGGCGTTGCCGCCGGCGGCGAGGTGCGGGATGGTGGAGTCGAAGGCGGCGATCATGAAGTCGGCGTCGTGGGGCCAGAGGCCGGCGTTGCGGATGTGGAAGACGTTGGGTGATGTCTTTGCCATTGCGCCTGGTTCTTGTTAGTGTCTTGTTGGAGTAGGTGATGAACTGATGATGAGGCATGGAGGCTTTGGCTTGAAGGTAATGATGCCTTGCAGAATGGCTCTGAGGGATAGCGATACGGTGTTTGCATGGCTTGCGCGTCTGGCCCCCAAGGGACGGGAAGCGTAACCGAAGCCATCATCGCAGGAATGTGCCCGATCTCGTCGTGGTGTAAGTCGCCCTAGGGGCCTAGTGCAGGTACGGGCTACCCGAGACTGCGCCAAAACCTCTGCAGCCAGGACAACAGCTGCACCACTGCATGCGCACGACTGGCAACAACGCAAGCTTGCCATCTAGGCGACCGTAGGTTCATGCGCATCGTTGCATTGTTATCCGCGTCTTCCGCTGTTCCCAATATTCAATTGACCGCGGCTCGGCAATGGATGAGAAACGGGACTGCCCACTGTGGGGTTGCCTGAACTGGAGTGCCAGAGGATGGGCACGATGCAAGCGCCGACTGACACCTTGATGGCGACTTTACCAAGAATCGCAACGTGGAAACCGCCTTCACGAAAGGCCTGAACCTGAGGCTTCATATCTCGCCGTTGGCGCAGCGTCGATTGTTCGTGGCTTGCAGTCAATCGCGAGCTGAAGCTCCCATCGATGTGCGGCTGATAGGTCGTGAGCCTCCGACCTCATAATCGAACCTCACCACTCCGGGCGACCCGTCTTATCTTACGTGCGCATGCACGAGACCCAAACGTCACCGCTTTCCTATCCTTTAGGATCCCACGAAAGGGCACGGATTTGCGCTGAACGGGGAGATCCCAAATTCTGGGCCCTGAGCATGGCAGAGTCGCCATTTCTGCGGATCCCGCCCGAGATCCGCCTCATGATATACGAGCATCTCTTGGACCCTGGTGGCAGCGAGGTCCTCAACATCCGCAACCGCTACCTTCCTCTGCTCAAGGCAGACGGCAACAAGAGACCAAGGCGGTCCGTCTACAATGCACTGGAGCCGACATTGGGGAGGCGCGCGTGCGATGCAACCTATGTCCTCGCCGACGACTGCGATATAAACACCGCGGTGCTGGCCGTGAACCATCAGATCAGGTCCGAAGCCTCGACACTATTATATGCCAAACACTCATTCCACTTCGGCGGCGACATCGAGGCCGCCATCCACCTACTCGGCGACCTCTCGACGACGACGAGAAGCATGGTGCAGCACATCGGCCTCCGCAAGTGCAGCCCAGTGAGCTTCATCGGGGGGGACTACCCGAGCTGGGCGCCTGCGTGCAGCCTACTGCGGACGCTGCCGCGGCTCAGGAAGCTGAGCATCGTCGTTGAAGGTGGCAAGCCTCGCGCGCCATGGGACGGACCAAGGGAGCTGAGCGTATCGGACCTGCGGCTGCTGTATGCGACGCGGCACGAGGTCCTGCAATGGGTCAGGGACCTAGCGGGCTTGGAGGGCCTCGAGGTCCTGGAGATCTCGGCGGACTTGGCGCCGCTGCCGCCGCCGAGGACGTCGGCCATGCTCATCTTTGCCGCCTTGTCGGGATCGATCGAGACTACGCTCGTCGAGTTTATGAGGTCGCAGCTGGGTATGCCCGCGGTGGCCGTGTCAGGGCACAGGAGTGACAGGGCAAGCGCACCAAGACTGGGATTTTGAGATGACAGGAGCGGAATCCGATGAGGTCATGAATCGTGTCGGCGAGACTCGGTTCACATGTGGCACGGCTGCCTGTCGAGACATGGGCCGTTCCATGGTCTGTTATGAAGGGCGCAAGGTGTATGGCAGGGTGCACGGCGCAAGCGCGGACTCAGTTGTGCTCGGACATGTACACGCAGGGAGAAAAGTCGCACGACGCATGCATCGAAGCAATTGCATCACAAAAGTTGAATGCTCGTACGCAGGTATGCATGGCCAAGGCCCATCAATGCCCTGAAAGCGCGGCGGCGGGTCTGAATCCAAGTTCCCCGTCATCCGCTCACGTGATATTACGTTGCGTGTCGTGTCGTGCCCGGTGGCGCCTGCCTGCATGCCTCTGGGCGCCTGCCTGCGTACTCGTACCTCCCCTAGCCCCGAACTGCCAACCCAGACAGGCAAGAGCTCCATTGCCCTGCCGCATCTCACCTCGTCGCTCTGCGCCCCCAAACAGTCGTCACCACCAGCGCCAGCCCGTTGCGCTCCAGTCAACCAACACCAAACGCCCGCCACCCCAGCATCCTCACCCCCGGGCTCGTTGCGCGCGTCGGCCCTCTCCCGTCGCGGCAGTCAATGTCGTCTATTTAGACGCACAGTCCAGCGCAATCCCTCCCCCCCCGACCCGTCGTCCGAGCTACCCCGCCGCTGCCGAGCCCTCGCCGACTCCGACCTCGTCCACCATGACGACGCCTGCGCTGCCCGAGGACCAGGCCCGCCTGCTCGAGGATGCCCTCGTGGCAGTGCGGCAGCAGACCTCGCTCATGCGGAAATGCCTCGACACCCCGGGCAAGCTCATGGACGCCCTCAAATGCTGGTAAGGCCGTCGCGACCGTCTCCTCCTGGGAAGCGCCCGCCCGGCGTTGGCTGACCATTGTATCCTCGCGCCAGCTCGACGCTCGTCTCCGAGCTTCGCACCAGTAGCCTTGGCCCGAAGCAGTACTACGAGCTGTACATGTCCGTCTTCGACGCGCTACGCTACCTGTCGGTCCACCTCCGCGAGAACCACCCCGTCAACCATCTTGCCGACCTGTACGAACTGGTACAATATGCCGGAAATATCATCCCCCGCTTGTACCTCATGATCACGGTCGGCACGGCGTACATGTCCATCGAGGACGCCCCCGTCAAGGAGCTCATGAAGGACATGATGGACATGAGCAGAGGCGTCCAACACCCCATCCGAGGCCTCTTCCTGCGGTACTACCTGTCCGGCCAGGCTAGGGACTACCTGCCCACGACCGACAGCGAAGGGCCCGAGGGAAACCTGGGCGACTCCATAAACTTCATCCTCACCAACTTTGTCGAGATGAACAAGCTGTGGGTCCGGCTGCAGCACCAGGGCCACTCGCGAGAGCGCGAGCAGCGCATCCGCGAACGCAAGGAGCTGCAGCTGCTCGTCGGGAGCAATATTGTGCGTCTGAGTCAGCTCGTGGACCTGGAAACGTACAAGTCCGGCATCCTGGGCCCCTTGCTGGAGCAGGTGGTTCAGTGCCGCGATGTCCTGGCGCAGGAGTACCTCCTCGAGGTCATCACGCAGGTGTTCCCGGACGAGTTCCACCTCCACACGCTGGACCAGTTCCTCGCCGCCGTCTCGCGCTTAAACCCGCATGTCGACGTCAAGTCCATCGTCATTGGGCTCATGGACCGCCTGTCTGAGTATGCCGACCGCGAGGGGCCCAAGGAGAAGGGGCCCGACCAGGAAAAGGCCGAGGCCGAAGCGTTGGCCAAGTTGCTGGAAAAGGTGAAGCTGGAAAAGGATGCGCCGAAGCCGGCTCCCCCGGCGGAGCCTGAAGCTGCGGCTGAAGGGGAGGCCGCCGAGGCTTCCACTGCTGGCGCGAACGGACAAGAAGGGGAGGCCGCGGCCGCGACTGGCGATGACGCGAGCACGCTGGCCGGCGAGTCCGCCGCGTCGGTTGCCGACACGGAGACGACTGCTGTGAACGGTCAGGAGACGGAGGGCGCCAACGTGCACCTGTATGAGGTCTTCTTCTCGCAAGTCAAGAACCTCGTCGAGGCACAGCACCTCCCCATCCAAGACACGATTGCGCTGCTCGTCTCGCTGTGCAACCTCGCCTTGAACAATTACCCAGACCGCCTCGACTACGTCGACCAAATTCTTGCCTTTGCCACTGCGAAGACGAGAGAAAACATCAACAATGCCGACCTGCATTCGCCTCCCGCACAGCAAAGCCTCCTGGCTCTCCTCCAGGCACCTCTCACAAGATATGCCTCGATCTTCACCGCCCTGTCTCTCCCGACATACGTTCCGCTTTTCCAATGCCAGTCCTATCCTACCCGACGAGCAGTGGCTGGCGGGATTGCTCGAGCGCTGTTGAAGGATCAGACCAAGATTGTGAAGACGGAGCAGCTGGAGCACGTGCTCGAGATCCTGTCAGTTCTCGTCAAGGAAGGCTCGCAAGCGCCTCAGGGGTATCCCGGCGCTGCGCAGCGACGAGCGGTGGAGACGGACGAGACAATGGAGGAGCAGGGCTGGCTCGCAAGGATAGTGCACCTGCTGCAAGCAGAGGACAACGACACGCAGTTCAAGCTTCTCCAGATGACGCGCAAGGCGTACGCCGAGGGCAACGACCGGATCCGCACGACGACGCCGCCGCTGATCACGGCTTGCTTGAAGCTGGCGAGGAAGTTTAAGCTCCGCGAGCACTACGACGACAACTGGGAAACACAGAGCAACGCTTTGTACAAGTTCATGCACTCGGCCCTCAGCAACCTCTACACGCGGGTTAACGGCGCGGGTACGTCGGAGCTGGCACTGCGGTTGTTTTGCAGCGCCGGGCAGGCGGCGGACCTGAACGGGTTTGAAGAAGTTGCGTACGAGTTCTATGCGCAGGCGTTTACGGTGTACGAGGAGGCCGTGTCGGACTCCAAGGCGCAGTTCCAGGCCGTGTGCGTCATTGCGTCATCGCTGCACCAGACGCGCAACTTTGGCAAGGAAAACTACGACACACTGATCACCAAGTGCGCACAGCACGGGAGCAAGCTGCTGCGGAAGCCGGATCAGTGCCGTGCGGTGTACTTGGCGAGCCACTTGTGGTGGGCGACGCCCATCGCCGGCAATGGCGAGACGGAGGAGACCGAGGTCAGTGCAGAGCCCTTCAAATGCGCTACAGGACTTGCCCAGAGACTAACATGCGTATCGCAGCTGTACCGCGACGGAAAGCGTGTGCTCGAGTGCCTGCAACGGGCCCTCCGCGTGGCCGACTCGTGCATGGAGACTGCGACGTCGATTGAGCTGTTTGTCGAGATTCTGGACCGCTACGTCTATTACTTTGATCAGCAAAACGAATCGGTAAGCATACCCTGGCTGGGCTGACGTGTCGAGATATCCGTGCTGACCCTGCGCAGGTGACGACCAAGTACCTCAACGGTCTGATTGAGCTGATTCACTCGAACCTGGCGGGCAACCAGCAGGAGACGGGATCGATTGAGACGAGCAAGAAGCACTTCCACCAGACGCTGGAGAACATCCGGAGTCGGCAGTATGAAGGCGTGGTGCTGTACCCTAGCTGAGGGCGCGGCTGGAGAGAAGATGGAGGCGAAGAGGGCGATGAAGAAGCAGCATTCAAGCGTGTACGTAGATAGCTGAGCAGCATGCGGTGGATGAGCGGTGCGGGTGTGACGACCGACAGTGTACTTCAGTGTAAATACCTACTTCCTCTACCTCTTAGCGACTGCAATTGCGACGCCAATCGTTGCTCGGGTGTCTTTGTTCCTTTTTATTATTCCCTCATTCACACGTTGCCGTCGACGCTGGTGCAGGTACGCCGCTGCACGGTAATAAAAGAGGTGGTGGTGCTGGAGACCAGGCCAGACTGCGCGCTGAACCACGGGCTTTGCGCCTCGGGCCGTGGCTGAGTCGGACTTCAGCAGCTTTCCTACTGGACGGACGCGGACGTCAGGAGACGAGACGTGAGATACCTACCCAGGTGCGGCTCGATTCCGGGGATTCGAGGGAGCCGTCTGTAGCGCCAAGCGCACGGATTTATTAGCACCCCACTAAAACTCCGCCACTCGGGGCAGCGGCCAAGCAGCTTGAGCGGAGGAGGCCTGGGGCGACAGGAGACTTGGTGGCTTGCCGCGCCCCGAGTTACAGCGCCCCTGTCGCTCGTTTTGGCTCCCGTCCACTGTAAAGTCGGGGTGCCTATGAACCGTCAGCGGTGCGGTGCGGTGCGTGTCGCCCGCCGCAAGCCCAAGCCCAAGGTTACGTGGCTGCCATGTTCCCGTTCCGTCGCCGTGCCTCCTCATCCTCGCCTCGACACACTTTAATTCCACCCTCCGCATCGCGACGCAGTTTCATTCCCGGTACCGACGTGGTGGCAGCGACTGCGGCTGATCGACCAGATGCGCCGTAATCCATCCTCGCTGCATACACGCTGACGGCCTCGACCCGCTCGCTTGGCCATTCACCCGACGCTCGCTCCCTACCTACCTACCACACACGACCCCTTGGTCCCTGGCCATCCATCCCATCGACGACGCTCCCTCGCAACCCCCGTTGGCCTGCATGGCCGCCGACCGTGCCCCCGCCGACCGGACACGCAAGCGACTGCCCGGCAGTTGCGCCTAGTCCACGATGCCTTCGGAGAAGCAGCCCTTCTACGACCCCGTGCCGCCAACCTACGATGAGGCCGTCGCCGGCAGCAGCCGCCGCGACCCCCGGGCCTGGGCCGACGAGCGCGACGCCGCCGAGGCCGAGGCGCAATCACTCCTTCCGCACGCCGAATCCTCAGGGAGCTCATCCCGACGGCCCAACGGCTACCGGGCGCCGACAGTAGAGACGGACGACGAGTCGAGCCTCTTTGGCAGCGACAGCGATGACGACGACGACGAAGAGGCCGCCCAGGTGCGGCGCGAAATGCAAGAGATGGAAATTGAGGAGCCGTCACGCTCACGGGGCTCGTCATGGGGAAAGAGGATAGGCTTCAGGCTCTCACTACCTCGGTGGAAGTGGTCGTGGAGGCCGAGGCTACCGCGGTTCCGTATCCGGTTGCCGTCACGGGCACCCGCCGCCGAGAGCACCGAGACGACGGAAGAAGGCGAGGAGGCGACCGAGACGCGACGATGGCGGTGGCCCAAGCTCGACAGATTGACAATGGTGCTTGTGTTTGCCCGCATCATTGCCCTCTTCATCGTGCTGGGCTTCCTCTACTTCCTCTTCGCCAGCGGCGTCTTCGGCAACCTGTCGTCGCGCCTCAACGGCGGCATGCGCTTCGACGCCGAGGACCTGCGCCAGTTCCTGCAGGCCAGGGTCGAGCCGATGCGGCTGCGCGCGTCGGTGCAGCACTTTTCCAACTACGCGCACATTGCCGGCACCGAGGGCGACTACGCCACGGCCATGGACGTGAAGAGCATGTTCAGCAGGGCTGGACTCGACAAGGTGTCGGTGGACGAGTACTACGTCTACGTCAACTACCCGACAAAGGACGGCAGGGCCGTGCAGATAATGGACGACAAAGGCGAAAAGGCGATTTGGACGGCCAAGCTGGAAGAGGAGGAGCGCGGCGGCGAGACGGCCGGCCGACAGACGTATGCGTTCCACGGGCACTCCAAGTCTGGGGATGTCAAGGGGCCGCTCATCTACGCCAACTACGGCTCGCGCGACGACTTCAAGAAGCTCAAGGACAAGGGCATCGACACCAACGGCGCCATCGCGTTGGTGCGATACTACGGCACCGAGACCGACCGGGCACTCAAGGTCAAGGCGGCCGAGCTTGCGGGTTTCGCGGGCTGCATCATCTACAGCGACCCCGCCGAGGACGGGTTCCTGAAGGGGACCGTCGCACCCAAGGGCCGCTTCATGCCCGAGGACGGCGTCCAGCGCGGCGCCGTCAGCCTGATGAGCTGGGTGGTGGGCGACGTGCTGACGCCGGGGTGGGAGAGCAAGAAGGACAGGCCGCGCATGAAGGTCAACGAGACGGCGGGCCTGGTCAAGATTCCGAGCCTGCCGCTGGCATGGCGGGACGCGCAGGTCCTGCTGCAGCACCTCAAGGGCCACGGCGAAAAGGTGCCGGACGGGTGGAAGGGAGGCGTCCCCGACGTGGAGTGGTGGACGGGCGACCATTCCTCACCGATTGTGCGCCTCAAGAATGAGCAGGACGAGAACGAGCAGCAACCCATCTGGAACGTGTACGGCAAGATTGTCGGCATGGAGCAGAGCGACAGGGCCATCATCCTGGGCAACCACCGCGATGCGTGGGCCTTTGGAGCCACGGACCCGCACTCGGGGACTGCCATCATGATTGAGCTGGCGCGCATCTTTGGTGACCTGGTGGCGCGAGGATGGAGGCCGCTGCGGACCATTGAGTTTATGTCGTGGGACGCGGAAGAGTACAACCTGATTGGGTCGACCGAGTTTGTCGAGAACAACCTCGAGCTGCTGCGGGAAGGCGCCTACGCCTACATCAACCTCGACACGGTGGTGACGGGCACCGAGTTCCGCGCGGCGGGTTCGCCGATCATGGAAAAGGCCCTGCTGCGGGCTCTGGACCGGGTGACGGACCCAAAGACGAACACGACGCTGCGGCAGACGTGGAAGCCTGCCAAGGGCCGGATGGACGGGCTGGGGGCGGGCAGCGACTATGTCGCGTTCCAGGACATTGCCGGAACGAGCTCGCTGGACCTCATGTTCCAGGGCGAAATGTTCCCGTATCACTCGAGCTACGCCGACTTTGCGCTCGTGGAGAACGTCATCGACCCCGGGTTCGTGTACCACCAGGTGCTGGCGCAGGTCGTGGGGCTCATCATCCTCGACCTGGCCGACCGGGCGGTGCTGCCGTTCGACTCGGTGGCCTACGCCGAGGCACTCAAGGGCTGGGTACACGAGCTGGGCAAGTGGATAGACAGCAAGGGAGGCAACAAGGACGAGAAGACGAGGCTGCCGATCAAGGAGCTCGAGGACGCGGTCGCGCTGGTCAAGAGCAACGCCGAAGAATTCGCCAAGTGGGAGCTCGAATGGGACCACCAGGTGCTGCAGACGGCGGGCTGGGAGGCCAACGACCTCGGGGCGAAGCGCATCATCTTTAACGACAAGCTCGCCGCGTTTGACACGGCGCTGCTGGATCTGGAGCTCGGCGGAGGGGTGAGTAACTACACTGTCCAGTCCTTTGAACCCCTGGCCAACGAAGCCGCGCGATCAGGGCGGGCCAAGCGAGACGCATGCATGCTAACGAGACTCGCGCACCTAGATTCCCAACCGCACGCAGTTCAAGCACGTCGTGTTCGGACCCCAGCTGTGGTCGGGCTACGACGAGAGCTACTTCCCGGCCATCCGCGACACGGTCGAGGCGGGCGACTGGGAGCTGGCGCGGCGCGTGATGGCCAAGACGTCGGCGATTCTGCGCAGCGCGGCGACGGTGCTCCAGATGGAGAAGTAGAAGCGCGTTTTCAGTTGACGCGCGACGAGACGAACAGTTTTTTTCCCCTTGTACAATTTTTGGCTGCAAATCGCGTGGGCAGGGAAAGCGAGGGTGAAGCTTTGCTTGCCGCCGACGAGGAAGAAGCATCAGACATGTGGCGGGCGCCATTCCTAACCTTTTTCTACCCCCTTTTACGTCCTGTTGTGGGCTTTCTTGTGTCCATTTGTTATGTTGTCTTGTGTTCCCTGTCTGAGGGGGTGTGCGGAGCGTGTGTGCTCTGGGACCCCCGTGGCAGAGCGGTCATTGCATGGAGTTGGGATTGCTTGGATTGCGCGTCCCTGGGAAGACGCCCGGGGAGGCGGGGGCGGGTCGTGCCTGAAGTCGGTGAATAGCATTAGCATCATCATCGACCGTCTGTCTGGCTTTGTTTTGTTTTTGCGGAAGAAAGCGTTGTGCGAATATCATCATCTCGAGTGGAACGTTTTGTCCTGACGCTCGTCTCCTTCTAATACGTGTTTGACGCCGTCCCGAGCCCGTCAGTTGGGCATTCGTACAGTGACCTCCATCTACTCGGAGCTCAGCGACTGCTGCTGCTTCCTCTCGTTATACTCCCCCACCGACACCAACCTCCCCACCACATCATACTTCTCCAGGAAGCGCTCCTCCCACCCCCTCAGCGCCTCCATCTCGTCGGGTCCCAAATCCGCCAGCGTGTCCAGCGGCCCGTCCAGGTCCTCCGTCAGCATATCCTCGTCGAAGCTCCCGCAGGCGAGGCCCCTGCTGGCGTCGCGCCCCGCGAAGTTGGCGTAGGGCCCCCCGGGGCCGTAGAAGTTGCGCCCGCGCGAGACGTCGAAGACGCGGCCGCGGACGGCGAAGTAGACGGGTGCGTCCGGGGCGGAGGTGCCGTTGTAGGGCAGCAGGCTGCGGGGCGTGTATGTCCGGAAGACGGTGGGCGGGGGGCCGCGCGGGAGGGTTGGGTATGAGGAGGATGAGGAGGAGGATGAGGAGAAGAAGGTGCTGTAGAGGGTGTAGAGGAGGAGGGAGAGGAGGATGAGGTTGAGGGGCGTGAGGAGCGCGGCGCTGGTGGGAGACGGAGCGTTAGCTGAGGTCGCACACGCACGATTGGGGATGGAGACGGGGGAGGATGACGGCGGGAAGGATGTACCTGGCGGGCTGTTTGGCGGCCTCTTGGGCCATGCGGTGCTCGACGTAGTCCATTGCGTGCGTGCGTGCGTCGCAGAGGCCGAAAGCCGTACCTGGCTTGTGGGCGTCGGGCGTTTGCGCGGGAAGCTGTAGATGGCGATGGGAAGAGGTGGAGGAGCAGGAGGAGGATTGGGAGAGGCGGCACTTGTGAGACGTGGAGCCGCTGGCTCGTTAGATAAGGTAGGTTGTCAGCTCCAGCTCCGCGCCGTTCCGGGGCATCCATCCATCCATCCTTCCAGGAATCCAGTGTTAGTGGCAGGGGTCCGTCTGTCCGGTCCGTTCCCACAGGTACGTACCGCATTGACCGGACCGCACCGACGCACCGACGGGATGACGACACACTGCCGCTCCGGCCTGGTTTCAGCCAGTACTGTAGACGCAGTGTCAGTGAAGCTATGTTCCGAATTCCACGACTTGGATATAACGTTTTCTGTCGTAAGAAATTACAGTACAGGGACGAGATGGCTTCCAGCGATGATGAGTACGCAACAAAAAAAGATCTTGAGGGTGATGAATTGGGTTCACGTTGCCGCTGTGCCGCGCGGGGAACCGCTGGCAGTTCAGGGTCCTGGTGTCGCTGCGCACCACCACGTCAAACGACCTCTCCTCTACTGCACACATCACAATGTCCCGTGCGGCTTCGAACCAGGCCTGCCTACCAAGGTCACCCTCGTTACACTTCTGCGAAACATAGCATCGTCTCCACTGCCCTTACAGAAGGTGGCCTACCGACACCACAATGCTGAGCTCGCCCTGCCGCCCGAGGCGGCATGAAGACTACACCGTCGCCGTCATTTGCGCCATCGGCTTCGAGATGAGCGCTGTCCGATGCATGCTCGTGATCGAGCATCCCCGCCTCCCCCACAGGCAGGGCGACTCGAACGTGTACATCCTCGGCGAGCTCAGTGGTCGCAACGTCGCTACGAACATGGACCGGTCTTTCCCTTCCATCAAGTGGCGATTTCTCGTCGGCTTCGGAGGAGGCGTGCCCAGCGACAAGCACGACATCGGCTTGGGTGATGTTGTGGTCTGCATGCCCGACGGCCAATCCGGCCAGAGAGGATCGGGCTCTCCGACTACCAACCGCCGAACCTGGGAAACAGACTTGAAAGGGCTTTTGATGGTTTCAAGAATAAGACTGCAAATGCGTCTAACCGCCAGACAGACTCCCAGTGCTAATGAAAACGACAAGGACGGCGGCGTACCTATAGCCAGATTGGTCAGCAGATAATGCATCATGCCCCGATGAAGTGAAGATGAACCCACGTCGCTGTACCGACGAATATCTCCGGTCTCCTTGCCTTCGTGATGACGGCAACGCTTGCGGCGAATCCGAGAGTGAACAAGGTGACCAGCAGGAGTTTGATCCAAGGTGTCTGCACCAGATACAATATAATGATCGGTCCGACGAGAAAGGTAGTGGCCACAGCGATAGTGATTGCGTTTAGAATCGTGGTGACCATGGCCTCTTCAAACCGTGCTATTCGCGGCTTTTCAGGGTCCAAGCCCGTCTCCTGGGACAAGGGTTAGGCAGTCCGCAACAAAAGCAAGCAGAGGGGGATCGTGTGGTAGCATACGGCACGCGCCAGCCGTTTCCTCAGGAACTGCGAGAGGTAGTCTTCGTGGCTTGCAGGACCCAGGGCCACGAGATCGTTTTCGGCTTCCAGATAGTGTCTCGCCTTACCCTGAATCTTGTAGACACCGCCCTGTCGCATCATGTCACTCAGGGTCCCGACCACTCTGGTGTTTGGGCGTCCTAGCTGCGCTAAGCGACTTCGCAGGAGGAGAGCTTCATCTACTTATCTTAGCGCAGGATTCATCCTAGGCAATGATATTTCGCTAGTTTCAAGTATAGGAGAGATAACGCACGGTATTCCTTGATCTTTAGCCTTAGTTCAAGTATGAGGTCCATTCTCTCCTTCGCGTCTGGCTGTCGAGGGTGATTCGGCTGGCAATGCGCGACCAAGGCCTCCAAGCTGAACGTCTCCGCTATTGCATCCGGACTCAGGCGCCCGGTAGACTCTCGGTTCATCGTAGCCAGACGTTCCTCGATCTCCATCATCTCGCTCTGAAGATACAGGAGGTTGAAGGCTGCAAGCTTATCGAACCTGCGAAAGACAAGGCCTTCGTCATCTTGGTCAGAAGTAATCCAGTATGACCACTGTGCGTAGCCTGCCGGCGTCGCGGCTTGAGCCATGGGCGAGGTTGCAACATGAAAGACTCGGGCGTGCACACTTCTTCAAGCGAAATCACTGTCAAGAATACTCAACCACAGGAGACCCTATAACAATAACGACGCAGCCGCCTTTCGTCCCTGCCGCAGGTGCGTGTCAGGCTTTTAAGTCACAACCAGCACAGCCATCACTGAACCGGACTGATGCACAAAGTACTGGGATTGCAGTCGTTCAGCCGCACGACGTGGGGGCGTGTAATTGGTTTGTTCCTTGAGACATCCCGGCCCCAGAGCATGCACAGGAGGCTTCGACAGAATGAACACGGGTTCAAATACATAATACCCTCAAGTCGTGTTCTGCAAAATGATTCTTTTGATCAGGCGCTCTTTGACCTCCTCGTCAGCACAATCTTCTCTCCAACGCAGAAAGCCCTTATTGATCCCAACAAGATCCAGATTGAGAGGCAGATGAAGGACTAGTGCCGCAAGAACCGACTCTCGCCCGCCCATCGCGTCCTGCCCCGTCTTGCGGACATACATCGTCGAGCAAATTTCCCGGATTCGCCGTGTCTCTGCCCGCTCCAGCAATGGACCGACTCACAAAAGGATGGGTTCAGCATTTACGCAAAACAGCCCGGCAGGAGATAGCTGCCAGGAGCTGCTGCCCACTCTGCGGGGCCGAGATCCAGCCTGACCTCGACTCCTTCACTGCCCATGTCCGCGCAAACGTCTCCAGCCATCCTACCCTTGCCGACGCCGCCGACATTGAGGAGGCTTTTAAGCACGTTACGATACACAATCCCCGGTAAGCCCTGATGCCCTCGTCTTGCTTTATGCTTTGTGCTTTATGTCTTCTACTGTGCTGTCATGTCATGCCATGTCCAGCCCTCTCGTAACACAGGATGCCGCCCACTCCACCTATCCCTGACCCCTGACTGCTGGTGTTGACCGCGCAGATCCAAACTCGCAACCCGGCCTTCGGACGCCACTGGTCTCGATCGGCCAACCAGGAAGCGTCCCGTTCCCAGTGCTTCGGCTGCCGTGAACGATGCCGATGGACTGGAGTGGCCGGAGGACCCTGACGACGAGAACCAAACCAAGGGAAACCGGCGTGGAAGCAAGAAGCTCTGCTCCCCGCCCGCCTCGGTGGCCCAGCAGCGTGGCTCCTCACCACCCACCCCAGGCAGCAGCCGCTCGAGACTGAATAACATGAGTGATTTCGACCGCGGCACCGCGTCTAACCGTCCAACCGGTGGCCAGCTCTGGAGCCCGGACGATGATGCGCGCCCGAAGACGCCAGTGACCCGACACTCACAGCTTGCCAGCTTCAGCCACTCCCGCCGAGCCCGGCAAACGAGGACGCAACGTTCCTCCCCACGGAACGGTGACTCCTCCGTCGAGCCTTCTTCGGCATGTGAGATGATGAGGCAGCCTGAGACGAGACCCATCTCCCAAGAACAGCTTATCGCCGAGGTTCGGGGCATCTACGCCGGTCTAGTCATGATTGAGAGCAAATGCAAAGAGTACGGTAGCTCGCAAGAGACGGGGCAACTCAGCCAAGGTCAGTACCAGGCCCTTATTTCGCTACAACGATCCGCTCTTTCTAAGCACCACGACTTCCTTCTAGCTAGCCACCATCCTTCCGTCGAAGGGGCTCTACGCCGTCTCGCCTTCCAGTATCACGCGATCATAGCGCGGACAAAGGCGTTGCAGCGACAACAAAGCCAATTTGAATGGCGCATCGACGGCCTTGTCAACGGCAATCCCATTTCTGCCCTAGCTGATACGGGCGCCAACTGTGTCGCAATATCAGAAGAGCAAGCGAAGCGATTAAATTTGACGCCGGAGCCTGGGGGCGCAGGGAGGCGTTTCCGGCTTCCGTGTGGACAAGTTCGCGAATCATCTGGCGTCGTCCAGACGAACTTCAAGTTCGCTAATCAGGAGGGAAGCGGGGTGTCGTACCCACTACGGTGCTACATCATGCCACAGCTTGAGCGTGATCTCATCCTCCCTTTCAAGTTTCTGCAGGATACAGGGACGTTTTCGCAGCATCGAAACCGCCTGAAGGAGGTGCCTATCGGGCCGTTTGACCAGGAGAGAGTTTCCCTCCGGCTATTAGACGGCCACAGTGCCTTCGAGAACGAGGACAAGGCACGTCTGGCGGGATTCGTTGGCGGCTTGCCGTGCGTAGCGGTTCCGGATACGGGTTCTACCATCATGGCTATGGCTGCTTCCTTTGCGGCAGACCGCGGTCTCGATATCGACCCGACGCGAAGGATCAAGGTCAGGTTCGCGGACGGATCTGAAGCCACAACACTCGGGACAGCCACGGCGTCTTGGGCCTTGCGGGAGGACGACTACCCGGTCAATTACGAATGGCATGTTCTGGAGGGACTGAGCGTCAACGCCATTTTGAGCATCGACTACATCAAGTCCCACGATATCTTCGGCGGCGAGCACGAATCCAGCTTCGTTGACGCCGACACGGCCGTCGATTGGGAGCATTCGGACATTTTTGGCATCTTTCGGGTTGCCGAGGGCAGCGAGGAACTTGGCAAACTCGCAGACGACTTCTTCACTGACAGTACGTCCTTCTCCTCTCCGCAATTGCTTCCTCTACTTTCTCACTCCATCTCATCACATTCGCCTGTGCTAATGGCAAGCCGCAAAATGCAAAAGTCAACTCCCCAGACCGCTTCACCTATCCGCAGCGCGTCAAGGAGTACGCGCGGCGGGAGGAGATCCAAAATGCAATCGCCAAGCTCCCTACAGCCCAGCATGAGACCGCGCAGGCGGCTGAGAAGGACAGGCAGAGGTACTGGGAACACCGTCAAAGGATTCATATTCTCGGCCTCAACAGACAATTAGTACAACACGGCGATGAGCCACCCCCTGATACGGCAGCGGCGGAACTATCGTCGCTAGAGCCCTCGGATAAACGACCCGACAGGCGGTGGAAACTTTGGCGTCGTTACAAATGAGTAGCGGCTTGACGAAGTCTAAAGGCACGACTTTATAGGCCCCCGCACGGCAGCTCTGATGAGAGTTACGCTAGAGGGGGGAAACGCGATTTGACGTGGAACGAATTCAATGATAGTATCACTCCCCGCTTGTGTTCGAAGTATAAACTAGATACTGCCACCTCCCCTAATCCACCGCCTGCCGTTGCAACGCCTGCGAGTGCGACATGCTAGGTCGGTAATTTAAACGGCACGGCCCGGGGGGAGAGACTTTGACGAGGGCACTGTTTTTATGGTGCAGTAACACCCCGTCTTCTGTATCGCATGCACAGGCAATATGCCGTCTCCAGCTCAGACATGGCCATTGATCTATAGTGGGCCGGACTGTATGGTCTCTAATCTCTATATCTGGCCTTGAATGACTGTACTTTCCAGTATCTGGTTAAGCGTCGCCCGGCGCTGATCGCGGCGCCGCTTCGATGCCGTCTGTGCCGACGCGCTGTGGCAAATCGAGCTGCAGGTGAGATTAACGAAACATCATCAGCCCTATAACCCAGGGCCAACCATCATCGCCCTCTGAGAGACGATCTCCCTCATGCGGTTCCTCTGTCTTTGACACGACGGAAGGGCATCGCCAAGATGGCCGCCAGTATTTACAAGCCGCTCGACAACGCTGTGCACGAGATTCGACTCCTGACTCCAGCTCCGTCGCAGGCTAAATCCGGCACGGAATGGACGCTGAGGATCGTTGCCCTCGATGCTTCCCCGCCGCTCGCGGCGCTGTCGTATCTCTGGGGAGAGGCCGCAGAAACAGTCACAATCAAGATCAACGGCCAGTCGATGCCGGTGACGGCGAACCTCGCGTCTGCCCTGCGGCATGTAGAGCAGCACTGGCGACAGCGCTTCCCCGGCCGAGACGTGGCAGAGTTTCACCTCTGGGTCGACGCCGTGTGCATCAACCAGAGCGACATTGCTGAGCGCGAACAGCAGGTGAAACTGATGGGCCGGCTCTACTCCACCGCAGAGCTCGTCATGGGGTCCCTGGGCCCGTCCAGCGATGCCATCAGAGTAGCCATTGACACTCTGCGTCTCGTGCATGGCGAAGTCGGACAGCTTGACGATGACGACAGCGAGTCGCTCGAGGCGAACCTGAGCTGGATGCAGAAACACGCCGTGCTCACCGACGCCGACGTAGGACTGCCAGGCGACCAGTTCGACGCCAACAAGTCGTGGCGCATGCTCTGCGAGTTCCTCTACCTGCCATACTGGCGCCGCGCATGGGTCGTCCAAGAGATCGTCCTAGCAAAGTCCCTCCTCCTTCTTCTCCGAGGCTCAAGCCCTCGACCCCGACGCCCTCTTCACCACCCTCCAATGGTTCAAGACCACCCGCGAGCTCGCCAAGCTCCCCGACGCGCCCCGCCGACCGCACTGGCTCATCCCGTCGATCTGGAACTTCCTCACCTACGACAACCTCCTGGGGTGGAAGGCCGTGCTGCGCATTGAGTGGGCCCGGAATGCTGACCGCGACAGCCGCTTCTTCAAGCTCCTGCTGTCATGCGCGGGAAATGATCTCCGCGCGACGGACCCGCGGGATCTCATCTACGGGACCATGGGTCTGACGCGGATGGGATTTGAGCCTGACTATTCCCCCAGTGCGTCGCTGGGCGAGTTGTATGCGAGGTTCATGGTGTGGTGGCTGGAGCAAGTGTCTGCTCTGCAGGCCGAGGATGAGGACTGGACGCTGAATCATTTGGACTTGCTCGGGCAGGCTGGCATGGGACAGGTGGACGATGATGGCGACGATGTGAAGAACAAGGAGCTGATGCTGTCGCTCCCATCCTGGGCGCCCAACTTTCCCCTACACGCCAACACTTACACGCCTCACATCCTAACGACACAGAAAAACGCAGACGCAGACATCTTCCCAGACGATGCGCCAACACCGCGAGTCCAAGGCTTGAGCCTCTTTGTACCAACCATCCTTCTTGACTCGATCGTCAAGGTCGACAAAGTCAAGGCCACGAAACAGAGCCATGGACTTCTCTGCTTCGTCATCTCCTACGTCTCGCAGCACGCGGCCTATCCCACCGGCCACCCATCCCTGCAGGGCCTCTTCCGCACCCTCATGAAGGACATATTGGGCGATGCCAGGCCCGAGGACCGAACCGTGATGACGCGTTTCTTCGGCTTCGTCCGCGCCCTGATCCACGGCCCCGAAACGGGAGTCATTGAACTGAAGCCTGAAGAGGCACTTGAGAAACTTGGCTTCAGCATCGAGTCTGGTGCGCAGTTCGCCGACTCGGTCCGCGCCGTGTACCTGCCCGACATGGACGCCGAGACGGCGGCCTGGGCGGAGAAGTGGCTCCCGCTGCTGCTCCAGCCGAGCTGGGACGGCGGGTGGCAGGACGCGGACGTGCTGGATCTGTGTCTGAGGACCGTGCTGGAGACGAGGGAGCTGGACTATACCAGTATCGCGACGACAGAGAGGGGGTACCTCGGCGTGGTGCCCATCGGGAGCAAGGTCGGTGATCAGGTTTGCCTGATGAACAGGAGCGACTGTGCTTCGGTGGTAAGGGAGGGGAATGGATACTGGGAGCATGTGGGAAGGTGTTATAGTTTTGGGCTGTCGGAGTATAGAGACGAGGGGTTTGTAAAGGAGATGCCTGCGTATAAAGTGTTGGAGTATCGATAGAGCTTGCAAAGGAGTTACACTCTCACAGCTTCAACTCGTTTGTGCTAGAGCAGACTCCGAAGAAGTCCAATAACAGTCCATGCTCATGTAACTCAGGCAATCTCAGGTAGCACTTGCCCTTTCTATCATCAAGCATTTCGCTACTGTCCAAGGCTTTCAAGAGGTCCAGGTCCACGCGTATCGGCATCTCAAGTGTAATCGCAAGCCCGGCCCGCATCTGAACTCACCCATTCTCCTGAGCCCTCACCACACATCACCATCCTGGCCTCGAGCATTCTCACCGCCACCAACAGCGGCGGCCCAGCCATCGCCTCCAACCCCTACTGCCCATACCCCTTCACCACCACCTGTCTCTTATACACATCTAGATGTGTATAAGAGACAGTCCCACTCCTCCTCCAGCATGCCCATCTCCACCAGATCCCACCACCGCCTGTCGAAGCGCACCCGTCCGCGCAGCCTCCCCTCCTCGACAAAGCCCGCCCGCCGGTACAGCCCCAGCGCGCGCTCGTTGTAGCTCGCCGTCTGCAGGCCCACGCGGTGCAGCCCCCCGTGCCGGAACCCCCAGTCCACCAGCCAGCCGAGCGCCTCTCCGCCGAGGCCCCGGCCCTGCGAGCTCGAGGCCAGGCACAGCGCCACGTTGGCGGACCGGTGGTGCGGGGCCGACGGCGCGGTGGCGTGCAGCGCTGCGAAGCCGATCATCTTGGGCTTCTTCTTGTCGATAGTGCTGGTGCCGGTGCCGGTGCTGGTGCTGGTGCTCCTGGCGTTGGAGATGCCGTCGTCGCCAGTTGCTGGCGCTGGTGCGCCTTTGGGTCCCGATTTTTCGTTGTCGCCATCATCATCCGGAGGGAGACAGACTGCCACGGCGATGAGGCACCCGGCGATGACGTCCGTGTACGCGGCGCTCTGCTTGCGTGACTGCGGGCGGAGCAGATCGCCCGTCGAGAGCGCCTCGACAACGGGGTCGTTGGAGATATGCTCATGCATCCACGCCTGCAGCTCCTCGTCCTGCCCGTCGAACGGGCGGTAGACGAGCCGCTCCGAGCGCCAGGCGTTGCTGGCCGTAGTGATGACCGAGTCCATGATGGCGATCATGGAGCTTTGTCTCACGGGTGGTCGGGATTCAAGAATGGGGAATCCCAACTGTAAGCAAGGTGTAATGTGATGCGCCAGTAGAATACGCTCTGGCCATAAAAGAGCGAGCCCGTTTAATTTTAGGTTTTTCGTCCTTCCGCGACGGCTACCGACGTAGTTGATGCGCAGCGTACCTTATGTGTCCCTGATTGTGCCTCTGCGCCCTCCATGTTCACGACGGGGCACGCGCAACGGCGTCGTCTGTCCATTCGCGGCGCTTCGTCAATCGTGACGCTTCTGCAGGTAGGGCCTGCGTAATCTGCCTAAACGGCGCCGCCGCCGCGGTGGTGCAGCTGCGTAAGATCGGGGGACATGGCGAGTTGCGTTGCGCGGCGAGCCCCATTGCCGTTAGCTCCTTGACGATCCATTTACTTACTGGGCGGAGTCTCAGCAAGCAACAATTCGAGGTGGGCGCCCGTCTACTGATGCATCTGTTCATCCTCAGATACGCGAGGGAAATAGATGTGAGGTGCTCACAAAGTGGGCATGGGCACTAAGCACACTGTTACATGTCGAGGACTCGAGCATTGCGAGTGTTCCGTAGCAAAGTATTAAGGCAGTGTCTGGTGCATGTGATCTGGTTTGGAGAAACGGATGGGCCCAGCGATTTCTGCGTCGCTGGCTCCGTCCGGGGGTAAGTACTTGGTTGCAATACTATCGCTAGACAGCATTTCTGGCTGGTAGTGAAGATGTTTCTTGACTACATGTACTTCGTACGGACTTCCGCTACGTGGACCTACGTAGAACTGCATGTGGCCATGAACGACCTCCGCATCGTCAAATCACAGCCTCCTCCTGCAGATACAATCTCATCAGCCTAACTTGCTCCGAAGGGGGATCCAGATGCATAGCCCTCGGACGTCAAATAATAGCTTGCTATCAAGCAAGCCGGGGAACGAGTGACAACGGCTTTAACGGACGGTTGGAAACCCGCCCCGACGTCTGCGAGGGACTGTCCGTGTGGGTTTCTGCTTTACCTACAACTCCGCAGCTGAACTGACACATTCCAGTGGCTTAGACAGCGGCCCCACCCCGATGTTCCCGACGCCGTAGTGCCTCATCAGACGGGGAATGGGGATCTGGAAACTGACAACCTCCGTCGCAGGCATTCATTCTAAAAAGCATACCTCGGGGTTCATTTGTGGTTCCTTTCTGGCCATCCTTGAATAATTGCCGTAGGGTATGAATATGAACATATGCGGCTTGAGAGTTTGCCGAGCAACTCATTGATAGGTGCAGCTGTCACGTCATGCGACGTTTGGAGGCGTTATCAATCGCGGGGTGGCGCGCAAGAAACTGACGATGTGGCGGAACGATCGCAAATGCGGGGCCGACTTTACCGAAGGCTATCGGCCGATCACCCGTCGGAGTTCACATGTATATAAGGATGAATTGCGTTTCTCTCCAGATAAAAACATTCATCAGAAATTCCAATAAACTAACGCCTGTCACCACTCTTGTGCCAAGAACTCCTGCGTCATCTTACAGTAACACGCAAACATGTGCGCGACCAAAGTCGAGAGCAATTCCGGACCGATTCCCGAGGCGATGGGCCAACTGGTCGAGACCTACGCGCAGCTGTTCAAAAACGGCCAGCGTTCCCCCATACTGCGTCGACCAGACGAGTATGGCATGAAGTACGAGGACATATTCTTCCCTTCCCTTGACGGTACCATCTTGCAGGGCTGGTTCATCCCTGCAGCCAATTCCAAGAAGCTCATCATTGCCAACCACCCCATGACGTGCAATCGCTACGGGTATCCCGGACATCTGGAGGGCTACGGGGGCTTTGGGGGCTTTGAAGTCAACTTCTTGCCCGACTACAAGGCTCTCCACGACGCTGGCTTCAACGTCATCTGCTACGACCTTCGCAACCATGGCATCAGCGATCAAGGCTCAGGAGGTACCTGCGGTGCTCTCGGATACTATGAAGCTCGCGACGTCGTCGGCTCTCTCAAATATGCCCGCTCGCGCCCCGAGACCAAAGATAACTCCATCGGTCTTCTGAGCCGCTGCATGGGCGGCAACTCCACCATCCACGCCATGACGCATTTCCCCGAATACTTTTCCGACATCAAGGCCCTTATCCTCCTGCAGGCCGTCTCCGGGCACGCATTCGTGGAGAAGGGCGCCATCAACTCCAACCTCGACGTTGCGGCAACTGTGGCGGCCTTTGACAAGCGGATCCACGAATTGACCGGCTTCCGCCTGAAAGAGCTGACTCCCATACCGTTAGCCAAGAATGTGACTGTTCCAACTCTGTTTGCGCAGGTTAGGAAGGACGCCTTGATCGATACGAAGGACAGTCAGGAGATTTTCGATGCTCTGGGCAGCAAGGAAAAGAAACTCATATGGATCGAGGATTCGACCAGACGATTCGACGGCTACAACTACTTTGCCGAAAAGCCCGCTGAGATGGTTCAGTGGTTCCAAAAGTTTGTTTAGAAAGAAAGAGACAGTATTAGGAAAGCCTACGAATCTTATCCGATTGTGGTGGTGTAGGTCGTGTACTTCGCGAACGAGCTGTCGTGGGGTCGTGGGCGCGTGCCTTGTCTGGACGACAATCGTCACCTCTCGTGAAGAATGCCCAGACTCTCCTGTGAAAATCCACGGTCGACGCGTTGCCTTGTCTCTGTACCAAACAACCATCGCAGGTTCGCGTGGAGAGCGTCTCATAACAATACAGCAAACCGCTCCTTTCGCCGGCAAAGTCCATCATGTGCGGACACCGCCTCGCTGCCGTTTGCGAAGCGTTCGCACATCATACGCCCGTCCAGTGGAAGCTGCACCAGGTTCCCAAAACCGCCGCAAGGTAATGATGAGATGAGTGAGCTGCAAGCTGGTACAAGACTCTGCATTTCACTGCGCACCCTGGGTCAAACATCGCGGTGCGGTGTTTGATGCCCGAATTCTCGCCTCTCGCCTTCAACCGATACTACAGATCTCTCCCCAGTCTTAAACACACACAAAGAGTCTATTATTCTAGACCATATTATTTCGCTTGCCAGGTCTCAGCGACACGAACTTACAAGGGCCTTTCATCAACTCAACTCCAGTTACGCTGCCGTCCCCATCTCGACACTTGAGACAGGCACCGCAAACAACGGCACAGCACAAATGAACACAAGTCACGCAGTCGGCCATTTCTGATCACGCACACTCTTCACCCGAGACTTGCATTTTCGCAGGCTCTTTCACAGGTTCCTCTGCGCGCGCAAGCCCCCACCCACCGACCACATGGTCGACCTGGTTGAAGTGCCTTGAACTGAGTTGAGTTGAGCTGAGCTGCTTGCTTCCGAACTCCGCGCCAGCTGACAACCAGTCCCTAGGCCCGGTAAACCACACCCAACCCTCGGTTTGCACCAGATACATGCACCGTTTCACAGGCGGGCTGCAGGCCCGGCAACTCAACATGACCAGTAGACCGGGAGGCCACCCGGCCGTGTTCTCATACACGGCTCGATTCACTGGTTTGAGCCGACCCGTCGCCACCGCAACGAACAGCTGGCTGGCACCTCACCTGCCCGAGTCAATAGCGCAACTGCCCTATTGTTCAGTACTCTCGACGCAGTTAATCCAGCCCGGACCCGTTCATGTTCACATTCACCTGTGCTGATCCGCGCGCAAACGGCCCGCCAGCTGGCAGTATATAAACTCGCCGAACACACCTCCCGCAGGCAGAGCTCACCTTCACCTCAACAACAACCTCTCCGGATTCAACCTACTAGTTCCACGCCACATCCAGGCTCCATCCCAGTGACTTTGACCCTCGCAACGTTGAAGGCTCTCGCGGCGTTGAAGGCGCCTTGAATGCAAGAAGTTGGCTCGGTCCAGGCAGGCCTTCATTATGGAACCCTATCGGCGACCCGAGACGGACCAGGTGGCAAAGAATCGCAAGGCTCTTGTGGTGGACACCAGCGGAATCTCAACCGCAGGGCAGGCGTCGTCGGGAGGCTCGTCGGCGCGCTTCACGCCCAGCCCGTATGATGTCCGTTACTTTCCTCGCAACGAAAGGCCGCGCACCCCAGTTCGATATGAAGATGTCGCATCACAGTCCACCAACGACACAGCACCAGATCCGGATGCCGGCCGCGGCTTCACCCACCGTGCCGTGATGGACGCGTTTGCTCCGGCAAACAGAGCAGGCTGGCTTGGTGTTCCCTTCTCTTCGCGGGGCTTCCCCCACCAGGATCAACAGCCTGCCGACAGTGCCTACGGCTCTTTAGAATCTCCTGTTTCTCTGCCCTACGGCCAGGTCAGCAACTCGCACCACCACCGCGGGCTAAGCATGGCCAGCTTGGCGACGGTGAAGGAAGACTACAGCCGCGGTGGGGAGTCTCTGCAATTCAGCGCGCAGAAGCAGGAGTCTCCCTTCTCGGCGCCTGTCTTCACAAACATGGAGCCACAAGAACGTGCCGTCGCCAGACCATCTCCTTTTGCCGCATCGCTCTGGCATCAGCGCTCGGCATCTGTACCCAGAGTTGGACCTAGCAGTCTGTCAACTGCACTGCGAAGCGCGACACAGAGTTCTTGGGCCGCCGAAGATCCATTTTGGTCACCTCGGACGGGCAGAGTTGGTGCGCCTTCTGCGCCTCTGATGAATCGAGAGAATGGCCGCGACGGACAATCTTGCACCGAGGATCCCGGGCAGCAGAGCGCCTTCAACATGCAGGACCTTCGTGTAGCTCTTCCCGCGCTCACCGGAAACGACCACACCCAGCGGTGCAACGATCGAACCCATAATCTGTCGCATAACCATGGCGACAGAGGCCCTGCTTCTCTTGCTTTGGGTTGGTTGGGCGATCCGTCTTCGCTTGTAAAGGTTGGTCACAGCGCGGCTGGCACGCAGCCCATAGACGTGTCTCCTGCATCCTCGGCATTCCCAGCCAGGGGCATGCGGAGTCTCGCAGTTCCCGGCTTCACGCCGATGCGCGCTTGCCTGGCCGCCGCCGAAGAGGAACGAGCCCAGGGCCAGCAAGTCGCGAGGCCTGCTCTGAGCAGCCAGGCGTGTTGCTCGTCCAAATTTTCTGTACGATACAAGGGCATGCATACAACAAAGAATGCCAGCAACGACATCCTTCCCGACAGACTCAACTGTTCGGTCTGGATCACCAATCTCCCGGAGGACATCACCTACGCGGAGCTGCTCGAGAGTGTCGGCTCCCGTGGGCGAATTTTCTGTTCCTTCATCAACAGTCCGGACGGGATCAAGTTTCACACGGCCGCCGCCAAAGTGGTCTTCTTCAAGCCTGGCCCCGCGCAGAGGCTCCGCGACGAGGCCGCTCATCCAGGTTTCTACGTCCGCGGCCATCGGACGCGCATCACCTTGAATCGCATCAAGAGCGGAGAGGTGCAAGTGGCGGGACGCAACTGCCGCGTTCTCATCATCACCGGACGGGATGATTTCGTCAACGAGCAAACGTTGCGCGAGTGGTTTGACAGACGCATTGTGTGGCAGGGAGATGGGGTCAACGAGCTCATCCACGCGCGGGGCCGGAGAGTGCTCGAGTGGCGATTCGGCTCGTACAGAAACCAGGCCGAGATGGCCAAGCTCGCGCTCGAGAAGGACCGCCCGGTCGGCCTGGAGCACGTCGAGTTTGGGTTCGACCCGAACGAAGTCGGCGCCGAAGACATGTCGTCGTACGCAATTGCGGCGGAGCGCATCCAGGGCAGATACTGATGGTTCGGTGCCGGAGATTCCGATCCAGTTATGGCGGTGGTTGAATGGGGCTTTGATACAACGCAGACGAGTTACTTGGCTCTTGGACGGTTGTGTGCAGTAGGAAAGTCGGGCTATCCGCCAACGATGCCGAAAGGACATTGCTGTTGCTGGCAGTAGACAGTTTGAGCTTACAAAATTGCTCAGTGAATAGAGAGCTGTACTCTGGTAGCCGGCAATTTCGTGACGATGTGGTCGCAAGCTTCACTCCTCCAAATCTCCCCAGTATGCTTTGAGGTCTTCTGCGCGCCACTTTGTTCTCCATCCGCTCTCCCGCTCGATTCTGTCGAGCAGCTCCAGAATAGTTCGGTGTTCTTCGGGGTGGCTCATACACCTCCCGGCAACCCATAAAGGCTGAATCCCGTTTGTCCAGGCCCCGTGGTGTTCGTTGGACATACTTATGGCACAGACTCTCCGTGCGTGCCAAAGGATGGTGCGCGGTCGCGGAGTCAGTCTGACACCTGGCGGCTGGTTCTGCAGCATGAGCAAAGAGGCCGTGTGGTGGAGCTGGTTCCCGGATATGGCGGCGGGGTTGGAGAAAATGACTGTCGGAAAGGGAGACTTCGTGGACGAGGGTATCGTCATTATTGGAAGCAGCGGAGCTGGCCGGGCATCGTGCCACTCGGATATGTACCGCCAAAGTTTGGTCCATCGCGCCCGAAAGGCAGGATCTGAACGATTCCCGACATGCAGGGCGGCCGTATCAGATAAAGGCGCGAGCAGGTCTAGCACCTGGGCCGTGAGGTAGACGGCATAATTGGACCAGCCGGTAAAGTCTCGTATAGCTCGGAATCTCTGTACATCTTGGTCGAGATCGTTGGTGCTACTGCCCATCGTGGCTGCCCAGTGAGATACAGGGATGAGAGTCGTGACGGAAGAGATGAGGCCGCCACAGACGTCCATTCGGGCGAAGCACCAGAAAAGCGCTTGTTCAATACCGCCGACGAACCCGTTTATGCCAACGGCCTCCATAAGGCTGGCGCAGCCATCCAGATGGCGCTGCCAGGCCTTGGGCGAGCAGCTCATCATCTCCAGGACACATAGGATCACACACGAAGCGATGACGGCAGTGCCGCGGGAGGGAAGATGTGGCAGAAGGTGGTGGATAGCCTGTTGATACAACGCGAGAGAGCGATCGGTCGGCGAAGTCGTCTCCTTGAGCTCCATCTGACGCGCGGAGAGTGCAAGAATTGCGTAATGTAGATGATCGTGGTCGGGGGCCATGGTGGGAATGATTTGCTGAAAGTGGCGGTCATTGTCAAACTTGTCAAGCCATGGGGAGACCTCGTCGAACCAGTTCCGCCAGAGGACACACTCGTCCTCCTTGGGTAGCAATGAAGGCAGCTGGGCGACGGATATTGACAGGTCCAGTGCATATTCGGGCACCTTGCCGGGTTCTTGGCTGACACCATCGTTGTCGTCGAACTCGAACCTCGGGGTCGCTTGACGAGTGGGGGCGTTCGACTTGACTTCGTGGATCAAGTGATTGCGCAGAGTTGAATGCAGCTCGTGGTACGCAGAGCCAGGGAGAAAAATGCCGTCTTCGATGGAGTTTGTGCCATCAGGGGTAATTGCCTGGAGCTGCTGATCAATGTATTCGGGCACATCCAAGCCGATGGGCAGGGTTGGTGAGGGATGGCCGCCTTGGCTGAAGTAGAGGAGGTTGGCGACGGCGCTCTCCGTCTGGCGGTGGCCGCTGGGTGAGCCATTCGTCGCGGCCAGGGACGAATTGGTGCCGTATGCGAATGGTCCGGTAGATGCAGTGGAAGCTTCGCCACGACCAGCGGGTGGTGTGGTCAACGTAGGTGAAGCCGCATCTCCTCCACGTCTGTCCTCCTCGTCTCGAGGCGAGTAATGGAGCTGCGTCGGCGGCGGTGACAGGACGTTGTACCCGCGGATCACGTCCGATGTGACATCGAGAATCTCATAATTCTTGGGAGGCCGCTTCCTTGTCCGAGCCATGGACGGATGCGAGCCGTCGAGGCAGCGAGCGTTTTCGGCGCGAAAGTTGAGGCGCACGCCCCATTCGCAGCTCTGGCCGCGACGAGCGCAGGCACCGCATGACGGGCGGCGCTCGTCACACTTGCGCTTCTTGCGGCGACAGGCAAAGCATCCGGTGCGCGTGCGGTTGCGCTTGGCGGGCGCGGACGCGGACGCGGGCGGCGAGGAGTCCATCTCGACGCCGCGGCGCTGGTGACAGCGATGTGATGCTGGAGACAGACCAAGATGGGCGTTGGCGGTTGTGGCAGGCGCAGCCGCTGAGGAAGTGGAGGCGAGACACTCCGGAGCTGCTCATTGCCGGTTGCTTGGTGGCTCCTTCCTGTCTCGTTCGTGGCTAGAGCGACCAGTGCAATCCAGCACAGCACCTTCACGTATACGTGCAACAAGCCCGCAAAAGAAAGCCCTTTGCATGCATTAGAACTCCATTCCAATGATACAAGAATAATTGGGCTCAGTACATAATGTGACCCAAAGGGACCTGCGACTCGGCTATTCCTCCAGCGACATCGGCGGGAATTGGTCCGGCGGCAACAATGGCCGCCACCCAAATAGGAATGTCCAAGCGACCCCTCCAAAACACTCGCCTGCCACAGCGCCGCAGGTCGCTGTAAATCACCACCTACTGCAGTCCACCTCAATTCTTCCACTTGAACCACTTCTTATCCTCCGCCTTGCTAGCCCTCCGCTTCGCCTCCTGCTCCTGCTCCGCCATCCACGCCTGCAACACCATCACCTTTCTCTCCATGTCCGCCTCGGACGGCATCCCGCCTCGCCCCCCGTCCCGCGCCGTCTCCTTGTCCGCCGACCCGACGTACTCGCCGTCCGCGACGCCGAGCATCCGACATAGGCCCTCCGCCTTGCCCATCAGCCACGCGCCGTGCCGTAGCCCCTCGCGCCAGTTGACGGGGAGATTCACGTATCCTAAATAGGCGCCCAGCAGTGCGCCCGCGAAGCAGGCGTTGGTGTCGGCGTCGCCGCCGAGCATGATGAGGTCTGTGATGAGCGGCTTGAACGCCGCCGCGCGGGATGTGAGCGTGCCGGTTGATGTGCTGCGCATGGCGAGGCGGAGGAGATGTAGGCCGGAGCCGAACGTCTTGTACACGTAGCCGATCTTGTAGCTGTCGTCCAACTCTAGGTCCTTGAGGTGTTCGACCTTGGCGTGCCGTCGCAGCTCCGTGGCGTCGAGGTCTGGCTCGTCTCGCCTTTCCGGGTCGTCTTGCAGTGCTCGTGCTCGGTGCCTCGCGTACCAATTGATGGCCGTCTCAACCATGCTGTCAATGTCCGCCTCGCTGCGCACCTCCTGCAACACCAGGCCACGAACGAGGGCGGTGCCAATGGCACAAGCGACGACACACCGAGGATCAACGTGCGTCACAGCGGAGAAGGCCGCGGCAACCTCAAAGGTCTCCTCAACGCTCTTGTCCAGGCATACAAGCCCCAACGGATGCGTCCTCATCAAACTACCGTTCGGTGCCGCATTATACTTGGCATTCACCCAGTGCCGTCGCGCAGTGGCCTCCGGGTCATCGAGGTACGTCTTCGTTCTCACGATGGCGCCCACCGTGCGGCCCAGCCCCAGAGGAAGCGTGTCGAGCGGCAGAAAACCAAACTGTACCCACGTATGCAGCCTCGCAGCGAGGTCCTTGGGATCCAGAGTCTTGAGGTCGGTGTGCAAGCAGGAGAGCAGGAGCAGCATGGCATGGTCGGTGTCGTCGGTCCATTCGCCCGGCCGGTGTGGTCCCCGGTGCGTGTCCCTGCGGAAAGGCGTCGCCTGCGACGCGGGAGAGAGGACAAACTTGCGATCGGGATATGCTGCGGCTGACAACTCGCCGGACAGGAACTCGGTGTAGAGGCCAACGGCGTCGCCCAGCGCCGAGCCGACGATGCAGCCGACGATGCTGTCGTGGAGGCCCACCTTGGCCAGCCTGTGCAAGCCGCCTTGTGATAGCTGTAGTTTGTCCATGACGTTTTGAGATATGTCGTGAAACCTGATGATGGCGGCGTCGTCAACTGTTATATGAGGCTAAAGCTGGAGCCTGTCAAGGCAGCCACAAAACGACAAATGAGCCTCGCCGTGCGCTAGGCACACCGCGAGATCGAGCGTTGAGCCGTGCCCGCTAAACTCAGCCGCAACGGCGCTTTGAGTCCAGCCCCAGGTGAACAGCAAAGCATCTTCACCAAATCGTTGGACGTGGGTTAAACGTACGCCTCGGCAATGCTTGATTAAATCAATTGTCCGGTTTCGCGGGTAGCTCATCCCCACACTCATGTGAGGTCAGATTCCAAGGTCACGATATCTCACCATGCATAGCGATTGGTGTCGCAAAAGTGAGAATTGGCATTCGTCGCGCAATCAAGCTGACGCGCAGTGTCCTCCGTCAACCCGCAAATCCGCCCCGTGCATAAAGGACGACCCTTCAGACAGCAGAAACACAGCCGGAGCTTTGAAGTCTTCTGGCGCCCCGAGCCTACCAAGCAACGCACCAGCCATCCACTTGTCCTTGACCTTCGGATTCTCTGCAAGGAGCTGATCCGTCATGGCCGTCCGAATATACTGCAGTACCAAAATTAGCACATCTGCGGCTTGGCTACACCGGACGGGGAGCCACCACTTACACCCGGGGAGATCGTGTTGACGCGAATGCCGTACTCGCCCCATTCCTGCGCCAAGGAGCGGCACATCTGCTGCACGGCCGCCTTGCTCGAGTTGTACGCCGTGCATGTAAGACCCTGCTAATCTCAGCCTACCGTTCAAATCTTCCCGAGAAGTCAACAGCGACTCCACTCACCCGATTGGCAATGTTGCCCGATATGCTCGCAATCATCACGATGCTCCCCGGCCGCCGCGCCTCCTGCAATATCCGCGCCGTGTGCCTGCATGTATTGAACACGCCCGTCACATTAACGCGCATCATCCTATCAAAGTCGGCCGCTGGGTACTGAAGCGCCGGTGTTTGCTGCTGTATTCCAGCGCATGCGATGCAACCCCAGAGCGGCTCCCCGCGCGCCCCAGCCTCAGCTGCAATCTCATCGATGCTGGCCCCCAGGGCGGCGTCGTCTGTGACATCGCAGATGCGGTACGACGCGGAGGCTTTGTTGGTGGAGGCAGTCTTCTCGAGCCTCGCCCAGTCAGGGCCAGGAGACGGTAGCACGTCCAGGCAGGCGACGCTGCCACCGGCCTCTACCACGGCCAATGCCATGGTAAGGCCGAGGCCGCGCCCGCCTCCGGTGATTGCGACGGTCTTTCCTGCGAGTGAGAAGAGAGCAGGAACAGGGGCGGCTGCTGACGGTGTCTGGAGCGATTCCGGGATGGGATGCGCGGGGAGCTCGAGGTCGCGAACAATGGAGGGGGCCATCATGATGAGACGAGCAATCGCCGTGAGTTCAGCGTTGGCGAAGGTGCAGCATAAATTGACTAATTGCTGTGACGAGAAGCGAGGCCTGGGAACAAGGGACTTTGGTGCCAGTACATCTAGTTAATCGCTTCAAGAGATACGGCTCAGCTATAATTATAATTACGGGTTGCATTATCAGCGATCAGAATGCTCTAGCCAGGGACTTTCCTTCAGGTCTTTTCACCTGTTCTGCCCGGTTGCCCGTGTCACGCGAACCGAGAGAGGGGAAGGTAAGTGCAAGCGCTGGTAAGTTCAAGGGGGTTCAAGGTGGGACCCCCGTTTAAGGCAGTTTGAACCAGATCTCGACCAACAGTTCAGGTCAGGAACCTACGCTGCGACACGAGGAATCGAGCAATACCAATATGGCAAAAGTAGTGGAAGTGCCAAGATCATCGCCTGTGCATTCTTGCACGGCGGTGATTGCCAACATGTGCAGCAAACAAGGAGTCGTAGCAGGTGAGGTGTCTCAAAACCTGGCCAACAAGACCACCGCAATATTGTGCAGCCCCAAGTGACCCACGCAAGGTTCTATGCAGCTGCATCACCAGGATGTCCGTTGTGTTACCAGAAGCCTTGCAATCCCACATGCATACTCTCTCAATCTGACTTGAACCCGTAAGCTGGCCCTTGCGCAGCCTGGTTGCCACTGACAGGTCCTGGAATATGTCTTAGTCTCAGCAGTGCATATACGAAAAAAAAAAAACGAAACCGGCGTTGTACAACATAGTATCCGGCGAGCCACTTCGTTCAAGAAATACTACATAATGTCCACTCACAGAGCCCTAACGCGGGATTCGTACATTAAGGACCAATTCACCGCTTGGCACAGCGGCTTGTCCAGTACATCTTGTTCCATCACGCCCCATTGCACATCAGTGGCCCAACTCCGCCTCGAGTCAAGATGGACACAACGCAAGAGTCGATACCGCTCGGCAATGTTGACCCCGAAAGCACATGCTCTCATCCTTGCCCAGAGCAAATTGAGGCAAGTATTGAAGCTGGCAACGCTTCGGATGACTCGCACTTCGATCTGTCTGCGCCTTTCAACGACACCATCGAAGATGTTCTCAGAGCGACACTGGCATACAAAGCATTTGCCGTGTCCGAAACTTCTCCAGGTATCATAGCCAAAGACCTCTCGAATCTAGATGATTTGGCATGGTACGGCATCTCCGAGGCAGGTCAAATGGAGTTGTGGACCGATGAAGTCTCACGACTGATGGACCTGGCCAACGAACCGGAAATACCTATCCTCTACCGTCCTGCAACCGCCGACGGCGACAAAGTCTTTGCTACAGACTCCCCAGCTGCTCACAGGGTTACTTCTCGTTTTGCGCGGCGCATGTTGGACGCCATCAACATCATCGTGCATGACTCGCAAGCTGCACTCGCAATCAACTGCAGGAAGCTCTGCAACCCCGACATCTTAACACGAAGTCGAAAGCACCTTCAAGCTATGGCTGCGCAAAGCTCCCAGGCCAGTGCTCACGGCGCTGCAGAAGAGCTCTCACTGGAAGAAGACCACTACCGCTTTATGGGCTACTGCACTGCAGTGCTAAGTCGCGTAGTGTGCGTCGCCGTCACCCGACCGTTTCCGAAAGGATGCCTTCATTTCATCGCGGAACTAGCTAAAATATCGGCCAAACTCAGAGTTGTGTCAAGTCAGCTGCTGAATTCTGCCCAATGCTCCCTCAGGAACAACAAGAGATATGTAAGTGACAGTGAATACCATGACGGCGAGACACGCACCGCGACCGCCGCAAACGGTGATGACGAGTCCTTATCGCCAATGATATTCGCGCGGCACAATTTCGAGGTCGTCGGCATAGCCAACTCGACGGCCAAATCCATGACCACCGAGATGCAATACTACATGCACACAACGCGGCACCAGTACGCCATCCTCGAACTGCTGCGCATCATGCTGTCGTCTTTTCGCTCCATGGGCCTCGGTCCTGACAATTTTGTACGATATGAGATTTCAGCAGCTTTGTACACGAGACCATTTGCTTCCATGGCCACCTTGGTATTCCAGGACTTTGACCAAAGCTACTCTGGTTCTTCCGAGTACCTCTTGGTGGACCGAGCTTGGGTGCCAATTATAGTGTTAGAGGCTGTCGTGAAGGAAATACATCAGAGGAATCTTGGTGACGGGGTGAGAAAGCCAGAAGTTTGTGTCGCCCGCGCATCATTATCAGGTCAAGGCCAGCGGGCTAGCTCAGACCCAGGTTCTCCGACAGGGCCACCATCGGTGTCTTACGAGTCTCTTGGTACTGAGGTACATATCTTACTTCAGGGCGAGACTCTCACACGCGATAGGGTCTGCGATCCAACCCCGCGTCGAACCCGTCTCCGGTCTATGAGCGACGTCATCAGTGTGTTCGTGCCTCTCATGCTTGCAACGCCGAGAGCTGTGATTGTCCTCTGCAGGGACATCAGATCGCGTGGGCGCCAACAAAGAGAGGCTATGGAGGGCATACCTCGCTTTTTATGGAACAAGGCTGCCATTCAACTAAACACGACCATCGATGCCGGATTTGTCTTCCGAGGACGAGTCAGCGATACAGAGACCGGGACACTCCTCTACACCATCAGACAGGGAATTATATGCCCGCACACACTGAAAGCAGAAAAACGACAGATGGACTCGTGGGCAATACAAGAACGGGGCGTCACGGTCAATTGCAAAAAATACGTTGCAGCCCTCATGACGCTATGCGCTTCACTCGCTTGTGGGGGCATTGCCATGGGCCTAGCTATAGGCACCCGCATCCCAGGCGTTGACCCCTTCAATCTGGCATCCTTCTCGTGGATCCTTGCGGCCTTTGTGATGCTTGTCGGCAAGAGCATACGCGTCAAGTCTTGGTGTTGGCACGACTTCGTGCACGGGCGTGTGTTTTGCCAAAGTCTCTCAGAACTATCATCGGTAACCCGAATTGACGCACAGCACATTTTCATAAAGCTGTTCGAAGAACAGTCACTATTGCACCTTCAAACTCGAGGCCCTTACAACGCAATGTTCGCGCGCAAGTCGGACGACGGCTTCGCAATCGATGTGCCGCTGGCGCTCGGAGCGTTGCTGAACTGTGGGCTGGTGATGGTTGCAGTATTCGTCCCAGGACGGGAGGCCTTGCTTATGTGCCTGGACTTGCGACAGGGAACAACCATCGACGTGCTGCCGGCATCTTACGATAGCGAAGAGGGCGGCAACCAGGCCAGGGAATGGATCTACTCTCGTGATGATGTGGACACTGATTGCGATGGCGTCACGGCGAAATTGCGCCGTTGGCACACTGGGCGGGAACTGGACTGGGACGGAGTCATTGGACTGGTGTATATCAAATCAAGTGAGGCCTTTACGTAGTATTAAGGCGCCGGGGGCTACTGGATCCGCAACGACATGTTAACGCCTTGATGGCGCTTATTCAACATATCAATCCCCAAGTTGACCACAGACAAACTACCGTGGCACGCTGAACGGATCCGCCCAACTTTGGTGGCTACTTTAAACTGTCCAACAACTCCCACATGACTTGAAATACTTTCATACCATAGGCATCTGAGGGCAGTGCTCTCCGAAACGGAGACCGCCAGACGCGTCGCCCGGGCGGAAGACGTCGCGGTTAAAAATGGATCATGGGTGACGAAGCGCTTTAGATTACCTCTTTCGGAAATGGGCAGGCATACGCGTGGATGGTTTTCCGGATTGCCCAATCGGGTAATCAGAGAGGTAGCTCCCTATTAGCATACAGGCAACCGAATATAACGAGCCGTGACACCCCGTTTACTTATGCTATGTTTTGGCTTAGGGCTCCAGAGTCTGATTTAGCCCGGCACCTGAAACTTTTGGAGTACGATTATGGCCCCAATTGCTGTGACTTCAGAGCTGCGGAACGGTCTTCCGCGAGTCAAGCGAGACATTAACCGCTTCAACAAGGAGGATGACAAGATGATAGACTTGGTCCTGCGACAGTTTCGCTGCCTTATTGCTGATTTATGCCAACAGTTCAAGGGCGGCCATCCAGGGTACGTGGGGCACCTCGCTTCTTCAGATCAAGAGCACATGAACTTACCTGATGGTCCCAGGAGCGCCATGGGCATGGCCGCCATCGGCGTCGCCCTCTGGAAATACACCATGAGATACTCTCCCCGCAACCCCGACTTCTTCAACCGCGATCGCTTCGTGCTGTCTAACGGCCACACATGCCTCTTCCAGTACACTTTCCTGCACCTCACCGGCTACCCGGCCATGACACTCGACCAGCTCAAGTCGTACCACTCATCGCGCACTGACTCGCTCTGCCCCGGCCACCCGGAGATCGAGCACCCTGGCATCGAAGTCACAACGGGACCCCTTGGTCAGGGCGTCGCGAACGCGGTCGGTCTGGCCATGGCGACCAAGAACCTCGCAGCTACGTACAACCGGCCCGAAGCCGGCTTCAATCTCATCGATAACACAACATGGTGCATGATCGGCGACGCATGCCTGCAAGAGGGCGTCGCGCTTGAAGCAATTCAATTAGCGGGTCACTGGAAGCTCAACAACCTGGTCGTCATCTATGACAATAACCAGATTACTTGCGACGGGAGCGTCGACCTCTGTAACACAGAGGATGTGGACGCCAAGATGCGAGCGTGCGGGTGGGACGTGCTAAATGTCGAGGACGGATGCTACAACGTCGAAGGTCTCGTCGCCGCACTGCTCTCAGCCAAGGCGTCAACAGAGAAGCCCACATTTATCAACGTTCGAACTGTAATTGGTATTGGAAGCAAGGTCGCCGGCGATGCCAAGGCCCACGGCGCGGCGTACGGAGCAGAGGACGTCAGGAGCATCAAGAAGGCGTTCGGCATGAACCCGGACGAACACTTTGTGCTCCACGACGAAGTGTACGGTTACTTCCGAGAGATGGCGGCGAGAGGCGAAGGGCTGGAGCGGAATTGGCACAACATGGTCGGGGATTATGCCAAAGAGTACCCCGATCTTCATGCCGAGTTCATGACGAGAGTAGAGGGTCGCTTTACACAAGATTGGAGGGCACTCATCCCAAGTAAGGAAGACTTCCCCACGACGCCAACACCAACACGAAAGTCTTCAGGCCTCGTGTGCAATCCACTGGCTGAGAGGCTGCCGAACATGATGGTCGGGACAGCGGATTTGTCGCCCTCGGTCAACATGATCTGGAAGGGCAAGGTTGACTTTCAGCACGTAAGTCCTTGGGCGTATTTGCACACACACAGACGCCTGCAGCAATATTGACAATCCACCAGCCCAATCTTCAAACATCTTGTGGCATCAACGGCAATTACTCTGGCAGGTACATACACTGGGGAGTCCGCGAGCATGCCATGGCGTCCATCTCGAACGGCATAGCCGCCTTCAACAAAGGCACGTTTCTACCAGTAACGTCCAGCTTCTTCATGTTTTACATCGTAAGCCCTCTCCCCTTTCTTGTCGTCCTCACTTTCGCAAGCCAACACTGAGTTTAGTACGCCGCTCCCGGTGTTCGCATGGGCGCGCTTCAACATCTTCAGGCCATCCACATCGCGACGCACGACTCCATCGGCACCGGCGAAGACGGGCCAACGCACCAGCCGATCGAGCTCGCCGCACTCTATCGCGCAATGCCCAATATTCTTTACATCCGCCCCTGCGATTCTGAAGAGGTCGCCGGCGCGTACACGGCCGCCCTTGACGCGCGGGGCACGCCCTCCATCATCTCCCTCTCTCGCCAGGCCGTCGAGCAGTACCCGCAGCATTCTAGTCGCGACGGCGTGCAGCGCGGCGCATACGTCTTCATCGAAGAAAAGGATGCAGATGTGACTCTGATCGGTGTCGGCGCCGAGATGTGCTTCGCCATCAAAACTCGGGACGTGCTGCGCCAAAAGTTCGGCATCAAGGCCAGAGTGGTGTCGTTCCCCTGTCAGCGACTCTTCGACAGCCAGCCCATCGAGTACAAGCGCCAGACGTTGCAGTACCGGAGCAATGCTCCCCGGGTCGTAATCGAGGCGTACGCCGTCAACGGATGGGAGCGCTACGCCGATGCGGGATTCTCTATGTCGACATTTGGTAAGAGCCTGCCGGGCAAGGACGCGTACAACTACTTTGGCTTCGATGAGGAGGTGATTGCACCCGAGGTGGCGAAGCTGGTAGAGTTTGTTAAGAGGGAAGGGGTGGAGAGCCTGCGAGGAGAGTTTCGTGACTTGAATCCAGTGCGACACTCTCATCAATAGCTAGGCCGGGGCGCATTCTGGGAAGGAGTTCCAGGTCACGCCTCATGATAAACCCGGTAGAGGCGCACAAGCATGCAGGCCCAGTGAGACACCCGGCGGCAAGCAATGATCAAGTGTTGATATGATAGTGAGATAGATGCAAGACAGTCTCTTTGGGTATCATATACAAAACGCCATGACAAGGCAATGCAGGATCGCTTCGGTAACCCTGGACACGTCTTCATCGAGTCGCCCTCCTGGCCAGCCTATGATTCTGCTCGAGGCCCGGCAACAACTCTGCTCCTTCGCCGGCCAGGTCTCCTATCTGTCCTAACCATCCGCTCCCCAGGGCAGCCACCAACTCCGGCCATTGCCTGGCCACCGCCTCAGATAGTTCCTGGCCCCTCTGCCGCGCCTCCTCTGCCGCGCCCTCACCTATCCGCCCGACCTCGCGGATGATGTAGCGCGCCGCCTGCGCAGCTTGTCCCGGTGCCGTCCCATCCTGGACTGACTGCACTGCGGATGACGCGGCAGTGGTAGCAGCGCTGCCGACCTGCTGCGCTCGCCTGGGGAGGCTCCTAAGCGTCCGAAGGAGGGAAGCCGCGCGAGGATGATCGGCCTCAAACTGGTACATCTCATGCAGCAGAGGCCGGTCGAACGGGACCTCGTAGTCAAACGGACCGTTATCCCAGTTCAGGGTCGAGGCCGACGACCACAAGTACTCGACGCTGTCGTTGTCGAAATCGCACGGCTTCTCTTCGGCGGCACCGGCGTCGTTAGGGCTGCTCCCTGCTGCCGCACTGCCTTCGACCCCAGATGAGGGCGGGACGGCGGCAGTCCGTTGGACAGGTTGAGGGCGGCCCGTCATCACCCAGCCCTCGGATCCATCAGACTTGGATTCCTCCGAGTCATCGTCGAGAGGTAGCGCGAGGAGCTCTGGGGGCAGCTCACTGACCCTTGGCAGCTCTGGGGGCTCCTCAGGGGACGGGCTGCGGCTTCCTCCAAGAGTGGCTTCGGGGACAGGGCCATCTTGAATGGCAACCGCTGTTAGTTTATTTCCATGGACAGAAGATGCCATGCATTTTAAACACACCTCCTTGCGCGCCGCTCCCTGCTATAGTTTGCAAGTTGCTTGGGGATCCAGTAGACATGATGCGCAGTCAATTTCTCAGGGCAAAATTTGCAGTGCAAGACAAGGGAATGCACAAGAGCAGACGGATCTATATAACTGGAATCGCTACGTAAAATGCTTGTGGTAAACATGGACGGAGAAAAGTCTGGCTGTGAATCACCCCTCGAACTCGGGCCTGTTAACTCTTAGACCAGTGCTGTGCTACTCGACAAGGCCGAGTGGCTTTCGCAAGGGGGCGTGCCGAAGCAAACTCTCTCGCGTGTATTAGGTGGGCAGGCGCCGCCCCCGGCGTTTTAACTACGACGGAGAGAAGTTACAGGCCGACTGACTTCAGGCTCGACCAGGACGGCTTGTTTGTCCGACAATTTCCAGGTCAACCTACGAAGCGGGTGTTTTGTCTGGGCGAATTCCCGAGCCTATATCACTTCAGTCCGCAACGACCCTCCCTCCTCTCCCTGACGCATGCCGGAACGAGGCGAAAATTTCGAATCAAACAGGCGATATACCAGTCTCTCATCATCATTTGATCGTAAAATACGGCATATGTCTTATTATGCAGTCTACGTAAGTGCCCATACACCCGTCCGTTGGTCGTCGCATCTGTATCTCTGAGAGCGTCACTGACCTAGACGCTCCGATTCAGAGTCACCGCCCCGGCACCAGTGGAAGAGTGGTCCTGGAGACAATACGACTCTGCTCACGGTGGCGAGCATGCGGAAACCAACAGCGAAGAATCAGAGCAGAGTCGATATGCTCCAATTCAGGCACGCCTTGCCCAGGAGGAACAGCAGCGAGAGGTGAACGAGGATACCATTCTCTGGCACAATGAGTCGCTGGCAGGATGGCAAACTCGCGGCAAAGGATACGCCATTTGCCCGTATATTTCCCGGCTACGACACCTGGCCAAGGTAGCCGAGGACGTCAAGACCAGCCGACGCGCACGCCTTGCGGCCGAGCGGCTACATACGTCGGCACAAGAGAGCTGCGCGGAAATGTATCCGCGGCTTTGCCACAAGACCAAGGTCCGAATCGGCTGCTACGGCGACCACGAAGCAGTTGAGGCGACAGTCTTCATGTCCCTGTACAGCGCATCGTACTATGGCGGTCATCAAGGAGGGGACTACATCTTTCGTCATCTGCCTGATGAACCAGAAGATGACACGGAGCCGACTTCCTTGTCCTTGTCCGAGGAGCTGGAAAGTGTGCGCTTCACGCTGAACGTCAACGACGAAGAGGCAGGACTAAAAAGGTCCTTCGTGTACTGTGGCCAGGTGCCCCGGCCGCCGCGGGAGTATCTTGAGCGCCTCAAAGTGGTGAGCCGGGACATCATGCAGCTTTTGAGCGGCATCTTCAGCGAGTTCCCCGACGTTACTTCGGCCCAAATGGAGATATTTCAGCCTGGTCGGCGGGTTTCGGGCCCAGTATTCGGCAAGTTGTGCTCCGCGTATAGGAGCGTGATTCAGACGGCCGACCGCAAGGCGGTGGCAAGGGTCAGGCGCAAGCTACGCGACTGTCCGAGAGTCCTTGAGTTTGCACACCTTCTGCACAAGCTGTCCGCGGCTGGAATACCACAGGTCACTTATTACATGAGGCCACTGATCAAGGCACTTGAAGAGGCCACTGGCTGGACATTCTTTGAGATGATTGATGCGGCGGATCTCGAGGCGGCCCGCAAGGCGACGCGACTCCTCTTGCACGAGAAGAGGCTTGAGCACATCTTCTTGTTCCAGACTCGAGAGGATGAGAACACCAGCGTAAGTCTTCTGTTTTTCCTTTCTGCACGATGGAGATGGGGAGAGATTGAATGGAGGTATGAGCGAGGAGCAGGTTCGATGCGCGTGTTAGTCGGCAGAGGGTTTATCCGGATTCCGACCTCGAGCCAATTGAACCGCAGCCGCTAACATTTTCCCCTTCAACCTCGCCAGGATATCCACAAGTTTTACACGGACGACGTCTTCCGCAACGCCCCCAACCATCCCGACTGCATCTACACACGCCTCGACGTCCGCGAAGCTTTGGAACTCTTTGACGGCCTCCGCCGAGATATCGACGTCGACCCTAGGGTCGCAGACTTTGTAGACTTGAGACAAGGCCTAGCCGGACAGCACTGAACTGTCGCAGTCCGACTTCGAGCTCTCCGACGCCGAACCCGAGGCCGCTCAAGCCTGTCCGATTGTCGCGGTCGAGGAATTGCTGTACAAGAAGGATAATAAGAGGCGGAAGGAAGCCGAAACGACGAATTCGGCAGCGAAAATCACGGACTCAAACGGCTAGAAGTGTAGCGATCAGCGAAGGACACGAAGTCAGAACAAGACGACCCCGAAGCACATCCGCCCTCCGCAGTGATGGCGTCTCTCTTCTCCCTCCGGGGGCTGTTCACCCGCCGCGCCGCACCGGCCGCCACCCAGCCCACGACATGCACAACCGCCACGCGCCCGCGCCTCTTCTCGACGACACCCTCCGCCGCGGCGCGCGTCCCCCCCAAGCCCGCCGGCGGCAGCAAGCCCGCGCGCAAGAACCGGCAAGCCCCGCGGTCCGAGAACCACCAGCGCATCAAGATCCTCAAGCAGAACATGTTCTCGCCCGCGCCGCCGCCGCTGCGCATGGCGCGCCAGCGCTACCTCCGCCACTGGACCATCCACCGCGCGTGGCAGCTCTTCCGCCGGCAGCAGCACGAGGCGCTGGACCGCGAGCGCCACCGCATGCACGCGGGCATGTTCAACGCGTGCGAGGAGCTGCGCCGCACCGTTGGGCCCGAGGGCCGCGGCGAGGGGTACCTGTACCGCGTGGCCATGGAGAAGAAGGGCGTGTACGGCGTCGACAGCGTGCCCATCGAGTACGCCCGCTTCCAGACGGATACGCCCGCCAAGGAGGCTTGGAACCACGACTGGAAGAGGTGAATGGTCGAGGGGTGTATGAGTAAAGACGGAGGAGGAGGCTTGGTTTTCCCCCAATTTGTACAAACTATAGCATCTGTGTATCACCACCACCACCATCTGTTGAAGGAAAGCGGCAGATAGACAACAGCAATGACAGCGTTTCCTGCCTCATCTATGGGATACCTGCATCTGCGACTCGCAAATGCCCGACGCCGTCGCGCTTCGTGAGCGAGACATCACTGACAATTTATGGGACCCTGCTTTTCAGTCGCGAACCTTGGAACCACACCAACCCTTCTCGCCCATTTCCAATGCCCCGAGGACAAGCAAGCAATCTGCGGAAGCGCGGCACCAAAATCGCACACAACGACGTGCAAAACACGAGCGGAAAACGATTGGGTCAAAAGTGATGAATCCTGCTTGCTGTTCTATGCCTGGGCGGCCACGTGCTCGCCGCCGTACCTTATTAATACAGAGAGTGAAGCCGCTTCTCTCCGTCGAACAGACAGATATTCAGTGCGTGCGCCGCTCCTCCTCCCAGGGGCGCTTTGTATGTAAGAGAGAGTGTGGGAAACAACGAAAACGACATGCGGAGATAGCGATGGACATAGAGAGAGAGCGAGAGAGACTGCAGAAAGACTTCGCTTGCCGAAACAATCCAAGAAAGACATGCTGATGCCGCGTGCCATGAGAGTGCGAGAGGAGGGGCTTGTAGCGGCTTGCGTACGGGGGTTCAGCCGCACAGCCGGTGGCAGCCGTTCCCGACGGGGGCGTCGAGGTGCCGTCTGAGGCTGCTGAAGGCGCCCACCGTCGGTACCATCCTTGCATTCGGTGTTGTTGAGTCTGGCTTCCTGGCCCACAAGTGCGGCCTCGTCTTCATGGGACCGGCCGCACGACGGATACGATGGTCTCGGTGCACGGGGCACTATAGGACGACGCAGCAGCCAGACCCCTCCCCTTTTTCAAATGTCAACAGGGCGGCGCGTGTGGCGGCCTCGAAGACGTCGTCAACGCCCTCGCCACTGAGGCTTGAGCACTCGAGGTATCTCCTGGCGCCGACCTCGCGGGCGGCAACCTCGCCGTCGTGTTGCGTGACGAATCGCAGAGACTTCTTCCGCATCTCTTCGATGGCGACGGGGTCCTCGCGGAGGTCCTTTTTCAGCCCCACGAGGATGATGGGTACGCCAGCGCACAGGCGTGTTGCCTCTTCGATCCACTGCGTGACGTGTCAGCTCGTCGGCGAACACACCATGCCCAGCCAAAGGGGAAGTTCCCGACCTTGTGCTTGACATTGTCCAGAGAGTCGGGCGTGTCAATTGAGAAGCCTATTAAGATTACGTGCGCCTTGGAGTAGGCGAGGGGCCGTAATCGCTCATAGTCTTCCTGGCCGGCTGTATCCCAGAGGGCCAGCTGCACAGACTTGCCGTCCACTCTGCAGTCGGTCACGTAATTTTCGAAGACTGTGGGAATCTGTTTGTCCGTCGGTCAGCTCGCGGGGTTCGGGGTTCCCGAAACTCGTCGCGGGAGAAAGCTCACGTAATGCTGCAGGACGGTTAGCTATGATGCGGGTCATCATGCAGGGAGGATCAACTTGCTGTAGGGAAGTAGCCGAGAGTGAAGACGCTCAGCAGACTCGTCTTGCCGCAGGCACCGTCTCCGATGATGACCAGTTTCCTGCACAGGCATGCGTCAGTCAACTGCGATGGCAGTCGGGCCCCGAGCTCACCGAGCTCCTGGGGACAACATTGAAACAGCCAGAGCTCGTGTACGACCAGGCAAAGGAGAACGGGCTGCGAGGCGCCGCGCTCGAGTGGACGTACCTGCGGATGACGTTCTGCGGATTTGCGCTCGCCATGGTGCAACAAGGCTAGCTCCTCACGCAACGCTCTCAATTGGGGTCGGGGCGAGTCGAGAACCGCTGTCCGGCTCGATCTCCAACCTTCAGGGTGAAGAGCGAGACTTCGTCGGGGCCTGGGCGTGTCCTCGGCTGCCGTTGGGCTGGTGGAGCAGGAAGAGAGGCAGCTTCGTGTCTCGACCTCTGCCCCTTTTATTCTGTGCTCCGAAGCACGTCGAGGCAAGCTCGCAAGGCGCGGTCGTCGGAGGCCGTAGACTTGATCGGCAGGTCTGCCGGTGCGGTGGGACGGCCTGAGTGGAAGGACAAGCTTTTCGTCGAATACGAGCTGAAGAGGTACCGTAAGTCGGCGCTCGCGTTCTGGCTGCGGTCTGCCAGCGGCCCCGACGGCGGTCCAGGGGCAATCACAGCGGACGGCAACGGCCTCGCAACGCGGATTGTCGGCGACGGGCTTGGGCGAGAGGCGGAGGAATCAGAATGGGAATGGGAGAGCTTAAGCAAGGTGAGGACGAGCTGTGGTTTCTGCGTCGGCGGGAGAGGTGGCAGAGGTGCACGACGGCCGGGGGGTCGACGGATGGATGGACATGGACTGATTGACTGGTCCAACAACAGCGGGAAAACGGGGGGGGGTCCAAGTCCTACAGCGGGCGCGGTACCTGGCAAAGTGCGGAGACGACCTGCCCGGACCTTGTACCTGGACGCAGCCGCTAGCTGGCCGTTCCCGCTTACCTAACTGCACTGCAACGCCCAGTGGCGGCTCGTCCTGACGCGCCGCGCTGGGCTGAGCTGAGCCGACGCGAGCAGTTTGGCTGTGTAACAGGAAGCGAGATGTTGTGCCGGTCGACTCGATTGATTACGCCGAGTCGGCGGCGGCCTCATTTGCTACGACGGGGGCACGGGCACGGCGGCCAGGCGTCTGCGCTCCCGGCGTGCCGGCTGGCGCATTACGGTGTCTGAAAGTCCTGGAGACGCGGCCGCCTGCCAGATCAACGACAAGAAGACCAGCCAAGGACGAGTCCGCCCAGCCCAGGGCCACTCACTGCGCGACGCCCCCGTCGTCTCCAGGGGTGCCTCTCTCTTTTTTCTTTCAGGGTGCTGACCCGGCCGGGCCGCCCGGTGTCCCCCATTCCGGTCTCTCAGGAACACGACGACGGAGGAGGCTATGCATCGTCCAAGCAAGACATCAACCCGCGAACTAGGACGCCGGGGGCCACGGACGCGGCGCCGCGTGGGACACGACTGGGCGTGCCTGGCATCGCCATTGGCTATCGGGCCCAGGGATGACGGGCTCCCCCTCCCATCCGCAGTCGGCCTGCCCTGCCCGCCGACGACACAACCCGAGCGAGCCTCTTGACAGCGGGGAGCAGCGCAGGGCAGGGTTGCCGTTCCGAGCTGCTCACTGGCCCGGGCAGCTTCGGCAGTTTGCGCCTCCCAGTACCGTGAACCCGGGTGAAGAGTGTTTGTAGCAGAGGCGACACGGGCCGTGATGCCATCCCCAAACGGCCGGCCGGTCCAACCCATCGACCAACAGCAAGCACCCAGCCCCTTGGGCATCGGCTGTGACGCTTGCTCGCTTGCCCATCAGCTGCTGTCAGGCCATTGAGAACGCGGATCCCAGTCATAGTGGGCAATGCGAGCGCGTGGTATGCCGCAGGTCGCCCTGCAATAGGACGCCGTACGCCTCGACGGCACGTGCACAAGACGGCGTGGCACCACGCGATGAAAGGCCGTTGCATGGCGGTTGAGACCGGCCGACATGCACCGTCGACGTCAGAGCACTAGGTTGGCCTGCAAAGGCACCGGTCTCTCGTCGCATCGCCCCGTCCCGTGAGTAGGAAACTTGTGCGAGCATCGGACGAACTATGCCATGAGCGGTCCAATCGCGTGTGTGCACTCCTCCAGACGCATCAATGGAACCGCGACGTTTGGTACACCGGTAGCCTGACGGTTGTGTGACTGGATGAAGGGGGTCACCGTGGATATCCGAGAGCGTCTTCTGGCAAGCGAGAGAGGCCCGTGATGTACAAGGCAGCGTCATGGCGGGCGACTGGCGGACGCGACGGCGTACGGCGATTCGGAGCGCTGGCTGATGGGCACAGCATCGTTGCCGATTGAAGCTGTCTTCAAGTCATGGCGGAGCTTCGAGGAAGCGCCGCGTCTGAGGCCAACCATCTGCTCTGGTTCATCAAGGTGTCTGGCCAGGGTGTCTGGCGTGCAAGAGCCTGCCAAGTTGCCGGCCCAATGAAAGACCAGTCTCCATCGAAAATTTGGCTTTGGCTCCGTCACGTGATGGATCCAGGACCTCACTGGACCGCCCCAGTTTTCAGCAGGAGGTGCGCTGCAGATGCCCCGAGATGTGCCCAACAGGGCATCCATGGACCTGTCCGTACCTTGCGGGCAGCTGGTCTTCGAGGTACCCGCAGGCGCGGGACAGCGCGGCATGCTGCAGTGACTTCCGTCGCTTCTAGCCCAGAGCACATGCGACCTGTAGCTTCTGACCGGGCGCATCACCTCAAGCGTCTCAACGTCGCGCCCTGACATCCAATGTCGATGCATGAATTTGCAGTGATTAGAAAAGAAACGCACCTACCATCGACGCAATATTTCGTAGACTTGGTAAATCACAGCGCGATAGGCTCCCGCTGGTACAGCACAACGACGCGGACGACGCGGACAACCCTCCCGCCAGCGACGACGCAGGCACATCCGTCAACCCACGCTTGCCCCTTCCGTCGGCGAACCCCACTGCGTCATTGCTGACCTAAGGCGCCTGATAACCCTGACTCCCACCCCCCCAAAGGGCCAAGGCTGGGCTGGGCTGGGCTGGGCTGGCGTGCGGCGGGCAACAGCACACGGCAAAGCGCCTATCAATTTGGGACGGCCACTGCACATGGCCGCTGGAGCCTCCATCAATCTCTCTCGCTCGCTCCACACCAACGCCAAACACCATCTGCATACATCCATACATCCCTCACCAACCTCACGCCTCCCTCGCCCTCCGCCGACCACGTCCGCGCAACCCCTCCAGGCCAGCCGCCAGCACCTCCGCACCCGCTTGCGCTCGCCCGCTCGAGGCTGACACGTTGCGTCCCGCCGACACGCTGGTGCACTCGAGCCTATCCCGCGCCCCCGTCCCCGAATCCCGCCACCCACCGCGAGCCCTCTTGATGGTGTCGTCGGCCTGCGCTCCGTAAGACGTACGATGCCGGCCTCCAAACAGACCCCGGCCGCTCCTACGCCGGCATCGCCTCGCAACAGCACCTCAAAGTACACCAACAAGGATGGCTCCAAGTTCATCACCGTTCCCAAGGGCGCCTCGCCCTCGGACTCGTCCCTGCCCTCGACCCCGACCCGGGCAAACCACCATCCGTCCGCCCCGTCTCCGCCCCCGCCGCCGCCTCCCGTCGACGCTGCAGCCCCGGCCGTGAATCGCAAGAAGCAGAAGCGCCGCCAAAAGGCCGCCGCGAAGGCCGCCGCCGAGCAGGCGGCCAATGGCCACCCGAACCCCGCACCGCCAGCTCATCACTCGTCTGATGCTCCCGCCGCCGACGAGCAAGACACCGTCCCTAGCGAGGACGAGGTCGATTATGCTGCCCCTGCTGACTCCTCCTACCCGACGACCAACGGCAACTCCGCGCCCGCCGGCAAGTCCAAGAAGAATAAGAAGAAAAAGAAGAAGCAGAATGCCGCCGAGTCGCCCTTGCCCACAGCTCTGGAACCCAGGCACAGTCAGCCTGTCGCCACGCGCGGGCCTGGCATGTCCCGAGACAAGATATGGAGCACGAGCAACCACGAGGAGCGGGAGCGGATCAAGGAGTTTTGGCTCGGCCTCGGCGAGGACGAGCGTAAGTCTCTCGTTAAGGTCGAGAAGGACGCAGTCCTCAAGAAGATGAAGGAGCAGCAAAAGCACACCTGCAGCTGCACTGTTTGCGGTCGTAAGAGAACCGCAATCGAGGAGGAGCTGGAGGGCCTTTACGATGCCTACTACCTCGAACTCGAGCAGTTCGCCAACCAAGGCGAAGGGCCGCCGTTGATGGCCTCAACCACTCACGACTTTCCCCTCCAAGCCTCGCGCCGCCTCCCCTCTGGATATGCGGCCCAGCAGCCACCGTCACGCGGTAGAATAGTCGAGCACGTGGGCGACGACGACGAGGATGAGCTCGAGGAGGTCTATAGCGAGGACGAAGTCGAGGACGACGAGTACAGCGACGACGAACCCCCCGAAGAGTACCACAACACGCACGAACGAGACGTAGCCGATTTCTTGACGTTTGGGAACAGCCTGCAGGTCAAGGGTACGCAGCTCCTTGAAACCCTTCTCAGCGCATATGGTAACATGGACTTAGGCGGCATTCTCACCGTGGCGGATGACCTCCTCAAGAACGACGGCAAGCGCTTCATCGAGATGATGGAGCAGCTCGCCGAGCGTCGAATGGCGCGAGAGGAAGACGCCCGCGAGCACTTCTCCCGCGCCTACGGTCATCCCAACGGCTCATACTCCAATCCTCATAGTCACCCGCCCCCGGAAGAAGACGAGTACGAAGACGAAGAGGACGAGGAAGACGACTATGAGGATAGCCAAGACGAGGAGTATGAGGACGAAGAGGTATACTCGAACCCTTCTGAAATGCCGCCGACGTTCCATACTGAATGCTGCTGCCAGGACCCCATGACCGAAGAACAACGCATGGAAGAGGGACGCAGGATGTTCCAAATCTTTGCGGCCCGCATGTTTGAACAGCGCGTGCTGTCCGCTTACAAGGAAAAGGTGGCCAAGGAGCGCCAACAGAAGCTGCTGGAGGAACTCGAGGAGGAGAGCCGCCAGGTCGAGGACCAAAAGGCCAAGAAAGCCAAGAACGCCCAGAAGAAGAAGGACAAGGCTGCCCAGAAGAAGCAGGCCCTCGCCGAGGAGAAGGCACGCAAGGAGGCCGAGAAGGCCGCCGAGGAGGCCGCGCGACTCGAGGCCGAGCAGAAGAAGCTGGCCGAGCAGAAGCAAAAGGCCGAAGAGCGGCGCAAGCAGAAGGAGGCCCAACGCAAGGCAGAAGAGGATGCGCGGCTGAAGAAGGAGGCCGAACGGCAACGGCGAATTCACGAGCAGCGAGAGAAGCAGGCCGAGCAGGAGCGCAAGGCCCGCGAGGCCAAGGATCGCGAGAAGCGGCTCAAGGAGGAGCAGCGCCTGAAGGACAAGGAGGCCCGAGAACAGCGGGAGCGCGAGGCGCAAGAGCGGAAGGAGAAACAAGATCGCGACAAGCGGGAAAAGGAGGCACGTGCGGCAAAGGCACAGAGGGAAGCTCAAGAGGCGACCGAAGCCAAGGAGAAGGCGAGGGACGAGAAGGCGCACAAGCCACAGTCGACAAAGCGCGGGCAGCAACATGCCGCCCCGGTCCCGGCCGCCCTCCCTCAGCTTCCCACCAACCCGACGAGCTTTGCTTCTCCCAAGATCCCCGTGGCCACTCCGGCCATCCCCAAGGCCCCGACCCCGATCCGGCCGCGGACCCTGTCGCAGCAGGCGGAGCCGGCACCACAAAACTCGGCGGCAACCCAGGCCGCCCCTGGACCGAGTCAGAACCAGTCTCCTCACTCGCTCACACCGGTCCACGCCAGCCCCGGGCCCATCGGGCAGGAACGAAAAGCAAGCGGGGGCAGCGCCATCGCCATGCAGCACTCTGCGCAGCCCATGTCGCCGCAGAGCTCGCAGTCTCGGCCTCCAAGTCACACTCCGCCGTTCCAGGTCCCCCCGATGGGAATGCAGCCGCCTCCGGGCCTGGCGCACCAACGGCCCCCCGGATTCTCCAGCCCCATGGGACACGAACCCATGTTTCCACTGCCGTATCGCTCCAGCCCCAACATGATGGGGCCGCCGCCCGGCATCAACGGCCCAGCGGGTCGCGGATTTCCTCCCATGACCGCGCCGCCCCCTGGATTCCCTCTTGGTGCCAACGACCAGTACTCGATGGGACACGGATTCCCGATGCCCAAGGACGTGCCGCCGCCGACCCACACGCGACACGGCTCGACGGGTTACGACGGCATGGCTCCGCCGTCGCAGCCCATAGGACGGCCGGCCCCGATAGGTAGACCGGGCAGTGTGAACCACGGGCTGGCACAGGACGAAGACGAAGACGCCAAGCAGCACCTCGGCAGCCGCGCGCTGCTGGGCGACGATGAGCCCTTGCCCTCGTCTGAAATCAACCTCGGCAGCATGCGCCATCAGCTACCGGGCCTCCGCGGCTTCGCCTCCAACTCGTTTGTCGATTCCGGGTTCCCCATCGCGCACAGCCCCTGGGGTCCTCCCTCGGGAGCGGCGCAGCCATTCCCACCCCCAGGTTTTGGGAACACGACGTGGGGCTCACCAACGGTACCTCACGGGTTCAACGTCGGATCTCCTGCCGGGCTCGGCGCCATCCGCCCGGCCCAGTCGCGTCATGCGGCTCTACGATTGATGCTTTGCCAGGCCTGCCAGGCGCTGAGCAGCACGAGCAGTGCCGACGGGGATGGCTTCGTCGACGTAGGCACGTTAAAGTCGCAGATCGAGTCGCAATCGGGCGACGCCAGCATCATGGAGCAGGAGCTGCTAAATCTATGCGACACCGAAGGCAACAGCTCGAACGGCGGCGGAACGTTCGACACGCGGCGAGACACGGGCGGCCATGGAAAGCACGCGATCCGTTGGGTGCCGGACCTCAACGACGGGCTGAACGCACCTCACCGCGCGGTCGGAGCCCCCGGAGAGATTGGCAGCCCGCTCGTGGGCCAGGCGTCGTTGTGGAACATGTAGGACATGCCCAACATGTCGGGCCAGAGCGACAGCCCAACGAAGCGCTCGAACCTGCTGGAGAGGATCGGTATAGTGCCGCCGAACGCTCAGCCGGCGCGGCCTTTGAACCGCACCTCGGCGAGCGTCGACTTGCGCAGGGAGGCGCTGGCGGCTACCAGCCGGCAGAACGGCGTCGGCGGCACCAAGACGAACAACGACAGAGGCTCGGGCAAGGTCGATACGTGGGAGGGCTTCTACGAGCCAGCCCGCGGCGCCGGAAGCGGCAGCCCACGCAGGTGGCGTAGCAATTACTGAGGCCGCCGCGCTCGCCCGAAAAGGGCATGTATGTGTACGAGCGTGCGTGCGTGCGTGTGTGGAGAGAGGGCGCTCAGGCCGGAGCGGGCAGCAGAACCCGCCGGCAGCGAGACGAAGCGATGTGAATATTTCCTGTTCGATTAGCAGATATCAAGGAATACCCCCGGCGGGGTATATTCGCAGCAGCTGCAGCAGCAACAACGACGATGGCCGTCAAGAGGCGTGCGTGCCCGCGACGTGTGTAGAATAAGCGTTTGTGCCAACCCATCTATCAAGCCTGTGGGCTGGACTGTACGGCCCTTGCGCGAAGCACTTGGCTTGTCACAGCAGCACATGCAACAGTGAGGCAGGCGGTGATGAGTGATGTTGCAAAGATGTGTGAAAATTTGTACGTCTTTCTAAGTTCCCCCAACCCAGCCCAGTACAGTAGTAGTAGTAGATTTGCTGTGCGTGATACTAATAAAAACATCCCATCCAGACCCAGTAGGTATCTCCAAACGTATGGCGTCAATAATAAAAAAATTCCCCATCCATCTGCGACAAACGTGGCCACTCGTCGGGTGCCTCCCCGCCGAACTTCTCGGGCGAACGACGACGGTAAGGTACAACGTACGTGCGTTAAGCTTTGTTTTCCCAGGCGGAGGCGGGGACAAGCTTCGCGCCCGCGCCCGACGGCCGGTGTCTTGTCTGCTCGCCGACCCGACGCCGTTTCTTGACCGTACCTCTCGGACGTCTCTCGCCTAACGGACGCGAAGGTGTGGTATCTGAAGGTAGGGTGGTGTTCGTCCTTCAGGAGACGTGCGTGCGTACGGAGCAGGGAGGCAGACAGACAGACAGGCAGACAGACAGGGGCAGCGCAGCGTCAACGGAGCCGCCTCAGTGGGCAGCGTCGTTGAAAGGGTTGGGGCTGCCGCGGCCGGAGCCGGGGCCCTGCGCCGCCTGCTGCTGCATCAGCGGCGTGCGCTGATCCTGCGCGCGCTTCTTCTTCGTCTGCGCGCGCGCGAGCGCAACGGCCTCCGCCTTGGCCGCCAGGCGCTTCTGCTGGCGCCTATCACGGCAGCACAGGAACGTCAGCGTGCCAAGGCCCAGCGTGATGAGCACGCCAAAGACGATGGCGATGATGATGCCGCCAATGTCGAGGGAGTCGTGCTTGCGCATGCAAATGTCCTCGTTGCCGGCGCCGATGGTGCACATGAGGCCGGGGCTGCACTCGGAGGCGGCGACGGCCGTGGGGAAGCACGTCTCGGTGCGGACGTGCTTGCCCGAGGTGGTGAGCGGGCAGGAGGTGGTGGTGGTGGTGGACGTGGTGAAGCAGAGCGTGCCGCTGAGCTTCTCGCTGGACGACGTGCTGTCGGCGCGGCCGAGGAGGAAGTTGATGTCGAAGGCGCCCATGAGCGGCGGGGGCGTGACGGCAGGGACGGCGACGGGGGCGGCGTCGGCGGGCTCGGCGGCGGGGTGGGGGGCGGCGAGGGCGGATGCGCTGAGGAGCGTCATCATGGCCGTGGCCGCGGAGAGGAGTTGTGACCGCATCGTGGTGGTGGTGGTGGTTTGTCGCTGGGGAGTGATTGTGGAGCGGTTATGCGTGGTCGAGGTTCGTAGTCGTGGCCGTCCGTAGCTGTGGCCTTACGGGTCGGGATGGACGGGCGGCGCGGTTCGTTGGGTGGCGGCGCCCAAAGGGGGAGGAAGAAAGAGACCCCGTGTTGGTCGGGAACGGGTTCGTCTCAAGCAAAGAGGGGAGAACCCTGCGGCGTCAGATGGCTCCTCAGCTCCTTCGTCCTTGTGTCTTGCTCGGCGGCCGCGGCGGGTATCACGTCGTCGTTTGTCGTCGACGTCGTAGAGATCGGATTCGTATAGGGCTGCGACAGGAAGGCACAGCGTCGACCGCAAAGAGTCAAGCAGAGTCAAGAATAGAATAATGGAGGGAAAAAAGAATAAAAAAGAGGAACAAAAAAGGGTTGGCCGGGACGATCCGCCAATCTGAGTGTCACCCCGTGGAGAAAAAAGCACCGAGCGATCGATGCTGTGAAAAGCGCAGTACAAGACCAGCTCCCGGGGGGGCGGGCTGAGAAAGAAAGGGGCGGGGCGGCGGCGGCGGCGGCGGGTGCTGCTGTCGCGCAGGTAGGCGGGCGTCCCGAGCGCTGGGAGAGGCCGGTTCCGCGGGACTGAAAGGGGGAGGTGTCGAAGGAAGAAAGGGCCAAGGAGCCGAGATTTCGACGAGAGGCCGGGGGGCGGGAGAGGAGGAGGAGGAACACGGACGGGGTGGGAGTCGGCGGTTTGCAGATGAGGAAGAGCAAAAAAAAGTAGGGGTCAGAGGAGAGAAAAAGAGGATGTCGAAGCTCTGCGTGAGAGAGAGACACCAAAGAGCAAGACCCTGTCAGCGAGGCCCCGAATAGGAGTAGTGGCTCAATGGGGATAGGTGCACGGCATAGTCCGGTCCCGCGTACCGTCTGTGGAGGACGAGGATCTCAGTAGCAGCAGCTTCCAGTTTTTTTTCCCTCTCATCCCTCCAGCTGCGCAGCCAAGTCAGCCCTGGCCGGGCGGCCTGGCAGCCCAGGATGCTACCGACGGGAGTGTGGCTGGGGGCCGCCCCCCCAGTGGAGAGGCGGATCTAGGGGGGGGACGAGGGGATTGGGGGAGGTCAGACGGCGGGTTTGACGGGCCAGACAGGCGGGTTGGTTGGACGTGGACGTGGACGGACGGGGCGCTGCACCACAGGATTGCGCGGGTGCAACAGGGGGCTGCTGATTTGCTGTAGGCGAGCCAGGACCAATCTGGCTTGGGGCGGGGGGGCTGAGCGCGCGCGCCGTGGAAGCTCCAGCTCTCCCAGCGCTGAATGGAAGGGCGGGAGGACGGGGAGGTGACATGCCGTGGTCCGTCCATCCACTGAAGTCTCTCACTCAGTGTCCGGGTCGAACCAGCCAGCGACGGATTGAATTTGATGGTGCGCGTCCTCGGCTGTGCAGCCAGTGCTCATGCGTACCTACATACGCGCTCAATACACGTACGAGTGTTCCGTAATATGGGACGCGCTGGCCAGGGCACGGCGTGGGGATTTTAATCTCCGGCTCTGATGCTGCCGCGGTCAGGGCGCGATCCCATCTCGCACGTCTGCCGCCGCCGCCGTTATACCGTTTGCCGTTGTTGGTCCTGTTCCTGCTGCTGCAGCCCGCTGGTCCAGCACCTGGAGCCGCCGTTTTGCAAGCTGCAGCCGAGTGGGCAACGCGCTGGCTAACACATGCACCGTGACCTCAGCGAAATCGACCTGAGTAGCTTCACGTCGCTGGCTCTGGCATGGAAGCACCAAAGACGCAGCAAGCCAGAAATGCCACGTCGAAACGGCATGTTCCTCATCCGGTGCCACTCACTTCTGGGTGTACAATGAGCTGTGAAATTGTGACGGGCCCTCGTGCAGTCGCCTCAGCCTCCCCGCCACAGGGGGGTGGTGACCGTTCCGTCCGAGGTGAATGGACGGCGGCACTGTCTGTTAGGCTAGCGGCTGACGGGCGGGCAGGTATTTTTAGCGACTCATCGCGCTGGGAGGGTCTTCTCTCCCCCTGGAATCTGCCCAGCCCGCCTCTAGCATTCCTCGCTTTGGGCCACGCACCACGACGTCTTGCGGACGACAGTCTGGACTCTGGAACCCCCGTCAACACCCGAGGCATCAAGGCTGGAATCCATTGCTTTTTCCACAGCTTTGTCAAACGACGGCCATCTGGCTTCGCCGTTCGAGATCGCCTACGTGAAGCAGCATCCGCCTCTCTCCGTTGGATGATGTGAGACAAGACTCTCCGTGCCTCCAGGGGCAGGGCGGCGTCGGCGGCGACCCATTGGCTGGCGAGGCTGAGGCAGGCAGCTCGACTCGTGGGGGACCTGGGGGGAGCCGAGATGCGGAAGCCCGGCACGGGGGCCCATGGATCACGGCGTTGGGCGAGCTGGGGGCGATGCAAATGCCGTCTCGGGTTGCACGACAGATGAAAGACATGGACAGGCAGACCTCGAGAACGCAGGCTCCTCCTGGCTGTGGCTGACCTGTCTGGCGTGGCTACGGCTGTGGCTGGTGTTGGTGTCAAGTACGCATGCTGCAGGGTAACCAGCTCGGATCTCGGAGACGGACATGACGTGCAGTTGCAACAAGGGCATCTACGTGGCAGGCGTGCTCGGATCTATCCACGGCTGGATTGTCTCGAATCAGACCTCCCAGGTACGGTACCCGTCGCGCCGGGCCGTCGTGGTGGTTGCTGGTGCAGGTGGCTGCTTTGTTTGGTGTGCAGACAGACAGACAAGCTTCGATTGCCCATCGTAGATTTCGACTCTTCTTTCCACGTGAGCCGACGTCATCGCCTACGACACGCCGTCGTCAGTCCACCCCCATCCAAGCAAGCACCGACCCTGAATGGAAATCGACGCTATACTTGCAAGTTTATGCGACAGACTGCCACCTCGATTTAAGAAGCTCCGTTTTGCTCTCGTCGCCTCTTCGAGCACTCTCCCCTTGTACCATAATCCTGCGTCAAACAGACCATACCTACAAGTCTTGCGCTTCCTCATTACACCTCTAGCTCACACACCACGACTGCCTTCAACTCAAGCTCACCCAACACCAAACCACACCACCGCCGCCCACCATGCCTCTCGTCGTCCCCGGCATCACAAACGCCTCGTCCAACAAGACGGAGGAGTGGCAGAACAAGCTCGTCGGCAAGAAGTTTTCCGAGAGCGAGTCCAACGAGACGGTAAGCCCAACGGCGTCCACCCGATGGGCCTCTATCGAGACATCTGAACTGACAGTCGAGTGCGGCAGATGTTTTGCAAAAAGGACCTCCCCGAGCAGCACCGCGTCATCAAGCCGGGCCAGATGGTCACCAAGGACTTTTACGAGGACCGCCTCAACGTGCACCTTGATGAGAGCGGCGCCGTCTCGCATGTCACGCACGGCTAGGGGCGGCGGGGATCGGCGGCTTAGAGACTACGGGTAGCGACCTCGCTGATGGTCGCCTAAGATGATAGATCTCCGAGGTCACTGTAAATTGCTTTAATGGACGCGTCTTTTGATGAAAAACACTTTGTCTTTCCCGCGCGTGACTGTCTTGCTATGCCTGGTAGCTCGGCGTGATGCAGGCGACGACGGAATTACCCCGCCATTGACCGACCGCGGGGCACCACCGGCCCACCACCACCACCACCACCATGGCCGCCGCGGCCGGCTGCCCTCCGTCGACTTTTCCCCTCCATCCTCAACTCCAACCCCACCATCGCCATCGCCGTCACCCGTCACGCGACAAACACGTCCCAACCTGCCGGCGACCGACTCTCCCCTACCCGAACCCTTCACCTAGCTCGCTACACACCAGACATCAGCCATCATGTTTAAAAAAGAGCAAGTCCCCCCGCCCGCTGTCCCGCCGCCGAGCCGCGTGAAGCTGGCCCCCGCCAGCTAGCTACCTCAGCTAACCTGTCCGTCTCGTCCTCGCGCAGCATCCAGCCGTCGCCCAAGCAAAAGCTCAAGAGCTCCGTCCAGCGCTCGCTGCGCGGGTCCCTCCTCGCGACGTACCCGCTCCTGACGCCGCACATCGACGAGATCCTGCCCAAAAAGGCCTCGCTGTCCAGCATGAAGCTGACGGACCGCAACACGCTCTACGTGCTCGACGCCGAGCCCCTCTTCTACCAGCAGGACGTGTCGTCGACCATCCTGCCGCACCTGCGCCTCGTCCACCGCTTCCCCCAGAGCTTCCCCACGATACGCATAGACCGCGGCGCCATCCGCTTCGTCCTCTCGGGCGCCACCCTCATGGCCCCCGGCCTGACCTCCAAGGGCGGCCGCCTGCCGCGCGAGGGCGCTCACAAGGCCCCGCTCGAGGAGGGCAAGGAGATGGATCAAGGCGTGGACGAGGAGGGCCGCTGGAGCAGGGAGCTGGCCAAGGGCGAGCCCGTCGTCATCATGGCCGAGGGCAAGGAGGAGGCCTGCGCCGTGGGCACCCTCGTCACCGCCACCGACGAGGTCAAGGCCAAGGGCAAGGGGCCCGTCGTCGAGGACGCGCACTTTCTCGGCGACGGCCTGTGGAAGCTGTCCACGGAGTGAAGGGGGGGGGCGGACAAGGGGGTTAACGGGGCTGTTGGTTGGAAACAGTGCCGTGAGGTTCGTGGCATTTTATATACAGCGACGAACGGCGGCGAAGTCTCGGCGGGTGCGATACCGCGTGCTGCCGCCGATCGGCCACGCAGGACATTTCGGCAAGGAAAGTGAGCCAGCAGGATCATACAAAGTATCAGCGTGGAACATTGGCCCTGCCACGGGGCGAGACGCGGCAGAGCTCGTGGCTGGCCTTTGGCGGCAGCAACAACACCAAAGAAGAGCAAGGGCCATCATCATGTAGTACGTAGGAATACTCGATACGCAGCGTGTTCGGCAGGGAATTTGAAACATGCCACTTTCCGTCCATATTGCGCCCGCGCCGCCGCCGCCTTGGCCGCCGCCACTCGTTCTCGAAATCTCAAATACTTGGCGATTGACGTGCCCTCATTTTCGAATACGCAGATCCCATTATTCATTTTCTTGGCCATATTCGCTCCGGGATGGGATTTCAAAAAAGACCGGCTCATGCGACTCATTGCCGGCGTCTGGCAGCACGAAGCGCCCCGCGCGGGCACGAGGCACCCCGCGGCCACGCGCGAAATGAGGCGGCATTGGCGAGCGAGCAGCGCCAACAACAACGGCTACATTCGTACGGCAAGCGCCCTCAACGTGGTGACTGGACGATCCCGAGTTCTCACTTCGGATCCGGGGGCCATTTCTCGCGACACGGCGGCCGGCAGTGGGGGTTCCTGGGGGAGGCAGATGGAAAAAGCACGCAATGCAACAATATGACGAAGTGCTCCGAGTAAAGGCGATGAGATCAGGGGGAAAGATAGATGAGTGATGGGGAACAGTGTTGCTGGCTGGCAGTGGTGGTGGTAGTAGTGGACGAGAGGCGTGTATAAATCGGGCGACGTCTCCCCCCCCCTCGTCATGACTTCCTTACCCAGCGGCAACGAGCATTCCGACTTTTACACTCTTTAACTAAGCTCGCCATCTTGAACGCGCGTCTGTTCATCTGCTTCCCCACACGGTCCTTTCCACACCAGACACAGCAGCAGCAGCAATGAAGTTCCTCCGCCTCGCCACCCTCGCCGCCACGGTCTCGGCCGCGCCCTTCCTTGCCGACGTGAGTTTCACCCCTTCACCCCAAGCATTGAAGCTCGTCGTGAAAGAAAAGAGAGAAAGAAGCGCATTGCTGACAAGGGACATATCCGCAGAACGTCAAGGGAGCCGCCCAGGACACCGCCGACTCCGTCGACCAAACCGCCCACTCCCTCGGCAGCGGCCTCGGCGACCGGATCCCCACCTTCGCCAACGACGCCGCCGACAGGCTCGCCTCGCGCCAGGACGCCGTGACGGGCGAGGAGCTGCCCCACGCCATGCTCGACAACGAGCCCTTCGAGGAGGTCGCCGACGACGCCGCGGCCGACAAGCCCCTCCTCGTCGGGCCCGACACGCCCCTCACCCCCGAGGGCTACCGGCACGAGCAGCAGCAGCACAACAACAACAACAACAACGTCGGCGAGGACCTCCAGGACACGGTCGACCGCGTCGTCGGCAAGGCGAGCAAGGTCCGCCCCCCGCACAGGAACACCAAGGCGAGGAGGGACCTCATCACCCCCAACTGGGGTGTCAACGACGCGGCGTCGCAGATGCTCAACACGGCGCTGACGGGCGTCCGTGGCGGCCACCAGTAAATGGCACCCTAGGCGGGTTACTACCTCTCCCTCTTGCTGTACTCTTCCTTCTGCTTCTGCTTCCTGGGGGTTGCCGGACGAGAGGAGGGGAACAAGGGGAAGGACGGAGGACGGAGACAGCTCGGGGGGTTGGCGCCCATTGGGGTGGCTGGGCTGTACATCTATTCGCTGTACATATTTCTCCATCGATACTCGCTTATAAACATGCGGAAAGCGCGGCCTGGACGCGCGCGGGCTTGTGCCAGTCTTGCGCGGAGAGTCTACATGCAGTGAAATGGGTGTCCGAACGATGTCGCTGTCGCCAATACATGAACAGACTTTCTAGGGACCATCGTCATATCACCGGCCGAGATTGTCTTTGAACACACTCTTGATATTCCGAAAAACAAAGCAACAACCTAGACGACCGCGACTCTCTCCCCCTGTTTCCTCTCCAGGCTACGCGGAGAGGCTTTCGAGGCATCGTCGATGGGTTGCTTCCGCCTCCTTCAAAGCCTCTTCAACCCGTTCGTAGAATTCCACATCTGAGTCGGCCTCGGTTGGGGAAATTTGGCCTATGTCCAAAAGTTCCCGAACCTTGGTCAAATGGAGATCCATCACCGCATACATGCGGGTTTGCATGCCATCAGCGAACTGAATGTATCGCTGCTGCCACTGATCCAGCAAGTTGCGAAAGAGAGCTTCATCCGTGATCTTGCGTCGGATGATTTCTTGTCGCCGGAAATGGCTACCAGTTCCTACACGAGATCAGCCTAGTGCTCATCACCTTGCATGTGAGCTTGCCTAAAATCGCGGGAGAAGACCACTCCTGCGCCTCATTAACATACCATGCGTAAGGTTGCACTGTGAGTATGCTGGCTCCATTGCTTTCCAAATAAATGATGTTCTTGTGCACGAAAGAGCATCGACGCCCAAATAACTAGAAGTGTGACATGTTGAGTCTCTTGCAGCAGCTGGCGGGACTTATACTTTGGACAAACCTCATTTCTTTTTTCCCTCGTCGATACACTTTGTGAATGTCGCCGACAGTCAGGCTAGATGTACTACGCAGGGCTCGAATGAGCCACTTGATTGCAGAAGTGCCGCATTTGGTTTCTGTGTCCATGGGTCAGAATTCTCGCGCGTCATAGCAAGCCACAGTAGCTTCCGGAATCTTCAAACATACCCAAGTGGGACTCAATCTTGTCGTCGATGTCCCCGATCAAGGAAGTGATGGTGCTCCGCTGGGTCTGCACCGACTTACATACCGTCTCCCATGGTTCCTTAAGATCCTTGACCATGCCTTCGATTATCTCTTCGTTCCAATAGTCCCGCTGTTGGTTCTTGATGGCGTGAACACCCCAGTTTCGGCAAAACGCGTCATAAGACTCTGCCCGAAAGTTAGGATATAGGCCCATACCGTGGTTGACGGGACACGCGATGGACATGAGCAGGGCTACGTACGATGAGCGTACTAGACCGCGGGTTAGTAGCAGAACAAGAAGCATGGAGAAGCAAAGGCTTACCATTCTCCATCTCAACTCGGCTTTCTGGGCATTTTCACTCCATTTCGCGATGTCTTGTCCTGCATACACATGGACTAGTCAACCAGCCTTGCCAAACACACTCAAGTAGGACCTCATCACTCACGTTGAATTATATTTTCGTCAAAAGAGCGTTTAAGCTCTCTTGATATCGAGTTGAACATGGACTGAGGTGAATCCAGATCCTTTCTCGAGCATCAACACTATGAATAAGTCCCGGGAACATTGCTTACTGACCTCTTTCAACCATGTTTTGATAGTGACGAGGGCTTCTTGAAGCGCTTTGTGCTTCTGAACATCGGCGTTTTCTGTCAATGACTGAGCCCAAACCTGGATACTGTCGAGTAGCGCTTGAACGCGGTGTCTCATGTAGTCCGTCGCAGCAAGATGCTGACTGTCGGACAAGATTGCGATGCAGTGCTGCCTGACTGCCATGATGCCGCTCAATTCGAGGTATGGAAGCGCTCGCCGTACGTCACCGTCTCGATGGTCTCGGTACATTTTGCTGCTGACACAAAAGACATTGGGCTGTGGCATAGCCGGTGTCTGGTACGCCTTGTACATTTTAATCAAGGATTCAGTGGTCGCTTCGTTTCGAAACTCTATCCTTTGCTTGTCCAGGCTGTGCGGCGTCCGTGTTAGAGAAACCAGCACGAATTTGCAACCTCCAATCCACGAACAAGACTTACTCGAACTCCGCTGCCTTCAATGCGCGTCTATAATTCATTATGTTAATCTTGACCTGTTTTGACAGGGCATGGCAGCATACTTGGCGTCGGCAATATCTTGGGCCAGGGCCACGGCACCCGGATCAGACGCTATAAGTCCATCTTCTTCCGTTAGATCATTATATTCAGCCTCTAGTCCATCGAGATTTTCTCTTTGCTCATCGACTAGCTCTTTCAACTGCTGCAGGCAGCTTGCTCGTTTGTCTTTATACTCTTTGATAGCCTCGCCGACTTCGCCACCCTGAACAAATAAGCAGCGTTAGCACTCATCTTGGAAGCACCTTAGTGAGCGTCAGAAAAGTACAGACATCAGTCTTGGTGCATATGATGCCAACTTTCGTGATGGCTTGCTGGCGCGCCAACTCAAAGACGTCCAAAATCGACCGGTCATTGGTAGCTCGCATGATGTCGCAAGTGACAAAGACTTCGTCGCAATCGCGTAAGCAGATCTGCGTGAGCCTGCTACGAGCGGGGTTCAGATCTCGAAGCCCTGCAGAACCGCAATCACGAACGTGAGCTAGATGTGGATGGCTTCAGTCAGCTAGCGAGCACGCACCTGGGAGATCGACCAGAATCAATCCCTTTCCTAGAATATGCGAACGCGAATACACCCTCGGTGTACGTCAGTAATTATTTATGTGCATGCCACGACGAAAGGAAGGGCGAACCTGATTTTCCGCATGTATGGCCAAAGGACCGACTCGCGAGACGGACTCTGTCCCGAGGAGAGCTTCATCAAAAGATCGGAGCACTTTTCCAGCGTAAGCCCCGAAGTAGGAGGTTTCGTCTCTTCTTGAACAATGCCTGCCGCCCAACCCTTGAAGATCCGGAGCACTCGCTCTTCCGAATCTTGAAGCAGGAACGTTTTGTCTCCCAGACGCTCGCCAAACATGTACGCAAACATGTTCTCAGCCTCTTCGGCTCTGATCTTGAAGCGAGGCGTGTCTTCAGATGTCATCTCGGCTCGTTTCAAGTGATAGGCTCTGTAGGACCGCAGCGGATCGACCAGGTTGTTGGCCAGCTCATCCGGTTCAAACAGTTCCACCTGCACAGTGAAATCGTGAGAGTCGTGAAAGTGGTACTCTGTAACAACGTTCGTGCATGCCCCTCCAGATGAGCCCTAACTCAAGTGTCAGCGCCATGAAACAGTCCTCTGAATGTTTTGTCCCTACAGTCTTGGCGAGGTCTTTGAAGTCTAGGAGCGAGTTGATAAGATGGCTCTTGCCTGTCGCATTCCGTGTTACAATCCAGTCCAAGTGCTCGTCGCTTTGAACTCACCAGTGCCCATATCCCCGACGAAGCAAACAGTTCGCTTATTGGCACATGAAAACTGAGCCAATTCTTGGGCCTCTTTAAGCAGACTCGACATCGTCGAGCTCGAGTCAAGGTGGATTGAGCCACCTCCGAGTTTGCCGGCCAAGACACTCATTGCTTGCTTAGTGTCTTGCAAAGCTTTTTGGAAACCCGGATCGTTGAATGCATCCCTGGGGGGTTTCTCGCTTGCCACATCGTGACGCCGTCGCGTGATGGGTGTCGAGGTTGAGGACCTAGGTTGAGAACGCCGAGTGGGAGTTGGTGTGCTCGGTCGTCTGAGCACCTCTGGGATCGCGGAAAATCTTTGAATAGGCTCTCGTTCAACTTCTCCAAGTGTTGTGGCAATGCTTGCCATGTTCATATTATCCTGGCGGGATGAGGCACTTTGACCCTCAGACAGGCTGGGTACTTCAGGAACTGGGGAACCATGATCATCCAGACACCGGTGCTCATACCCGCCAACTTCAGAGGATCCAGGCGTCGCAAGAGTTACTGATGAGCACGATGGGCTGAAAGTAACTCTGGGAGTTTCGAATCCGGGTCCTCCGCGTACTGCATTTCGAGGCGGGGTTTCTGGCGCCGTGAATCCGCTTTCCTCGATCGAAGGTCGCGGCGTGTCGGCCATGGTTGGATCTCGAATCTCTGATTTGCAAACGTTTCCGCTAGAACTGAAAACGCTTAGCTGGAGGAAATCTGACACAGGTAGTTGAGGATACAGTTTCGCAGTTATACTTTGAACTCGAGAAACCTCCTCTGATGCCGACTTCTCCCAGCCAACATGGCGGCCGCCAAGTAAATCACCATCAGCCCCTCAGTCTGCCTTACCTCATGTTGGTCAGGGACGCAGAGCCTCTAGTACCAACACAATTGGCTTCGTCCAACAGCGCCCGTGGACCGACTCGTCCAGCACTTCGGAGTGACCGATGCAGGAAAATGCAAGGCATATGCCGAAAGTGCCCAACCGAGGGCGACTTGCGCAAGCCACGTAAGCAATTTGAGCAAACAAGATTACTGAGGCATCGGCATGATGTCGAGAATAGCAAACTAGTGCTCGGATGCATGTCTGGGAGTCTCGAAAGTCTGCCTTGGTGAGTACCGATATTTTAAGGAAGTTGATGAGCCCGAGGTAGTCTTGGTTGGTCTTGGTGCGACTCAAATGCATGCGTCATTGGGTTTGCGAAATGTTGCTAATTTTCCTTCCAAAAGGGCCTCCCTGAACTTTGTCATGGCAGTAAGTCCAACGGAGTATTGCCACGAAGTAACGATGACTGGCAATCAACACGCCCTCGAATCTGCCGTGGAAGCGCCGTTCCCTCTATTACTGCCTGCGCTGGCCAAACACGCTCTGAACAAAGAAGCCAACGACTATTCGGTGCGGGAATGCTGTCATTGCTACAAGGTGCTACTCCATTTGTGGCCGGGATAGATTGGAGGGTGGCACGACCCAACGAACTGGGCAGTTGGCGCGTGTCCTTGTGCCAGGCAATGTCAGCATACTTCGTACGATGCAAACCCATCAAACCTTCGCACTCTTAGTACAGCGTGAAGTATGATTGCAGTACCAGACAGCTTTGAAGTTTGCGCTGAATGCATTCATGCGTGAAACGTCGTAGCACCCCTCTTCCTAGTGCATGTCCCGAGCGAGCGGCGACAGGCGCAGATGAAGTCTGTTGCCGGAGCAAACCATCTACGAGTACAACGATACGTGTGCCTCGTTTCATCAAAGATAAGCCGCCTGCTCGAGTTGCAAGGAGTCCAATGCGACAACTCTGAGCGTGCCTGTTCTCCATGTCCTCGATTAGACTCTTCGAAGAGATGCCTCTGAGTCCGTCCCGTGTTGCATCTGGAACGTCTTGGTGACCCTGACACCACTGTCCAGTTTGAGGTCATTCCTGCTCTCCAAGTCGGCCTTCTCAGCTGTACGGGAGAGCTCCTTCACCAACTCCTCCTCCGAGCAACCCCTATCTCGGGTTCCACCGACAATGTTCGTGGTTATTCGTCCTTGATTCGTCTTTCGGCTGTGGTTCTGTGCGGAGAGCTCGTACTGTCGGTAGCTTGACGCTGTTCTGGCAGTTGAAGAAGGCCCGAGGAAGACTGAGCGAAGTGCTGTTGGTATTGTGTTAGCTTGAACGCATCACCTTCGCGAAGAGAGAGCGGGGAACATACGGGGAAGACACGCAGCGATGATTGCAACAGCCGTCTCGATCATGGAGACGGTGCAGGTCAGCATGGTCTCCTTCCGTTTTGCGTAGTATGCCCGAACAACTACCGCCAAGTCAATGTCAGAGTTTGCCCTCAAGGGGCTTGAGACCAGGAGTGCACGTACTGCCCGCGATGACCACAAGGAAGCCCAGAGCAAAGACTGCAGCTACCGCAAGCTTCTGCTTGAGTTTCATCTGCAGCTTTAGGACCATTGTTATGGGTAAACTTATAGCTGCGCAGCGTCAGTTCAATGCTACCATCGGGGTGCTTGATAGGCAGGACTCTGAGGTGTTTCTTACTAGCGATATCAGTTCCGATATTTACTTTAAATCGGTTAGCAACTGCAAGCCCTGAACTGCCTTCCAAGCACTTACAAATGACTGTCAGCCAGTAATTTATGTCCCCATTCTTGCGGTCACATTTGTCTGGGATTGTCAGCTCTCATATAGATCAACAGGCGACGTGGCTGGAGTTGCACTGACATGCTGGGTCCTTGGACCATCTCTTGTCGTGGGGAAAGCACTGAAAGATGATGTGCAATGTAATGACGCCCCAAAACAAGACCAGCAGTCCCAGAGCTACGTTGTAGATCAACTGGAGCGTGGATTTAGGCGCCGCGAGCCTCTTGTAGAACAGAACCATGGCGACTTTGACGGCCCACAAGGACGACACGTACAGGATGGACCCAGGGACAATCATCTTTGCTGGCATCAGCTCAGATCCTCTTGTGGAAGCGCCATGTTGGTAAATTCACCTTCATGATCTTAACAAGGTCGCTGTGGCTCGCGCGCTGGAGTTCTGCCATTCCCAGGCTCCACATGTACTGCTGGATAGCAAGATCCGCGATGAGGCAGGCTGCAGCGAGGATGAGGATGCCATCCTCTGGTCCAAGGCCGCCGAAGCGGCGCACGCGGATCCACAGCCGGGAAGCGAGGAACAGACATGCGATAACAGTGCATATATACCACGAGACCTGGTATCCTTGTCAGCGCCCCAAGTGTTCGTGAATTCACCCTTGTCTGGCGATCATGACCTACCACTTGACCAAGACCTTCCGCCATCGTAAAGGCTGTGATGAGAACAATCACACGTACGAGAACCCAGATACATGGCATGAAAAATGAAGGAGAGTTTGGGCGGGTAATTGTTTTATTCCTCGCTTTTCCGCTCCGGGCCCGGGGAGCGTTCGACTCCTGGCGTACGGAGTACCGTACCTGTCCCACCGAGCTGAGTTTACCAGCGACCGCGGGCAGGGATCACGGCATATGCAGGGTCATTCATGCTCACACTTGCCCGATTCCCAAATGGTACCCAGTAACGATTGGCCTTTGTGAGACCGTACTCCCCAGGCAAGGCAAGCGTGGCCACACGCAAATCCGTTTGGCCGTTTAAGCTTTACATTGTGGCCCCTCAATCAGCGTCGGCGACGGCAAGACACATTGGCAACTCACACGGCGATGGCCACTAAAGAGTGGTGCAGGCAAGGGAAAAACTGATGCCTCACGAGTTCCGGGATCGGGCCTTAAGCGATGTCCTGGACGACAAAATGGGCTGCTTTCGGACCCCCGAGCTTGTGCCGGAGTCATGATCCATGTCCGGAAGGATTCGGCCAGCCCACCTCGGCTCTGCTTTGTTGGTTAGAGTGGAGCATGCTCTGTTAAACGCGACAGACGTCGATGGTAGGTGCCGAGTGTTGAATCAATGCGCTGTCAGGCCATAACCCCTTGTCCTTGTCTCAGGAACTGCTGGCGCGAAGACCAGCGCCCTATGATGCTCGCCTACCACCAACCCGCGAGTGGGCCACACAGCACCGTTGAGTTACCTCACGAAAGCTTCACAGCATTGAACGAGAAGCTTACTTTCAAGGCCCTGAGATTCGAGCGGCCTTGCATCAGCAGTGCCGAATGTTTTTTCCTTTTGGAACGATTAAGCTTGACTCGCCGATACGACTAAGGTCTAGTGCTGCAACGGTGATCCGCCAAGCGAGCGGAGCCGTAATGTCCTGCAGCTCTTGTCCTTGGTAGGCTCCATCGCCATGTGGCTCCTCCCCACTATGCATGTTCAGGGCCGTCCATCTGCGCGTAAGAAAAGTCCAACAATGCCCCGATCAAGGGAATCAATATGTCGCGTCTTGTCTTTATTGTTTCAAGATCGGAGTAGCACAGACATCCGAGTCAAATATCGTATCGAGCGGTGATCATTCCCCACTCGATCTTAGAACTCGGCCTGGTGCGAGTCGATCATGAGGCCCATCCAGGTCCTAGCGACGGCTGTGTCCCTCGCCTTGGGGGTTGCAGGCGCTGCAACCCCCTCGGGGAACACATGCGGAGGTGATCCGACTGTTGTCATCCCGCAGGCCGCCGTCAAGGGTTTCCGCGATGATCACTGCAACAATGTCTTTTTGGGTATTCCTTTCGCCGCAACGACAGGCGGGACGAATCGGTAAGTTAACGTCGACATCAGGAGAAACGAACCTTGTATTATCCTGAAGGATACTGATGTCACATCCCTAGATGGCGGCCACCGCAGAACCTTCGACCATCGAAATCAAGCTACAAAGCCATTACGTATGGGCCGACTTGCCCACAGGCCAAAGTGAAGTCGCAATATAGCCGCCAAGCTGAGGACTGCCTGAACCTCAATATCTGGGCGCCTCCCAAGGCGAAGAGTGGCTCTGGTTATCCTGTGTTTGTGTACATGTATGGTGGTGCCATGGTTACGGGTTCCAACAGCAACCCTCAGTTGCAAGGCACCAACTTTGCCCGCAAGGACGTCGTCTACGTCAACTTCAACACTCGCGAGAGCATCTTCGCCTCCCCATACTCCTCGGAGTTGCAACGCGCAAACCCGAAAACGTCCCAGAACTTGAGCATTCTGGATGTTGAAAAGGCACTGGACTGGATTCGCAAAAACATCAAAGGTAGGATCGGCAGAGGAGCAACTAATTAACAAGGGATAACCCAAGAACCTCCGCTGACATTGGTTTGAAGCTTTCGGTGGCAATCCCGACCACATCGTCTTTGGCGGCCACTCGTCTGGCTCCGTGCAGGTCGACCACTACCTATGGAACCACCCCCAGACCTGGCTCAAAGGAGCCGTGCAGATGAGCGCCAACGCCATGTCGGGACCGGCGTACGCGCCGATAGACGAAGCCTTGAACATTGTTGCCGCGGAAGTTGGCTGCCCAGCTGCGGGTCACGGCCAGATAGACTGCCTCCGTAAAGTCGACATGTACGCACTCGAGACGGCCATGTTCAACTCAACATCCAACGTGTGGTTCACGCCGGTCATTGACGACATCACCCGGCATTCCGACTACGCGGCGCGGTTCGCAGCGGGTAAGTACGCATCGCATGTGCCGTTGCTGACTGGAACGTCGGACGGAGAGGGAAACATCTTCAGCCTCGTCTATGGCGGCAGCGCGAGCAGCTTCAAGTCATGGATAGACAGTTTTGACGCCGACAGCGCGCACATCTCGGACTGCAAGCTACTCGGAGCCTACAAGGCCACTGACTACGACAGCGATCCTCAACGCATCGGCGCCCAGTATGGCGATGCTCGTTTCAACTGTGCCGTTGACTACCTCCTCGACATGCGCAGCGCCAAGCAATCTACCTGGGTTTACCGATTCTTCGGCAAGTACGACAACGTCGTGGGCCCGCCAAACACGGCACCGACGCACGGAACTGAAGTGCCCTTCTTCCACGGCGGAAACGAGTGCTTCAATTCTCTGAAGGGCGTCACGCAGGAACAGCAAGCGTTGGCAGACTTCACCCACGACTGGTTTGTGTCGTGGATAAAGAATCCGACAGCTGGGCCTGGCTGGAACAAGGCATCACCAACGTCGGACACGCTGGTCAAGCTGGCCGTGCCTGGAGATGAGCTTGCCCGTACGAGTGGCTCCAGGGCAGACTACAACGCCAAGTGCAAAGCGGTTAGTGTGCCTCTTCCTGCGATGATTCGAGTCTCGTGCTAACAGTTGAGTCTACTAGGTCTACGCACCTGCTTTCCCCAAATACCCGATCGTCCAGTCACTGTTGGGTGGTAAGCCTCAGCCGTGACCTGCCAGCGAGGTCGCTCGAACGATGGACAAATAGACATTACAAATGGCAGTCGAGAATATATTAGAGAATTGTAATTACGTTGTTGCAACCTGTTAGCGGCAATTAAGCGTTTCGGTGGTTGGCGAGCGGCGACACATGTTCCAGCGCAGCTATTGCCATGTCTTCCTTGACGTGAAAAGCGTGCAACCGTAGCCATGTTACTGCATGAGCAACTCCTCAAAGGAAGTACACCGCGGCGACCACAACGCCCGCTAGGAGCGCCATAGGAGATGCGGCACGTCCAGCCACGCTGCTGATGACGGTCGTGGGCAGCCGAGAAGACGGGTCCACGGAGGAGGTAGCATTTCCTGATGTCAAGTCAGCATACATCTCTACTCTTGATATAGCGGCACGGACGAGACCTACCGAGGTCGCCAGTGCCCCCGACCGCGGTGGTGTTAGGCGGCACGACTCCAGTGGTAGGCACTGGCTCGCCAACATCAGACGGCGAGGTAGTGGCGACAGCCGGCACATTAACCTCGGACGTGTTGGCAGGCAAACTCGGCGTCGTGGTATTGAAGATTGGTCCAGGCATATGAGACACGGGTCAGTCTTGCCGTCAGTCACCGGCGGAATCGTAATCGCAGGCACGATCCCCGAAGCGGTCGACTGGTGGTGGATCGGACGGAGGACGGTGCTGAGCCCCGACGGAAGACCGCCGACCGGCAGCGAGCCGATAGGCAACTTGCCAATCCCCGTCGGTAGAGAGCCGATCGGCAAGTTGCCAATCCTCGTCGGCAGAGAACCCTCCGGCGCGATCCCGGTCGGTGAGGGAGGAGCATCGGCCGGGGCGATCGGGCCATCAAAGTCAATCTTCTGGCCATAGTTCTCCTTGCGCGAGCTGTTGTTGATGATCTTGAACGCGCAGACACCGGCGGGTACGCTTTCGAGGTTGACGTTGAAGGTGCTACCGGACGTTTGCTCTAGGTGAAGGTCAGAAACATCCTACATGGAGACGCACAGGTCCATCAGATTGGGTTCCCTACCGGTCAGGACCTTGACGTCCTTCATGCTGTTCTCGGTCGCGCCGTTCTGGAGAGAGATGGTGCAGCCCGAGTGGCAGCCGCCAAAGCTGAGAGCAAAGTCCTGGCGCGCAACGACCTTCCACTCCGTGTTGAAGAACATGGGCTTGTCGTCATCGAGATGCTTGCCGGTGTGGCCCAGAGCGGCACCCGCGAGGGCGGAAAGAGCGAGGAAAGAGGTCTTCATGCTGGCAACGATACTGCGTACTAAACGTTATCTACTAAGCGAGTGTCTTGGGCTGGTAAAGAATAAAAAAAAAGGTGTCAGAAGGGCACGTTGAAGTATGGCGGACCTGCCCCGAATTTATGATACGTGGCAAGCGGGAGGAAAAGCTTGGGATCACTCGCAGTTCTTGTCACATCGCCAAGGTCATCCCGGCCTTGATGCATGATATCTGCCCAGGTCATGCTAATAACCACTTCTCGATTTCATGCATTGCAATGACCCGTCTTTGCAGGCAATCTTGTAGAGCTATAGCAGGCCCATTTGTGTTTGTTCCTTTAGTGGCCTCTCGCGCGCATAACATTCTGGGCATGTATATTCCCTGTCGGGACAGAGGCAGTCGGGTGGCAGCAGTATCTAATAGCCTTTAGAACACTCCTTGGCAAAGACAAAATATATTGGGTTTATTAATAGTGTCGCCTGTACTCACCAGACGTGGACTGATGGCCCAAGACCAACTCGACATAACCTGGCCGCTCAACGCCGGGTGCGTCTCTTCGCTCCCCGTTCACGTTGCATCATGAGACCTGTGGTGAGTGTTGGCCTCACTTGGAGACCTATCAGGTCACTGAAACGTCGCGAAACACTATTATTGCGAGTGATGGAACTGCGTCCGTGTATAATTCCCGGCATGAAATCATTTCGACTAGTGCATGAACGCACGTGCTGGCACCCGCACCAGACCAAAAGCGAACATGAAGCAAAGATGAAGTCCCCCCCATGACCCTCAATTTCCCACCAGCCTATACACGATCAAGCAGATTCAGTGCCATGGAGTATGCTCTAATCTGATTCGCTCCAGCGACTGACCACACCCTTGATGGCCGTGAAGCAGCACAGTTTTGCATAGTCCTGAGCGATGATCGCAATCACACAGCTTTGCAACTATGAGATGCGACCCATATAGAACATCGATGAGTGGGAGGAGGTAAAAGTTTCAGATATGAAACTAATCTCTTCCGTCCACCCTACAGAGCTGGCCATCTTGTTTCTGCGCCCAGCCCTCGCTGCCGACGCACGTTTGACACCACAGGACATTAGCCGGATCGACCGCCCGCTTGATCTTCAACAGCCTCGGGTAATTGTCGCCCCAAAACGACTGCTGCCAGTTCTTTTCGAAGACGAAAGCCTGTCGCGTTTGTCAGCATCTGCGTATCAAGGGGTCGTGAGGATGCGAGTGCCGCATTCGATGGGCTTACCTCGTTCATGTACGAGCCCGACCGTCTGTCCAGCTGCCGCATAGGCTCAAACGCATCGTTCATGAGCTTGATGGCATCCTTCTCGGCAGTCTTGTTAAAAGGCGGGAAGAAGACACGCGACACTGCACTCGTTAGAATCCGGCCCTGCTCCAGCGTGCGCCTTCGGCTACTTACTCCCCATGACGGCAGCCTTGCGCCATGCCGGGTTGACGGCGTCGCTGCCGCCTCTTGGTCGTGCATTGGCCACGCCCTTGCCGCCGACCATGAAGATATCGAAGCGTTCATTAGCCTTGAACACCTCTTTCAGGGCAGACATGAATTTTGTGTTGTTGCCCTTTAGCTCGTCGCCCGCCAACATCCTCGACGCGACATAGGTGCTGCCACCTCCACGGCCCGCATCGTGGTTCTCCTTGTGCCACTCCCAAAACGTGTTGTAGTGCTTGGGAAGGACAATCAGATTCACCTTGCCGGGCCAGCGCTCCTGGATGGTGTCGTTGAGCGGCTTGAAGGCTCTCATTATGGCTGCCTCCCGATCGGCAGCGTCCTGAACCAATACCGTGCCGAACGCGCCGGCGAAGGTAGGGGGCACCCCTGGCACTGTGGTGCCATCGGGCAGCGACATGCCGGCGGACAAGAAGACGTAGCCCGATAGGCCCTTGTCCATGAGCACCGGCACCTGCGAGGAGAGGTAGGCGAGCAGCTCGTCCTTGATAGTATGGTGCTTCGGATCGGTGAAGGCGATGAACCCCGCGCCGGTGACTTGCGGAGTGGGATGCGTCCTGAGCGTCACCGAAACGACGACACCAAACGTCGAGCCTCCGCCCTGTCCAGCTTGTTAGCATGTGCGAAACAACTGGGGCTTGATCTCTTTCAACTCACGCCTCTCATGGCCCAGAAGAGGTCCCGATTCTGGTCCTCGTTGACCGCGACAATCTTGCCCCCGGGCGTAACGACGACCATCTCCAAGACGTTGTCGGCGGCCATGCCATACCGCGGCCCGAGCGGAGAGTGTCCGGCGCCGGTGATGTACCCGACGATGCCCACGGTGGTGCCGTGACCGCCCACGACGGCCTGCTTGTGCTTGTCGGCCGCGGCGTACGCCTCATACATCTGTACACCAGCGCCAAGGGTTATGGCATTGCCGCGGATCTCTTTCTTGGAGCCAGAAAGCCTGAACTTGCCCGGGTGGTAGGTGATATCTTTGAGGTTATGCGTCCAGATGGACAGGGCGCCGGGAGCAACTGAGCGGCCGAGGTAGTCGTGCCCGGTGCCTTTGACGACCAGTCTGACATTCTTCTGCCGGGCTTGAAATTGAAAGAGTTAGCGACTCTGCCTTTATGAGGTTGAAAGATTTAGCGTACCAAAGTCGACACCGAGCTTAATGTGCCTAGCCGTCGTCGCGTTAATCACGTACGCGGGATACCCATCGCCAGTGCAAGGGTACGCTGCGTCGGGTAGGCAGGTGTAGTTGGTGAACTGGTCGAGCAACACCGACACGGGGTTTCCGCAGTGAAACTCAGTCGTCTCCCACGCCTTCTTCACTTCGGCACAACGCTTCGGGCCGTGCCCGGGCTGTCCGGGGTGACAGGCTGCGGCGGGTGGCGTGGGTTTGATGAGCCGGCCGTCGAGCGCCTTGTTCAGACGCGCCCAGTCGTCTGCCGAGGGCCAGTCTGCGTTGCTGGGATGCGCTTTGCATGACTTATTCGGCGGGCGGGTCGCGCCGGAGAGGGCAACGAGGGATGCAAGGAGGAGTGGAATGCGCATGTCGTCGGCACCTTCAGTTTGACTCTGTATATCAGACCGAATGCTTGATGCTTTGGTAGGAAATTAACGAACCGCCGTGCCGGTCAGGCATACTTATACCATCTCAAAACCGAGACGGCTCCAGCAGTCCCATGGCAAGCCGCGTCACGCACCTTGTCATCTTGAGGCTATGCCTTTCATTATGCCGCGACGGAAATGACGCGGATTGCCAATGAAGACCAGCGTATTCATCGCGTAGCATTTTGAAGCTCCGCCGAAAAGGTAAACGACCAAATGGTCACGCATCTCGGGCGGTATCTCGACCCCGACGATCATTCCGGGGCGTTGTTGGCGTGAGTGTAAGCCCCGGGATCGACGGGTGTGGCTGAGGTGAGCGGAGCCGACGGGGCGGGAATCCGATCGCATTCGCGCCGAGTACCGGGAACTTGACGGCCCACCAGGGCACGTTGCCACATACAATGTGAACGGCACGTTTGTCTGGCGGTCTTGGGTTTAAGCTTACTTTGAGCCCGTCAAAGACTCAAGGGATGATTCTACATGGCAGTGACGCACCTTTGTGCTCGGGCAGCTGAACAACAGCAGTCAGTGTTTGTGCCGCCACCACCAGGTTCACAACGGTGCATGTAGTGATGGGGACATCGTTTGGTCGACGATGCAGCACCGCCAGTCGGTTGGGAAACGACGACTTCGCGGTGCCGTAACGAAAGACAATTTATTCTGACAAGATAATTCACCTCTCGCAGTCTTGAATCACGTCGTCTCTCGCAAAAGTATAAATTCCGCACGAAAACACGCAGCGTAGAGAGAACTTGAACCTTGCCAAGATCCCCCACCAACGCATGCTGCCTTGCGACAAACAAGGGACAGGGTTCTGAACAGCAAGGCAAACCTTTTTGTTTCTTGCTCAAAGCTGATACTCACTTCCTGCTAGACTATAATCATCGTCGTCATCATGTGCACGCAGGATTTCCATTTCATAGAGTGCGTGGACAAATGTGGAGTCGACTGGTACTGGAAACGAAGCGACGCGGAGCCGTGCGACGAGGTTCGCGCTCGGTTCCCCATTGCACCGGAGCGGCGCATCGGCTTCTGCGGCAAGTGGGTTCAGGGGAAAAAGTACCACTATACAAATGGGTCGCGGTGCAACGATTGCCGGGTGAAGCGGCTGAGGGAGGAGATCAAGGCGAGTAAAGCTGCGGCGAAGAAGAAGTAACGTAGAGATGGTCAGTCACTACTTGGAAGTAGAGATAGTGACTAGTTAGTTGATCATAAATCGCACTGCCTTTTGGAACCTGTGCCACTACTACGAATGCATGTGACGAATAAAGACTGAAAGGATGATTCTATGTGGCAGTGACGAACCTTCCGTCTCGCGCAGCTGAACAACAACAACTGTCAGAGTGTACGCAGCAACACCAGGTGAACAATGGTGGCGATGAACACATCGTTTGGTCGACAATGCAGCACCGCCGCCGTTCGACTGGATAACGACGACTTCGCAGTGCTAGAATGAAAGACAAGTCCTTTAACAAGAGATTCCACCTTCCCGCGGTCTTGAATCAAGGCAACTCTCCAAAATAGTATAAATTCCGGACGAAACCACAAAGTGTAGCTAGACCTCAACCTCGTCAAGAAATCCCCGACCAAGGCATTCCCCGGACTCTAATCCCAAACAGCCAGACCAGATTCGGGTTTTCCTTCTTTTGCCTATATCAAAGCTGATACCCGCATCGCCCGGCAGGCCATCATCATCACCATCCAGTCATCATCGCCATCATCATGTGCACGCTTGACGTCCATTTCCTAACGTGCCCGGACAAATGCGGCTACGCGTGGTTCTGGAGACGAGAGGGCCCCGAGCCGTGCGATTGGGTTCGTGCCAGGTGGCCCCGAGATCCCCACCGGCACATCGGCTCCTGCAGGAGGGGGCTCCGGGAGGTCAGGTGGACGCACACGTATCATGAGCCCTGCCACCCGTGCAAGAGGAAGCAGGAGAGACGGGAGAGGGAGGCGGTCAAGGCACGCACTAGGGGTACGTCGAGGAAGTAGAGGTGGTTAGGAGTCGGTAGGTTGGTCATCAATCGCACTTCTGTTTCGGACTTGTGCCACCGAGCCACTGCGAATGATGGGTGTTGAATAAGATATGTGCCTCGATTGCCCTTGAGATACCAACTCTTTTTGGGTTCAATGATGAGAACTGGATGCTGTGGTGGGCACAGCTCAGCCTTGAAGCATCTTCTTGAAACACAAACGCCAGACGCCGCCTCTGACCCCTGAGTGTACCCTAATGCTAAACGGCAGCCGTCTTTGCCTTTGCCTCCTTCACCTTCAGATGCTCCATATACCTCCCATGCTGCCGCGCGTACGCCTCCCTACCCACCTGGTCCTTGTACCGCTCAATAAAGTCCGTCACGGCCTCCAACCTCCAGAACCCCCTCTCATCGCGGAATCCCCCTTCGCAGCCCACGCCGTACGACTCGTCACCCTCGAGGATGATGCGCTTCAGCGCCTTGACTAGGCACGCGCGGTACGTGACCTGCACGCTCGTGGCCGTCGCGCGGTCCGGCTCGGGGACGGCGCCCTTGATGAGCGCGTTCCAGATGGTCTCGCGCTGGCGCTCGCGCAGGAAGTCGTCGCGCCGGGCGTCGAACTCGGCGCGCGCGTGGAACAGCCACAGCGCCTCCTCGGTGACGCGCTCCCGCGTAGTCTGCCGCTCCGTGAAGCGGCCCGCGCGGCGGCACGCGGGGACAAAGTCGTCGACCCAGGCGCGGAAGGCGGGGCGGCCCTTCATGCGTCGCCGGTCGTTGGCCTTGAGCTTCTTGCGGTCCTCGGCGGCGGCAGCGGCGTCTTCGCTCGCGGGATCCTGCTGCTCGGCGCCGTCCTTGGCGCTGGCAGGGTCTGGCGGCGGGACGTGCATCATGCGGCACTGCGCCACGTACTCGAACATGGCGTCGAGACTGTCAAACGGGCGGTCCCAGTAGTCGTCGATGGGGAGGCCGAGAAAGGTGAGCACCTTGGCGGGCTCCGAGGTGAGGAGGACCTTGGCGCGGTTGCGGTTTGTGTTTTCAATCTCGGGGACGCGCAGCCACAGAGCGCCGTCGTCGACCGTCAGGCCACAAGGGCGGATAGTCGAGCCGAGAATGTTCCATATGTCGCCGTGGGCGTGCTTGAAGAGCATCCACTGCATCTCCTCGAGGGATCTGCAGATGCGTACGTCAACCTGGATATATCTGTCTGGCTGCCCGTCGGCGGGCTCTTCTGCCAGGGATTCCGGCCAGGGCAGCGCAAGGTTGGAGGCGCAGGCGTCATTGACGATGATACGTGACGCTCCCAGCGCCCTGCCGACGTCATGCAGGCCCTCGCGTGTGTTTGCCCGGCCGTCTTTAGGCCATGCGACGAGAATGTCGATGTCGCCAAAGTCCGTCTTGCCAGGTCCGTCAATGGGAGACGCCACGCAAATGTACGTACGGCGCAGAATGGCCATGCTGCGGCTCTTGACGTCCTCGTACACGGGCTTGGGCATGCGTGGGGTGTGCAGCGGGCGGTCGCCCGAGTTGAAGGCGGAGCCACCCATGGTGTATGCGTTGCGTGATGTGAAGAGTACGCGGGCTTTTCCGAGACGTTGTGTGAGAATGCGAGACGGCGAGGGAGGATCACTGAGCCGGATGATTCTTGCGACTGAATGAGCGAGTGAAGATGGAAAAATTCCAGAGTATGCAAACGCCCGATGAATTGCTCGGATGCGTCACCGATGATGGCCGAAGACCGGACTGGACTGAGTCTGTCTGTAAGAAAAGAGAACGAGAAGCAGCACAGAGAGCCTCACAGCCTTACATGACGGTCGAAGAGGGTCCTTGTGCTGCTCATTCGGCCAGCTGTGCCCCGACTTTATCTTTTCTGGAGACCAAACACGCCATCCGAGAGTGTGACTGAACTGTCGGCGATGGAGTCACGCGATTCGCGATGCAGGGCGCAACGGGCGAATATTCGGTCCGGATTGTGTCTGGCGAGCCTTTCGAGGTTCACGGTAGATGGGTCGTCGCGTGTTTCGAGATTTAAGCTTACAGCCGCTGCAGCGCTCCGCCGGCTCGTTGGTGAGGCGTGAGTCGTGAGTCGTGAGGGTCTCGTCGTGATGGTGCGGGCTGCGTTGCCTCGGCGCTCGAAGGGCGGCAGCTTTCAAATCAATGGCCTACAATAATGCTCCATGGGCCGGGGAGCGAAGGCAGGGTCGAACCAGCTCACACTCGTCAAGGCCCCTCGAAGTTGCCGCGAGTTCGTTCGCAATGGGATTGATTGCGGCTCGTGAGTGAGTCAGCCCGGCGGGGAGGCGCAGCTTGCCCGAGGCAAACCGGCAGGCTCGCGTGTATGACAACGGTAGAGGCCGACGGGAACTGGCGCCGGCAAGCTGCTGCTGCACGACGAGCGGGTTGGGGAGTTGCGATGACGGACCGCCGCATTGCAGGTCGGAAGGAAGTCGCACGTTTGTGTTTCCGATGAGGTGCGTTCCAGTAATTACCCATGGCGGATCGAACGACGTTTCGCCGACTGAGCCACTGAGGCGCCGCCACTGCGGGTGGCTGTCTGGTCCGTCCATATGCCGCAGAACAGTAACGCGGAAGGGCTGGCATCAATCGCAGAGGACTGTGCCACCACAGCGATACACGATAGCGTCGCTTGAGACTTCAACTTCAAGAAGTGCTCGTGTCACTTCCTTGTTGGTTCTTGGACCCGGATCTTGGCTGTCATTGCTCTTCTCTTACATGTACGCAGTCAATCATGTCCGTACCTGCATCTTCAGCCGGCTGTCCGAGAACTGATAGTGTTGTCAAGTCATATTCGTGGCGTACAACATCAAGTATTGAACATAAAACCGGCTGTATAAACATGAACTCAGGGACCAGACCAGACGCCCGCAATGGCTCGCAACTCGTCCAACACCAAATCACGCCTCACCGATCACGACCCTCCTATCCCATCCCCTCCCATCCCTCCTCACAACATCCTCACAGCATCATCATCATCACAGCGCCCACGCCGCCACGCCCACCACCAGCGGCGCCATGTAAAGTCCCTTCCCGGCGCTCAGCCCCGCCGCGCCAGCCGTCTTGGTCGGCGACGCCGCGCCCGTGCCCGTGCCCGTGCCGGAGCCCGTCGCCGAGGCCCCGGTCGTCGTCGCCGTCGCGGAGCCGGACCCCGTGGGCGCCACCGTCGCCGTGCCCGTCGCGCTGCTGGTGGCGCTGGTCGTGGTCGAGTTGGTGCCCATGATGGCGGCGTGGTACTTGTCGACGACGTACTTGATGACGTCGTCGCCGTATTTCTCGACGTAGCCGCCGTGCACCTTCTTGTCCTTGCCGACGTCGCAGTAGACGTCGCCCGTGTCGCAGTAGGACACGAGGCGGTCCGAGTACTGCTTGCACGTGTCCACGGAGGAGTTGCTGCGCTCGAAGAGCTGTATTTTGTCTAATGTCAGCACAATCCCATGTGACGAAATTGTTGAGACGAGGTGGAACGACAGGGGGGGAGGGGGCAGGACTCACGCCGTTCTTGATGCTGGTGCCCTTGTCGTAGGTGAGGTTGGCGACGTGCGTCGGGTCGCCAAAGAAGACCATGGCGATGACTAGAGGCCAATGTTAGTCACACGACGACGGACGCCCTCGCGGTAGTGAGTAGAACGCCATCGCATAGACGCATGCCCACTCTCACTCACCATTCTTCTTAATGTCGGCCGTCGGCAGCGCGCGCGCCGCGTCAAACACACCGCCACTGCCACCACAAACGGCATCCATGCCGACGTGCGCGCCCTGCGAGTAGCCCATGATGGCCATCTTGCCGTCCGGGCAGGCGTCGAGGTAGTTGTTGACGACGCTCTGCATGCCCTTGACGCCGTCGGCGACCGAGTCCTGGTACGCCGGGTCCGAGAAGGTGGCCGGGTAGACGAGCGCCTCGACCTTGGACCCGGGGATCTTGGCCGTGATGTTGCCGGCCAGCAGGCCCGTCACGCCCGCGCCCTGCGGCTCCGTCGTCCCGCGCGCCACCACGATGTACAGGCCCGTGGCGCACGTCGTCGCGTTGCGGCCGCTGATGCTCGGGGCCGCGGAGGCGGCGCCCGCGAGAAGGGCCAGCGCGGCGAGGGAGCTTGCGGCGCGCATTTTGTTCGCTTTTTTGCTGTGTGTCTGACGAAGAGGTGTGTGTGTGTGTATGTGCGGTGTGTGAACCTGCGGTGATGAGGCTATCGCCGGATTGACGGACGGGGCGGTTCGGGCTTTGAGACACAGCTGTCTCCGTTGGGCGCCGGGGTCTCCGTCACAACGTCCACGACAAGACGAGCACAACTCAGCAGACGACGACGACCACGCGATTGAGGGGGTGGGAAGCAACAGCAAAAGAAGAAAGCGACGACGGCGAGCAGGCAAGACGAGAAAAGAGGAGCTCCCCCGAGGTACTTGTACTACAACTAGCTCCGCGTGTTAGTTAGTTAGTCTCCGGTGCATACATGCATCCCCATCCATCCATCCATCTTCCTCCGCATCCGCATCCGCCCAGCAAGCGTCAAGCACGCACGCACGCACACACACGCGGCCCGGCCGACCGACCGACCCCCCATCCATCTGTCAGTCACCCAGGCAGTCAGACGGGGCAAACAAGGTGCCCCCTTGCGAAGCGGGCAGGGCCATGGCCATACTACGTCTGACCTCGTGCAGCTGGCTACGAGCGCCCGGTGGTCCCGCCAACCCAACCTCCATGAGAATCCTCCTGCCTGGGGCCCGGGGGCCTGGGGATGGGGGCCGCCGTACTACCCTTGCCCAGCGCGCGATCCATCCACCCATCGAGCATCAGCAGCCTGGCATTTGGGGGTGTGGGCGCGCTCCTCGGCCCGGACGGCGGCGGCGGGGGACAGGAGGGCGGGTGGTGGTGGTGGTGGGAAAGGCAAAACGCGAGAGAAGAAAAAAGGCAGAGGAGCTGCGTCACCACCCAAAAGACATCCAGCTTGTAAGTCGGCGAAGCGACATGAGGCAGCCAGACAGACAGACCACAACCCACAACCCACCGCAGCAAGCCACGCCGGCTAGGCCCGATCAAGGGCGCTTCAGGCCCCGTCTGCCAAAAATCCCCCCGGCGAAGCATCCAACCTCGTCCTTCTGGCCCGTCCCATCTCCACTCCCCAGGCCGGAAACCCCGCAGCGCGGCTCCAAAAGAGTGGAGGGCGTGGCGCGGCGTGGCCGCCCCCAGATGTTGCTGCTGTAGGGCTTGCAGCCAACTACGGAACTGGGCGATGGGCGGAACGCCCCCCCGTTCGGCTGCCGGATCCCGGCCGGGCAGAGTAATAGCGCGCCGTGCTACCCAGTAAGACTGGGAATAAAGTCATCCCATCGCGTGGTAGTGGTAGTGGTGCTGCTCGTATGGTCGTCCATGTCGGGTGCCAAACCAATGTTGCCCCCTCCCCTGGCTAGCCTCGATGCTTGGCCACCAGACGGGACGATAATCACGGTTGTGTTCTGCAAAATGTAGCACTGCCTTACCCACCCCGTACCTTGCAGGCGCAGGGATCAACAGTGAATCCCCCGCTGGCGGAGGGTTTCACATGCCACCGACTTGGCGTCTCGGCTTCCAGTCGCTCCAGTCTGGCGTCCACCGTGGCCGCCGCCGAGCCATGTAACTTACGAAGGTGCCTGCCGACGTGAACGGAGCCCCCAAAGACGAGCGAGGCGTCCGTGGCCTCAACATACGCTGTGCTACACGCACGGAGCACGGCTCAAGCATAGGTATTGCAGCTGTCGCGACTCAGGGCTCGCAGCTGGACCCTGCCCCCCCGGCAGATCCCCCTCCTGCGAGTGTTCGCAACAGCAATCACGTACATGTGTTTCCGTGTCGTCGTCGTCGTCGTCATCGCACCATCTCATGACTGCCGCGCACCACCATGCATTGCGATTTGCGACGTTTCAGCGTGTATATGCCGCAACGCTTGGGGGGAAACAAACGTGCCGGGAAGCCTTGCGAAGAGGGGGGAAAAGGTCGTTGCGCGCACGCATGGGCCTCGAGCTGCTCTGTCCCGACCTCGCAGCCAGTTGCATCTCGTAGAAAGACAAGAGCCTTGTCCGGCATGAGCTCCCTCCTCGCTGCCCGTCCGCGATTCGGTCCTACCCTGTTACCCAGTACGTATTCGTCCCGTCAGTCACGCTGCTGCTGGGACTGCTGTTGTGTAATAAAACTCTCTGCAGAGACCAGACCAGACGACTTGGCCACGGCTCTTGGCCCACGTTCCACCCTTCGGCGCGCTCCGTTCTCCATGCTGCTGGTCTCCTGATGAGCCTTTGTTATAAATGCCAAGCCCTGCCGATAGTGCGTTACCTTGTAAACATTACATTTAATGTACGTAGCTGCGAGCTTGACGGTGGCAGCCCACAGCTCCGTAACAAGGCACGGACATGGGACGAGGACGGTCCCCCGTCGCAACGGCAGTTGAACGGTGCATCGTGGACTCGTAAACTGCACGCCACTGTTGCGCCGCCGCCTGATGCCCCTGCAGCACGCAGGCCTACCACGCAGGGATTCACTACGCGTACATCTCACTACACCGGCACCCGTCGTCACCCCTTCTCCCTCCTCCTCCTCCCATCTCCATCTCCATCCCCAGGTGCAAGTGCGCGCCATGCGCAACCAGCACCCGCGCAATAGCCCCATGGCCCGACCCCACGGCCAGCAGCAGCGGCACGCTGCACGAGTCGTAGTACCGGCCCGGAGCGTTCTCCCTCATCAGCCTCGCCGCGGCGTCCACCGCGCCCCGGTCCTTGAGCAGCCGCGAGACCACCGCCTCGATGGCCGCATCGACGACGACCCCCGCTGAGGCATCATCGCCGCCGTCGCCACCGCCGCACGCGGGGGCAGGCAGCAGCGGGCTGTTGGCGTCGGCCCCGTGCGCGAGCAGCACCTCCACGAGCGCCGCGTCGCCGTGGCCCGCCGCGATGGCCAGGGGAGTGCGCCCGTAGGGGTCCCGCGTCTCGAGGTCGATGCCCTGCACGCGGAGGAGCATGCGCGCGAGCTCGGCGTTGCGGTGCGCCGCTGCCCAGCACAGCGCGGCCTGGCCCTTGGCCGAGCGGGCGTTGACGTTGATTCCTCCGCCGTCTCCTTCGCTTTCCCCTTCTCCTTGTCCTCGCCCTCCTCGTCCTCCGTCGCCATCACCATCGCCGGCATCGCCGCCATCTCGCGCGCCCAGCAGCAGCGCCACCAGCTCCTCAAAGTTGTACTGCGCCGCGAGCTCCAGCGGGCTCGGCACGGCGCACGCCGGATGTGGGCACGTCGTGGCCGCCACGCCCCCGGCCGCCACGGCATCGCGCACCGTGCCCGTCCGCCGGCGCCGGATCGCCCACGTCACGAGCGACGTGCCGTGGGCCCGCACGCCCTGCCGGTAGCGGTACCGCAGCAGGGAGCCGTACAGCCGCCGGTTCGTCCGCGACAGCGCGGAGAGGTCCTGCCCGCTGGGGACGAAGCCGGCGATGAGGAGGAGCAGCTCCGCGGGGAGGCTGGCGAGCTCGCGCGGCGCGTGGCGGACGCTCACGGGGATCGCGGGGGTCGCGTCCATTGAGGTGAATGTGCATGCGGTGACTGACATTGATCCGGATATCAGCAGATGAAGTGTGATATTTTACGCTGTGAGCGCCGCCGCATTGTCGTTGAGAGCCATCAGCACGTTGATGAGATCTAGATGCTGCCAGCAGGACACCTCCATGGCCATTTCCAAGATCTCAAGTAGCCCTACCAACAGCCGGCACCCTTATCGTATTGGCAAATACCATGAAACAGAGGTATGCCACCGACACGCGGTGTGCGGCTGCCAACCGCACCGCAGCGCTGGCACCACGGTTGCCTGACATCAGTATGATGCGTCCATCTTTGTCCGCCGGCCCCAAAGCCGCGACGGCGGACATGCTCCCCTCCCACGCCCAAGACACGCGCGCATGGCGCCACCAGTCTGGCCGAGCAATGTCGCTACCTAAAATAGACATGACTTACACCCCATTTAGGTTGCTCTCGACTCTTTACTGTGTACGACGTATATGAGCCAGCCGCTCTAAAATTTCCAACGCTGCTGCAACAGCGTCGCATACACTCCGCTTCACGGCCGTGCCGTATGCCGCCGGCGAGAGAGACGAAATGAAACAAATGCAACGCTTTCTACATTATACTCGGTCACAGCATCAGTTTCTCAGCTTGGCACCTGCGCCCAAACCCACCGTCTCGTCCCTCGACTGCCGCAGAAAGGGCACCAGCGCCGACCCGCCTGTGCCCTGCAGCTCATCCCCGCCCTTGGCCGCCGCCGCCGCCGCCTCCAGCCCGTCTTCGTCTCCGGTATTCGGGCCCGCTCCGTTCCGTCCTGTCGTCCCGTTTGTGCTCGCCCCGTTCTCTTGGTCGGTGTCAGTGGCGGCGGTGGCGGCAGCGGCAAGGCGTGCCGGCTGCACAATGTACTTGGACACAATAGCAATATGCCTCCCGCGCCATGACCGCAGCTCCTTGATGCACCCGTCGTACGCCCGCACCAGGGCCTCGTCGGATTGGTGGTCCTCCACGTAGTCGCGTATGGATGGCAAGCTGGACAGCTGCTCGAGGAACTCTCGGTGCTTGCCGGGCATGTACGGCCTCATCTCCTATCATCAACCCCCCGTCAGCATTCCCGATCGTTTCATCCCCTTTCCACATCAAAACCAGCAACAGCCATAGGCTGGCTCTTCTCTGCAGCCAAGTCACTCACCTCAAAGACCGACTCGCGCCCAGCCCCAGGCCCCTCGTGCCGCACGCCCAGCACGCAATCCAGCGCCTGGAACAGACAGCTCTGGCCCGCGCTCCCGCCCACGCACTTGGCGGCGCGCTCCGACCCGTCGACGCGCCGAAACACCACCCCGCGCGGCAGGCCCTTGTCCTCCATGCCCTTGCCGCCGCTGAAGAACGGCCGCAGCTCGTGGTAGAAGGCGTGCGCGTCCAGCAGCGGGTACATCTTGGGCAGGTGCTGCGCCATGCGGATAAAGGCCCCGGCGGAGCGGTCCAGCGCTGCGGCCAGGCGGGTGGAGGAGGTGGGGGAGGAGGAGTCGTTGTTGAGCGCCGCTGCGAGGGCGTCTAGCAGGAGGGCGAGGAGCGGACCGCCTTCGGCTTCGATGAGCACGGGGACGAGGTAGAAGGCGTCTTCGCCGCGTGTGCCCGTAAAGGACCCCAGCGACGTCAGCTGCTCCAAGTCGTAGAACCCTGCGCTGGTATCATCGCCATCCACGCCGCCGCTCGTCAACCCTTCCGCTCCCTCCGCCGCCGCCCAGTTCCAAAGACACAGCCCCGCGTAGCTCAGCACGGGCTCCATGCCGAGACGCTCGCACACGCGCAGAAACGGCTCGCTGAGCTGCGGCGGCACCGTGTCCATGGGACGCTCCTCCTCCTCCTCCTTGTCGCCGCCCGCCCAGACATACCCGTGGACGAGGAACGCAAGGACAACGTACGCGCGCCGCAGGTCCGGCTCCGTCGTCAGCTTGCCCGTGCTCAGCACGGGCAGCTCCCTGACCTCGCGGCCGAGCTTGCGCGAGGCAATCAGCGCGGGCAGCCGGGCGGCGAGGTCGTCCCACCGGGCGTAGTAGCCGTCGCGGAACGAGGCCAGGGGGGTGTCGTCGGAGAGGAAGCCCCGGGTCCGGGAGAGCCCGAAGGAGGCGAGGTCTGGGAAGGAAACGACCATGGTGACGCTCGATGAAACGTCAAACCCGCTGCGTGATGTGTTTATTGGAGTGCGGGGCGCTTTGTCTTCGTGACGACTAAAAACCTGGATACTGTTCGATTCCCTGACCGTGTCACAGCATGAGCGTCTCTAATGGTGTAAGTCGTCGTTTGCGTCACTTTGCGCATACAAGGGTTCGAGTTCGACGTGCCAATCGAGTATAAGCTATATATAAGCCAGGGAGTTGTGCCTGAAATCAGATTGCAGCTTATATCTCGCAGCTCCAGTCGGCGCCCTTGGAGTGCTGTGCTATGATTCGCGTTTGACAACTGCGCGCGCCCTTGGCTTGACGCCTATACCAGTTAGGCTACCAGTGCGTCGGCGTGTCCTGGCACACCAAGCCCGCATGCAAGTCCGCACTGGCATTCGGAGCAATGGGGACAATGCGAAGTCCGGCCTCAACTCGCTCTCCAGTGTCGATATTCGCTCATGTTCGAAACTGCGTCGATGCCTTGTCACGCTCGGATTCCGTTGTCACAGGTTCTTGCACGGTAAGAGGTTTAACGTTCTGCAGCTGGGCGCCGAAGTCGGTGCTCTGTGTGGCGCTGCGGTGCGCACAAGCTGCCCCCACAACATGTTTCTGGAACAACATACCACGTGCAGTCCAATGATTGCCGCAACGGAGGAAAATATAAGGCCCGAGTTTGTGTCATTGCTCCAAGTGTTGTCGAAACTCGCGCAAGTCGCAGGAGGCTCGCTGGGCACATGCACGCATGACCCAGGCAATGAGCACGCGTATACATCGACTGTCGAAACGCACACCCGCCCGCGTGTAGGCCGTGCTTCATGGCTCCGGCTTTCGGACTTGAAACAGGGCATGACTTGCCGAGAGTCTAACTTTAAGCTTAACGCATTGCGAATGCAAGTTCGATAGCCAGGCCGCTATGCGCCGAGATGATTTATAAACGAGAGATAAGGTCGTGAGTTGAGGCAATTGTGTGTGAGGCCGAGGTTGAATCCTCGCTCAGAACAGGTCAACGGTTGACAGCGGTCGGACTGAGCACCCAACTCCCTCGTTGGCGCTTACATGCGAATGAGAAGCAAAGCTGCTCAATGGCAAGTCTTGCGTTAAGAGAAGGTTTTGCGGGAGGAGCCAAATTGCTATTGAGGGTAGTCAGATCAGAGAAAGATCTGACTCAGGAGGGCGTTTAATGACTTAACGTTCATGTTGGTAACTCTCAATGACCCGTCACAAAACCATCAAATGTTGAGATTTGATATTGGAGCCTTGCCTTGTGAGGCGACTTCTGTCAGAGGAATCAAGCTACTTTTTCGGGTTGTTCAATGTGAAAAGGCCCTGGTTCAAGAGGACGTTCAAGCCTTCACGTCTCATGCTGCCAGCTCTCAATAGCTCTCAATGATGTCCCGCCCCATTGTCATGCTCCGCCGTGATGTTTAAAGCAGGCATATCCAGCGCAAGATCATGAGCCAAGACAAGGCCTCATAGTCATTTCCAGCCGTATTATTAATGCGCAGATTTATAAGATCACGCAGGGCTGAAGACTGACTGCCCTGGCTCAAGTGTTGCTCCCGATATGGGCGTGGGGCTCATGGCGCCGACATTGGCCACATCCACAGCAAGGCGGGCAGGAACACAAGAAAGTGAACAAACACCACAACAAAGTGAACGAGCACTAAGAGGGACAGACGAACCAGCCGGGTCATCATGGCACGATCCCGGAGATGAGTCGAAGTATCTCGCGACGCGAAGACGCGAGGTACAATGCATCATCACCGCCATCAACTTCACGATATAAGAAGCCGTTTTGACATCGCCATGGACGAACATCACAAACAGCATCACATTCGCATCGCGTTCCAGGTCTCTAACATCACAACACAACCGCCACCGCTATAGGCACAAATAAAAGTCATCAGAAGCGCTTATAAGTTGCATCATGTTTTCCTCGCACCAGCCCGTCCTCCAACCCGGCGCCGTCATCCTCGTGACGGGCGTCTCCGGCTTCATCGGCAGCCACGTTGCCGACCAGCTCCTCGCCGCGGGATATACCGTCCGCGGGACGACGCGCGACGCGGCCAAGAACGCCTGGCTCGCGGACAAGTTTGCGGAGAGGTACGGCAAGGGCAGGTTTGAGCTGCACGGCGTGCCGGACATGGCTGCGGAGGAGGCCTTTGACCGTATCCTCGACGGTGAGTCTCATTTTTCCCTTTCATCTCCTCCCCTGCCATCTCTACGATACCCATTGCGAGACAATTGCAGCATGTGTTACATGATATCCAAGTGCTGATCAGGTACATGTGCCGAGCAGGAGCATCCGGCGTCATCAACATCGCCTCCGACACCACCTTCTCGCCCGACCCCCACGCCGTCATCACGCCCATCGTCGCCGGCACGCTGGCCCTCGCCCGCGCCGCCGCGCGCACGCCCTCGGTGCAGCGCTTCGTGCAGACCTCGAGCTGCGCCTCGGCCGCGAACCCCGGCCCCGGGCCCGACGGCGCGTACCCGACCGTCACGGCGCAGACGTGGAACGACGAGGCCGTGCGGCAAGCGTGGGCGCCGCCGCCGTACGAGCCCGCAAGGGGGTTCGCCGTCTACTCGGCGTGCAAGACGGAGGTGGAGAGGAAGCTGTGGGAGTGGTATCGCGAGGCGAAGCCGGCGTTTGTGCTTAATGCTGGTGAGTTACCTGACTGAGGGACCTGACCGAGGGAGAGAGATGTGTCCGTGGGATGAGGTTCAAATGCAGAGAGAGTGCTGACACGGCATGCTCAAGTGCTCCCGAGCATGAACATGGGCAAGAGCTTTGACGTGACGCATCAGGGCCATCCATCCACGTCGGGCCTCGTCCAGGCGCTCTTCACGGGCAACCACGACGTCCTCGCCTCCGCCGCCCAATGTACGAATCCCATCCCATCCCTTCCCTCCCCTCCCCTATTGCTACGTTCCCTCACAGACAGAGCTCCGACCACTAACCGACGCACGCACGCACACCCAGACTTCTACATCGACGTGCAGGACACGGCACGGCTGCACGTCGCCGCGCTGCTGCACCCCGCCGTGCGCGAGGAGCGCATCTTCGCGTACGCGGGCCCCTACACGTGGCGCACGATCCAGCAGACCATGCAGAAGCTGTACCCGCGCCGGGCGTTCGCGCCCGACGTGGCGGACGCGCCGCTCGACGGGAGCGTCGTGCCGGGGACGGCGCGCGCGGAGGACCTGCTGCGGGAGATGGGCCGCGAGGGGTGGACGAGCCTCGAGGACTGCGTGAGGATGAACACGGAGGACCTGGCTGTGTAACTATCTGGCCGGCTTCTGCTTCTGCGTCTGCGTCTGCGTCTGCGTCTCCGTGTGTCGCACGACTGTGTGCTTGGTGATGTTTACCTAAGGGAGACGGGGGAACGGTCGAAACGTGCCGGGGAAGTTGGCCGGTCGCAGTGTTGCCATCGGCTGGCTTTGATAGGACGGGATGGCAGGCCGGCCGCGGGGATATTACCCCATGTGCCAATATGAGTATGGGTGGGCAACGAGTTTCTATCAGTGTGTTGGACAGGAAAAGAGACGACGTGCATAAAGTGCGGTGGCTCAGCGCATTGAGGGCGTGCCAATCGGCGACACAGGGCGGCATCAGGAACTGACAAAGATATTTCAAATAGTGCATGTGGTACGCCAAATATACCGATGCTAGTCATATTCGAACTCCGCAACGATCAAAGGCGTCACCTTTGTAACGACGAGGCGACTACTGGCCTCGTATGAACGCACGCACGTTTGATTGCCGGTTGGCCCGCTATGTTACCCCAAGGGCAACTCATCGACACGACCGAGCGGTACGAGGAGGCGTACCGGCAATTGCCCGCCAGGTATTCTCCGACGGTCTCGGTCTTGTATCGCTTACGACGAGCAGCAGCAGATCCCACTAACCACGGCAATGGCCCAGGAACGAGAACCCGGTTGAGGCTCAACGTGTCGAGCAGCCCCAGGCACGTGGCGGCCAATGCAGCGGCCCGTTCAACCGCGACGGCTAGCACGGCAGGACCACGGACGGACAGGCACCTTTGCAGTTGGCAGCAAACAATTCCTCTTCGGCAAGAGCCAGGCCAAGGCTGCATGGACGGACCCGCCTTGGTGACGTTCCCGCTCGTATGGCCAACGTGGGGTCGACCAACGTCTGTGCCCGTGTGCAACCCAGCTGGGCGGTTCACCGGTCTATTCGCGGGACGCCAGACGAGCACGGCGCATCGAGTCGAGTGCAGCTGAAGGCGGCCATGGTCACACGGCGTCGGGGGCCAGAGACGGTGGAGAGAGACCACCGACAGGGAGCGGCGGTGGTTCTCGTACAGACGCAGGCGCGCCACGACAGACGCGCATCGGGCAGTTCGACGTGCTTCGACGGCCGGCCCGTGCATGCATGCAACAAGCCAGCCGTCCATCCAGGGGCAGTCAAGAAGAGCCGCGCAAGGGCCGCTGTGAGCAGTCACACTGGGCTCCCAGCAGGCTGGGTGATGAGCGGGACGTCAGGGGAACCACGTGGCACGAGCGCCCGGGTCGAGGTGGTTGGACGAGCGGGCGGCTGCGAGAAGCTCGGACGCCGGTCGTCAGGTTCGCAGGGTCAAGGTCCGTGGTCATTCGTCGCGTGAGGAGTCCAAATTGTCATGATGGACGCAGCCGTGTTGGTCTGCCCGCATCCGCATGTTGATCTCGACTCGACAGAGGCGCCCCCGCGAATGCCACGCTTCGGAGCTGCGACGGCATGAGATGAAACTGCGCAGTGAGACAACGGCGCGGCAGGCAGAGCAACGAACGAATGGGTTCGTCGCTCGGCGCAGGCGAGCACATGCGAGTGCATGCGACCACGGAGGGGGGTTACATTTGGGGAAGCGTGTCGGGCGCCGTGACACGAGGCTGACGGCGACAGGGCCCAATGGGGGCGCCGAGTGGCTTCATGGAAGGATGGGTGTGGCTGCTGCCGACGGCATCAGCTCGGGGGGCGACGACGAAATGGTGGTGCATGTGGTCGACGGTTGGTGTGGTGTTGGATTGGGGAAAATGGCACGCGTTGCTGCGCAGCGCTGGCAAAGCCAAGGCAGCGCTGGCAAGTGAGAGACGGACGTGCTCATGCAAGCCCCCTGGGGCCCGGTCGCAACTTCCGCCGAGGGCCGGGGGAGGCTGTAGTGGCTGCAGTGGCTGAAGACGCTTGGAACTGGCGGCCCCAGCTGCCGATTGCCATCCTGGAGACAGACGGGACAGAGTGGCTCGGCGGGCTGGACGGGTGCCCTGATGCGCAAGCCAATGCAAGCCCGTTGCAGCTAGAGTTCTACCAACACGTGCCAGAAGCCAGCAACAGGCCTCCGTCCCATGCGAGCGCCGGGGGGCTTTTCCCATCCGTTTGACGATTCCCAGGCTAACGGCGATCAGGGCCCTCGACGAGACGAACGGGAACACGCGAACAAGAATAGAAATCGAAACCCCGCCGGCGCGTCAGTCACGACAGGCAGCCGGCCAGCCCAGCCCTGCAGCCCCTGCAGGTCCGAAGCCGTGGAACCCGGGGGGGCGCCCCCAGGCGGCGGCGATTGACGAAATGGCTGACGTCTGGCGCACGCAAGAAATGCGCTACAGGACGCGGAGGTGCATGGTAATATAAGAATCGCACCCCTGCATGGGACTCCGTCCGGCTTGGTCGACGGCGATGCCGATGGAGGGTACGGAGCAGGCAATGAAAGAGGATACTGCCGTGCCTGCTTGGCACGAGATGATGATGCGAGGTGGATGATGACGCCAGGCGACGACGACTTGCTTGGCTCGGATGGGCGAGGCGGGCGACCTGTCAGCTGGAGCGCCTCGGTTGTCTACACGAGATTGATTGATGAGGCAAGCAATCTTGGGGCCCAGCCCTGGCTGCAGTGGTTGCTGGGACATGTTGGACACGCAGCGACCTCGACGTGCTGGTGCTGACGGGCATCCATGGATGGGCCGGGGGTTCCTTTCTTTTGCGTCTGCCTCGTGCTGTGTGCTTCCACAAGTCTTCCAGCCCGCGTTCCATCCACCCATCCCCCTTCCAGACTAACGAAAGGCAGAGTTGGGGGCCGGATGGGCACGAGAGACACTGCGTCGGAACGTGTCTTACGTGTACCGGCCATTGCCCCGTGTTTGCTTTTTCCTGGTGCCGTGCAGCGTCAATCTTCACCGTTCTCTGGCGTCGCGTGTCAGTCTGCCGCCCGCCACGCGCATCGAGTCCATCCAGCCAAAGACACGAGAGCGACTGCGACAGTTGTCTTCGACTTGGGTACTTGGCCTGCGCAGCGTGGCAGCAGCCTTCATTTCCGCAGGATCCGCGAGCCGCAGCAGCTGACACGGACGAGGCTGGGCTCTTTTTTTTTTTCGCTTGGTTTCCTTTTGTAGCCTCACCACATTTGCCCGTTCGATTGCGTGTGTGGGCAAGTACAGTACCTGTACACATCCATCAGCACGCAACCAAAGAGCAGCTGCACTGCCATGGCGTCTCATGGCGGGAGCTTGGGCGCCGCTTCATCAGCGGAGTCCGGCTCCACGCCCTCGCTGGAACCCACCTGGCGACGATGAATTCCACCGGCCCTGGCGCCGGCAGCTCCAGCGCTTCCAGGGCAGGCTTAGCGGCTGCCGCCTGCGTGCCTAGCGCGCCAGCCTTGCCGGGGTCGTCCATTGGTGTCTCCCCCCTCGTGCCTGATTGAGGCCAGCCCGGCCGGGTCCCTTTTGGCTCGCCTTGCTCGCTCCCTCACCCATCCATGCCATCGTCCGTCCCCCTCCACGCCAACCGTCCATGCGAATCATCAGCGTCATCCGGCCGCCATCGCAAGCCATTCCCTTTTGCTTGGCCCGTCCCTGGGCCCCAGCACGCGAGGATCCTCCGCCTTCCGTGACCCCCACCCATCCCGGCCGGTCGATGAAGAAGAGGACGCGGTGATAATGGCGGCTACGAGTGCCTGAGACTGGTCGAGACGGGCAAAGCCACGCATGGCTTTCCGACGCCCACGCGATGCCATGCGATGCCACGCCACGCCAGAGACGCAGTGCTCGCCAACACGAACCGGCCACCTCCTCCTTTTGGGCGATGTTACCTGCGTCCGTTGCCGTCGCCCAATGGTCTCGTCGAGCGGCCCCTACCCTCCATCGCAGCCATGCCAGCCCGTCGACGTCGGCAGCCCAATCTCGTCGGCAGCCCGTCCCTCGACGCAACACCCACAACACCATGCCACACCACACCAACCGCGCGAGCCGGTTTCTAGAAGGACGGCAGAAAGCCTGGCTGCCCCTGCCCATGCCCGGCAGCCCCTGCACCGTCCCCCCCTCCCCCGGCAGGGATCCGGCGCACCTCAATTTGCGAGCGGGTGGTCAGGCGGCCGCTGGTGGTTGGCTGTCGGGGATTCCAGACGGCGACCAATTTAGGCCCCAGCAAGCCCCAGGCACCGCTACGAGGCGCGTTTCAGAATGCGTTGAGACCTGCGGTGAGAAATGACTCCGTTCCTGAAACGGCTCGGCCCCTGTTGGCCGCCTCGACAGGGATGCCATGCCCACGCTTTGATGAAGACCCAGGCACGAACCCGTCGTTATTTCATCACGGCGCCTGAGGCCTTCTCCCAGATCTTCTAGAAGCCCTTCCCCCGGTTCCTCTCATTCCCCTCGCGCCCCGTTTCCTTCCATTGTTCCTGGCCCGTGTCCCCTTCCCGTTCCTTCGTCTCACCTCGCCCGCGCGCGTGCTCATCGTCGACCCAAGGCACTCGAGTGACAGCTCAATCCTGCGCCCAGCATCACCAGCTTCACCACATCGCCGCCAGCTTCGCTGCCAGCCCACGCCTACCGCGCCTTGCACCGCAGATTCGGACCGCTTCCTCGTCACCGCCTCGTCCTCGGCCTGTCGTTACAGTCCCTCGCTGCCATCGTGCCTTCATCTCTGCGATATCCATCGCGCCTCTTGCGCGCGGTGAGCGGCCGCAGACGACACGGACCGCCGTCGCCTGGTCCATCGCGTCTCTCCTGACAAAACACGACTCGACGTGTGCTCGTGCGTCTCTCGTCTGCGCATGCGATTGCGCCCGTCACCCACCCGATACCGTCCCGTCGTGCCACGACCGCGCCGACACGTCTCATCGGCCGCCAGTCCAGCATGTTCCCGCTTCGTCCCACCGACGACTCCAACGTCCGCCCCCTGACCGATGAGGATCACCACCAGCTCCTTCGCCTCGTTCAGCGATATGGCATCCCCAGTCTCCTGTGCGCCCTGACCGGCTCGCCCGATTCATGTAAGTCCACCTGACCCTGCACTGAGTCGGTGGTCCTCTTCTCCCTGACACAAGACAGCCGGTGCCTCGACCTTTTCGGCGAGCACACTCATCAGCAGCATAAGCGCTCCGTCGCTTGCGTGGACCAACTCGGACGCCTCCCAGTGCCGCTCTGACGATGCCTCCATCAACACCCAGTGCACCTGGCCAGAGCTCGCCCAGGACATGCCGTCCCTGCACCAGCCGGAACCGACCAAGATCATGGAGCGCTCCTGGCTCGACTCTCCCGGCCCGGTCCCCTCGCCGCTGCCCCCGAGTGACGTGACCTCGCACCCGTCCCCGCAACTCATCGCGCCCACGTCCAAAAAGTACCAGTGCCCCATGTGCTTCCTCGACAGCAGCCCCGTCGGCTTCGGCCGCAAGAGCGACTTCAAGAAGCATCTCCACAACTTCCACGGCTCCGACGTCGTCTGGATCTGCCGCACCAAGGGCTGCCACCTCTCCTTCTCCACCGAGCGCGCCTACAGCACCCATGCCAAGGACGCCCATCGGATGAAGGCCCTGCCCAACAGCTCCGCCCGGACCGAGCTGTGCACCCAGGTCGTCTTCGCGTGCGGCTTCGCCTCGTGCAAGGACCGCCTCTTTGAGGCTCAGACCGCCGACGACTCCTCGGCGACGCGCGACAAGCACTTTGAGCACATCGCCAAGCACTTTGAGGAAGGCTTCGACGTCCGTCTGTGGGAATACAGGGTCCAGGTACAGAACCTGATGCGCCAGCCCCAGGTCAAACACACGTGGAAGACGGGCATCTGGCCAAAGGAGAAGCGCCAGCAGCTCTCCTGGCGGCCACGGTCATCGGGCGACCTGAAGCGCATGCTCGAGTGCCGGCACCTGGGCAACGACATCTCCACCCTGGTTCGCCTGGCCTACATCTTGGGCACCGCACCGTTCACGTCGGCCGCCACGCCTCCGCCTAGCGAGATTGATGCGTACTTCCAGCTGCCCTACCGAAGCCTGTGTCTTATCGACTCTCCGGGCCATTGCCTGACGACCCCGAGCCCCAAGCCGGAAGACGACGGTTCCTCCATATTGACGTTCCCCAAGCGCCGCTCGAGCCGCTCGAGCCTGACACAGTCCATGTTCCGCCTGCCGAGCCGCCAAGGAAAGCGATCATCGCGACCGCCAACGCCGGCGAGCGTCGTGGGAGGCGGCGTTACAAGCGCACCCAGCACGACACCACCGGCGCAAGGCGTCAACGGCGTCAGCGTGAGCGGCGACGACACGATCATGGCAGATGACCCGACGGCCGGGCCACACCCCGGCACGCCGTATCCGATCCCCAACGAGACGGTGTGGCCCGTCGACGCGCCCAAGTTCGCGCCGGATTCTGGGCTTCTGCTCCCCAAGCAGGAGCACACGCCTCCACCCGTCGACAACCCGCACCTCATGTACGCCATGCAGATGGAGCAAGACCCGCACCAGTCGTGGTGCCCCATGCCGGTGCAGTACGACCCGTACGGCGCCCCGGTCGGCATGCCGCACGGGCTCTACGACTACACAATGAACTCGAGCGAGGTGTCGACGGTGCGGCCAGCCACGCCGGTGCCACACAAGCGGCCCGGCTCCTGGGGTCGCGTCGTGAGCATGGAGAGCATGCGGTCGGCCAAAAAGTCGGTCCCGCACGATGTCGCACCGTGCCCCCCGGAGATGATGCCGACCATGCTGGGCATGTAGGCTTGACATTGACATTGAAGAACGAACGCACACATACATATTGGTAATAACGCGATGCGGCCTCGTCCGGCGCACGACGGGACACAGCCTACTGCATAGCCGACCTGAGACGGGCGGGCGGTGCACATGGCTCGCAGCTTCTTGAGCTACACTATTGTATTTCCACGCCCACCACACCTACTCTTCATTTACATCGAACCCGCCTTGCACGCTCCGGAAAAGTTGGCATCAGCGCCTGACGCGCACTTACACACATATTAATACTGAACACGGCCAAACCAAAGAGGCGGAAACGACATGCATTCTCTTTTGTTTTTGTTTGCGAAACTGAGATACCATTTGCTGCCAGAATAGAGTGGAAGGTGGACGAGACGGCGGCCTGGGCCAGGGGGAGGTTGGCGATAAAAGATATCCAGAGCGGCACGCAGTGCCTGCCGGCGTTTTCTTGTTGTCTTTCCTTGATTCTTTTGTTGCTTCGTTTGGGATTTGACGTCTACGGTTTGGGAGCGATTCGATTGTGCGGCGGCGCGGGATGGGCGACACGACTCGACGCGCCACGGCATGGCATGACTTTGTATTGTATTCACGGCATGGCATGCGGGCGAGCGGCGGGCGGCAAGGAGCACGAGTGACAGATAGATGCAACTATATACACGATATCCTGGTCAGGTGGCGAATGTCGAGACGTGCGTGACAATGTTGTAGGCTGGTGCACTTGGCTGGGCCATCCCTCCGACAGCCGTGAGGTGTCCTCCGATCATTCATTAACTTGCAGGAATTATATCACCGCCGTGGCGGATGCCTCTACTCCGTATATTAAGTCGCCGTCGAAGGGAATGCATAGACTGTGGATTTGCACTGCCACCCTCTGCGATGCAGAATGCCTCAACATCAAGGCATAGATAGCATGATGGGCAGTGATGGAGCAGGCAGCGTGGCGGTGAGGTCGCGAGCGCTGGAGGAATTTCCTTTGCTACGGCTTCACGACATGATGTTACTTATGCCATGGATGTTTAATCTCGGAGAGCAGTAAATGAGAGCAGCATGTGTGTGGTTGTGACTTGTGAGAGCGCGATGCAGGCTGGGTATAGGGTATGCCGTCGAGCGCGGGTGTTGGATCTCAGGTCACTCATGCGTTGATGTATGTACCATAACCCCTTATTCCTCATCGTGAGGTCAGAAACTAATATCAGGAATATCTAATTCTGCGTACAAAGACTGACCATGTCTCGAGACTGTGAAGACCGAATGTGCCTTGAGAGATTGGAGCTTGATACTGGAAGGGCATCGGGCTGTGAGGGTGCGAGGTCTCGAGGGCCCCACCACCTCGGTCACCTTCTCGAGCGTTGACCACGCGCACACACCCTGACGCCCGGGCCATGAACCAACCCAGCGTGCAAAGGCACCGAATTTTCTCAGAGCTATTCCATAAAAATGCGCTCGCCCAGCGACATGGTACGAGTCCTATAGTATATGTGAGCGCTTGGAGGATTAATTTGACTGAAAGCCCACTTGAGCGCCAGGTATGGAGCGCTTCGGGGTGCGACTTCGGGAGCGTGCAGGTCAAGCGCGAAAGCGGGCCTCCGAAAGCGGAAGCGCCAGCGTCTCTGGCTGCGTCTGCATGCATGGTCACCTTGGGCACAGCAAGGCAGGCAGGCATGGAGGTCCATTGATGACCAGACATGACGGCTGCAGCACGTAGATGCGGGCGCGGGTTTACATGAAACGCAGCAGCTATGTGACTGACTGCAGTGCAGAACAGCCACTCGGAGGTCAAAGGTGGTGGTCAAGGTGGTGCCCTCACACCGGCACAGTACGGATTGAGAACGGCGGCGAGATGACTGAGGCAATGCGAGTCGGCGCCCCGGGGTCGTAGAAAATCGGAGCCCGCGGGCGGGGAGGGAGCAGAGGACGGGAGAGGGTGGGGAGCAGAGCAGCCGGCGACGGAGCAGCATGACCGGATGGGCCCCCAGAGTCGAGCGAGATGCGGTCAGGGCACTGACCCCGACCGATGCTGCAGGCTGATGGATGGGTGGATGGATGGGATGGATATGCAGGCCGCGCCGGGGTCGGAAGCAGGTGTTGGCCCACGACTTGACGGCTCGCAGGCGGTCGAGAGCAACCGGCGGCAACGGCAGTGATGCTTGCACGAACCGTCTGGCAACCGATTCACCCGTCCAGGTTTATTCAAGAACGTCTCCATGACCCCTAGACAGGAACAGGCAACCATACGGGTCCGTGATTAGTGCAATGGCCGGTCAATGGCCGGCCAGTCGACAACAATCGGCGGCGCCACCAAACCTCGTCCTCCATCGGCGCACCCGGGGTTGACGGCCTGTCCACAACGACCGAGGATCTGCGGCGCGCCCTTCTCGTCAAAGCGCACCAAATACTAACCCTCGTCCGACGAATTGTCGCCTGCACTTCCGGGGAGCCTGGAGGGGGGGCTGGGCTGGCGCTCATCCATGAGAGTGGCCAACGGGAATTGAACGCGCAGAACGGCCGCGAGCTGGATTGGATGGTGTCGTGATAGACTCTGCCGCCTCCGCACTCGCCCATTGGATTGCGGTCCATCGGTCCTGCTTTTTGGGCTCCTGCTGCCGGCGCCGTGGACCCTCCCACCCCGGCGTCGGGTTGACCATTGCGGCGAGGTGATTGGCTGGACGGGAGGCGAGACTGCTGTGATTGGCCTGCCCGGTTATGGCCTGTGGGGAACGTTGGCTCGCACATGGTCTGGCCTGCAAGTACCTCGTCCCGCAGAAACCGCCGACGTCGGTACCTGGATGAGCTGCCCACGAACCCCACCCGTTGCAGCCCCCCCCTAGTCCCCTAAAACGCGCCGCCTGAAGCGGCCCAGCCCTGCAGCACCACCTGCACTGGCGGCTGGCGGGATGTGTGAGCTGCGCTCTGCGAGGGTCCATCCAGGTGTGATGCCCTGTGTGCTGGCTGACTGGGCGGGCGCCTGGCCTGGCTTGTGATTCTTACGACAGCCGAAGACAGCGCTGCAGTGGACACGCACAGCCGGCATCGCTCCCGCGGGTGCGTGAGTGAGTCTTGCAGAGCCCCCCCAGCGCGCCGACCCTCTGACTCCTCCAGCCTGTGTCGCATTCAATCGCCACCGGCAACGCCGCATCTTTTCTTGGCCTGGAGCTCCCGCTTTCTCCCCCCCCCATTCCTCTTGGCCCCCTTTGGCTTTTTTCCCACCACCCATCCATCTGCCAACCGCATAACCCCACGATTTCTTCGGTCAATTGACGAGGAGTCGTTGTTTTCCTCTTTTTCTCTCTCTCCCGCATCGCGCGCGCGGATTGGGCCCTTTTTATCTTTTTCTGCGATATCCTCAACTGAGAACGACGACGACGAGCACGACGACGACGACACAGGCGACGACTGCGAGGCAGCCCCCACAGCCGCCATGATGCTCCGAAGTCGCCAGGCGTCCAAGGCCCTGAGGGCCTTGGGCCAGGCACGGCACTTCACCTCGACGACACAGCCCGCCGCCGTGCAGGCCCCGAGAAAGATCGCCTCCGGACAGCGGAATCAAGCTACCGCCGCGACGGCCACCTCTGCCGCACCGTGAGTATTTTTTTTCTCACCGTGACCCTTTTCGTGGTGGTGCCTGATGCCGTTGGCGCGAGGGCGGGTGTGCCAAAAAAACACGGCCGCCGGCATCGGCACCCACCACTTTGGGGGCAATTTGCATGCCCATAACCACGACGCAAGCAAGCACGAGGGCACGGCACTGACAGAACCATCGTTGCAGCAATGTCCGCGCCACGCCGAGTCCTGCCTTCAATGCGGAGGAGCAGCAGCAGCAAAAACACAGCCATGTCCAGCCGCTGGTCAATCCCCAGAAGAGCGACATGGATGAGTCGTATGGATCCCCCCCCCTTCTCGCGCCGCTTTGGCACGCGCGCATCGCAGGCTGACCACGTTGCCGCGACAGGTTCATCGGCAAGACGGGCGGCGAAATCTTTCACGAAATGATGCTGAGACAAGGCGTCAAGCACATCTGTTGGTCTACCCGCGTTTTCTTCACCCGCCGTGATGCGCTGTGCTGACGTGCGTGACTCACAGTTGGATACCCCGGCGGCGCCATCTTGCCCGTCTTCGATGCCATCTACAACTCAAAACACTTCGACTTCATCCTGCCCAGACACGAGCAGGGCGCCGGCCACATGGCCGAGGGCTACGCCCGCGCGTCCGGCAAGCCCGGCGTCGTCCTCGTCACCTCGGGCCCCGGCGCCACCAACGTCGTGACCCCAATGCAGGACGCCCTGTCCGACGGCACGCCACTCGTCGTCTTTTGCGGCCAGGTCCCGACCTCGGCCATCGGCAGCGATGCCTTCCAGGAGGCCGACGTCGTCGGCATCTCCCGCGCCTGCACCAAGTGGAACGTCATGGTCAAGAACGTCGCGGAGCTGCCGCGGAGAATCAACGAGGCCTTTGAGATTGCCACGAGCGGTCGCCCCGGCCCCGTCCTCGTCGACCTGCCCAAGGATGTCACCGCCGGCATCCTGAGGAGAGCCATCCCCACGGAGACGGCCCTGCCCGCGCTGCCGAGCGCCGCCTCGCGCGCCGCCATGGAGTCGAGCCGGAAACACCTCGAGCACACCATCAAGCGCGTCGCCGACCTCGTCAACAGGGCCAAGCAGCCCGTCATCTACGCCGGCCAGGGCATCATCCAGTCCGAGGGCGGGCCCGAGCTCCTCAAGGAGCTGGCCGACAAGGCCTCCATCCCCGTCACCACGACCCTCCAGGGCCTCGGCGGCTTCGACGAGCTCGACGAGAAGTCGCTGCACATGCTCGGCATGCATGGCTCGGCCTACGCCAACATGGCCATGCAGGAGGCCGACCTCATCATCGCCCTCGGCGCGCGCTTCGACGACCGCGTCACCCTTAACGTGGCCAAGTTCGCGCCCGGCGCGAGGGCCGCCGCGGCCGAGAAGCGCGGCGGCATCGTCCACTTCGAGGTGATGCCCAAGAACATCAACAAGGTGGTGCAGGCCACCGAGGCCGTCGAGGGCAACGTCGGCAGCAACCTCAAGCTCCTGCTGCCCGAGGTGCAGGCCAAGACGATGGACGACCGCAAGGAGTGGTTCGGCAAGATCAACGAGTGGAAGAAGAAGTGGCCGCTGTCGCACTACGAGCGTGCGGAGCGACACGGACTCATCAAGCCGCAGACCCTCATCGAGGAGCTGAGCAAGCTGACGGCAGATCGCAAGGACAAGACGTACATTGCCACCGGCGTCGGCCAGCACCAGATGTGGACGGCTCAGCACTTCCGGTGGAGGCACCCGCGCAGCATGATCACGTCGGGTGGTCTCGGCACCATGGGCTTTGGTCTGCCGGCGGCCATCGGCGCCAAGGTCGCGCAGCCGGACGCCCTCGTCTTCGATATCGACGGCGACGCCTCATTTGGCATGACCCTGACGGAGCTGGCCACGGCGGCGCAGTTCAACATTGGCGTCAAGGTCATTGTCCTCAACAACGAGGAGCAGGGCATGGTAACGCAGTGGCAGAACCTCTTCTACGAGGACCGCTACGCGCACACGCACCAGGTCAACCCTGATTTCATGAAGCTGGCCGAGTCGATGCGCGTCCAGGGCCGGCGATGCGTGGACCCCGAGGACGTGGTCGACAGCCTGAAGTGGCTGATCAACACTGACGGCCCGGCCCTGCTGGAGGTTGTCACGGACAAGAAGGTGCCCGTCCTGCCCATGGTGCCGGCGGGCTCGGCCCTGCACGAGTTTTTGGTGTTTGACGGAGGTGAGTACCGCTTGAAGTCATCCGAATACGCAACGCAATGCTGACGACCACACAGAAAAGGACAAGAAGCGACGAGAGCTGATGCGGGAAAGGACCTCGGGCCTGCACGGCTAGCCGCAGCACACGGGGCGGATTAGCAGCACCCGACGACGGGCATCCATCCATCAATCATCTTCTAGTCATGTTCTTTTCATACCTCTTACTGGCGGAGTTTTGTGCAGTTAATGCAAATCCGGGCGCGAAGCACAAAAAGTTGGAGGAGGAGCAGCGCCGAACGGCGGCGCGGTGGTAGCACAGGGGTGGCAATGTGACGGCGGGTCGAAGAGCCCGGGCATGGCAGAGTAGGGCGGTTGGTTGCCATGAGGCGAGCGAGCCGCGCGCGGGCTTGCGGACGGACACAAACAAACAATGAATGAGCATTTTGCCGTGACGAGATGCGCTGTTTATAACCCGTACACGTTGCTGAAGCTGTGATGTAGAGTGAGGAGATGCAATCATGAGTTGATTCGTCAGTCGTGAGTCGTACGTGCCGTGAACTTCTACCAGATGGCCATCTTGCTATGCGTCTGAACATGGTTCTACTGCCGCCGCGGGCTCCTTGACATGCGTCTGAACATGCCCACCGGCTCTACAGTCTACTACACCCACCGCGGCTCATCGCTCCCCAGCGGCTTGGGCATGACATGCCACCCCACGCGCCTCCCCTCCACCGCCGCACTATGCCGCAGCGCAGTCAGCGTTCCCAGCCCAGACTCGCGCGTCTCGAACAGCTCGGGTGGCAGCGCGCCCCCCTCGTTTTGGTTGTCGGGCTTGCCGTCGAGTTGCCCGTGTGCATGTCCTGGTGGCCTCACGCGGCGCGCCTCAGCCGCGGGGGTGAAGCCCCTCGCTCGGGAGTACTGGCCCAGGCTGCGCAGGTATCGCGCCGTGGCGGCGAGGGAGACGTCGACGGTGTAGGCGCCGCCGTGGGTGGCGCGGCGGTGGAGGGCGGTGCAGATGCCGGAGGCGAGGAGGTGGCCGCTTGCGTGGTCGAGGGCCTGGCAGGGCATGGGCAGGGCGGCGGGCGCGGTGCCATGCCCTCCTTGCTGGTCTGCCGCGCCTGTGCCTTCATCACGATGGTCTTCGCTGTCATGGCCGTGCCCATCATCATCATCATCATCATCATCATCATCATCATCATCATCATCATCATCGTCACGGCCCGCCCTATGCGCCGCCTCCGACACATTCATCCCCGTACACGTCTGCACCAGCGAATCAAACCCCCTCCTCCCCGCCCACGGTCCCTCCGGCCCAAACGCCGACAAGTTCGCGACGACGATGTGCGGGTTGATGCGCGCGAGCGCCTCGGGGGAGAGCCCCGCGCGCGCGGCGAGGCTGCCCGGGCGGTACCCCTGGATGAAGACGTCTGCGTCGCGGACCAGCGCGTGCAGGGTGTCGCGCTGCGCGGGGTCGGACAGGTCGAGCTGGATGGTGCGCTTGCCGCGCGAGAGGTCGACGTCCAGCGCGGGGAGGGAGGGCAGGGTGGGCGAGGTGAGCCACAGGATGGAGGCGGAGTGGGCGGCGAGGGTGCGTCCGGCGGTGGGGGCGGCGATGATGCGGCTTAGTTCGAGGACGCGGAGCCCGGAGAGGCAGCCGTGGGGATGGTGGTGGTGGTGCTGCTGATTCTGCTGCTGAGGATTATCACCTTGCTGCGAGGAGAGTGAGGGTGAGGGTGATGGGTTAGGGGCTGGGGGGAGGGGCTTCGGTCCGGACGAGGAGGAGGAGGGAGACGATATGCGGCGGATGAGAATGGGCGTGTCAGGCGTGTGCGCGGCCTGCGGGTGGGCGTCCCATTGCTTGTACGAGCGCAGCGCGTAGAGCACCGCCCCGGAGGGAGTATCGTGCGCGAGGTGCTCGAGCTGCGCGCTGGTGTGAAGGGCGACGCGCCGGGCGATGTCCTCGCGGGAGACGGATCCTACGCCGTGGCCCTCGTCGTCCTTGCTGTCGCCGTCTGTGCCATGCTGCTTGTCCTTGCTCTTGGAGGCGTCGTCGCCGCCGCCGCCCAAGCCGAGCAGGCCGAGTGCCGCGCGCGCGTGGTTCGACAGCGCGTCGTGGATGCGCACGGCCGAGCCGTCGAGGGGCGTGGCGTACAGTCCGCCGACGGGGCCGTGTACGGACGTTGGCGGTGCCGGGGCGGGGGCCGAAGACGGGAGCGAGGATGAGGCCGTGGCGGAAGGGGAAGATGAGGATTGGGAAGGGGCAGTGAGGGTGTAGATGCGCTCCGAGTGGAACTCGGCGACGGCGTGGCGGAGGGGGACGGTGACCTTGGGGAGGCGGATGCGGCCCTCGGAGTTCGAGCCTTGCTGTCGCGCGGCGGAGGAGTTGTTGTTGTTGTTGCTGCTACGTGTGTCCGGAGCTGAGGCCGGTGGTGACGATGCCGAAGCGGGCTGTGGTGCATCTCCCGGCTTCGCATCCGCGGCCGTTTCTGTGTCCAGTTTTGTTGATGCCGGTGCGCGCGTCGCATCCACCAGCGCCGCCGTCAGTCCCGCCAACGCAATGACACTCTGCGCCAGCGCCCCGATACGAAACGACGACGGCAGGGCGGGCTCCTCGTTTTCGACACCCGCAGTGGATTCCGTCTCCCCGTCGAGGCCCGGGAGGACGAGCGGCCCGGACGAGCCATTCGAATCGGAGTCGGGATCAGGATCGGGGTCGGTCGGATCGAGCAGCGCGGCGGGCAGGCCGAGGGTGGTGGTCCAGAGGTCGCGGACGATGGCGCGCGGGGAGAGGGCGGAGCGGTCGGGGGGCGGGGGCATGGCGGTGATGGTGAGTGGTGAGGGCCGTGAAGGTGAGGTGGTGATGAAGGTGAGGTGAGGTTGAATGTGAGAACCAGGGGATGGCGTTGAGTAGAACGAGGGTGCTGAATGGAGTAACTAGGTTAATGTGTGTGTGGGGGACAGCGGCGTGTAAGTCGGCGCCCGAGTGCGGACTGCACAGCGACAAGATGCGGCAGTCGTCTGGATAAATACCCTGCGACTCCAACATGAATATGTATTGGCAAGGGCGTCAGAATCAACGCTTCTTCAGACCACACCGAACAGAATAACGGCGGCGGACATCCGCGAGTCTGATCATCTCTCGCTACTTCGCGGTGGTGGGTTGCCCTGCCTCGGCATCGCGCGCCCGACGTCGGCCCAGCGGATGAGGCTGACGGCACACATAATGATCCCACCACCACCACTACCATACGCACCGTCTCGAGCCGTGCCAAGCCGAGCGGAATAGCTTGTACGAGCTCCCTGACGAGCGGATGTAACATCACGTATGTAAGTAGCTTGTGCCTGCGACAAGGTAGCAGTCAGTCTGCGGCCTGCATATGCATTATGCATGTGAGATGTGTCTGTCAGTGGGTGAGACACGGCGGCGCACGTGGCACACTTTGATGTTGATGACGACGTCGCAACCCCGAGTCGGATTGCCCTCTCTGTATTAGATATAAGGTCTATCGTGTTCATCGCTCGTCGCCCCATGCTCAAGCCCATGCTCAAGCCCATGCTCAAGCCCATGCGAATGCTCGCTTTTTCGTCAAACAATGCCATGTTGCGCCGTGCCATGCCATGCCATGCCATGCTCCCATGTCAGTCCACCCCCTTATTTGTTACCGGCAAACAGCTCGCTGCAGATGCCATGCAGTTCCAGTCATACAAGTAGTCGTCGACACTCCTGCCCCGCCTTTCCCATTACCATACCATACCATCCCATGTCCCCCACTGTTTCGTAGATCAAAGCACGCTCAACTGCGCTGCTGCTGCTGCTGCGACGCCTCCTCCTCCGCAGCCGGCGCCTGCGCCAGCTCGGCCTTCTCGTCCGCCGTCAGGCCCGCCTCGGCCTGGCCCATGCGCACCGTGCACGTCAGCGACAGCGCCACGGCCGACAGCGCGACGCCCGTCCAGAAGCCAATCTGGTACTGCGCGCGCGGGTCCAGCACCGCCTCGAGGTCGTCGGGAGTCCCGCCAGCCGTCTGCACCTTGGCCGACACGGCCAGCTCCGCGATGCCGAGCCAGAACGCGATGCCCAGGTACAGCAGGCTGTTGATGAGGCCGCTGGCGGCCGCCTGGTGGCGCCGCGGCATGGCCGTCGTGATGAAGACGTTGGTCACGTTGAAGGTGATGTCCACGCCGATGGTGCCGCACAGCATCGCCGGGAAGATGTACGCCCAGTACAGGAAGCTCGTCGACTTGCCCGAGTCGGGCGACGGGATCAGCGCGAACAGCAGGCTCGACAGGAAGAAGCCCAGCCCCGAGATGATCATGAGCAGCCGGTTGGGGATGATGTGCATGACGAGCCCGCCCGCGATGGCCAGGAACAACCCGCCCGCGGCGAGGGGCACGAACCACGCGGCCGTGAGGATGGGCGTCTGGTGCATGACGTTTTCGATGCTACAAGTCCCACGGTTAGCAACCAGCAAGGTATAAGGGGCGACGGGGAGTAGACCAAGAATCAACTTGGTGGGAAGTGGAGGACTCACTAGAAGCTCGAGTAAAACAAAAACAGGCCAAACACGCCGTACGAGCAAAACAGCCCCGCCATCAGCCGCTTCATGTACTTGTGCTTGAACAGGTCCGGCGGCAGCAGCGGCTGCTTCGACACCCAACCCTGCACGTACACGGCCGCCGCGAGGAACAGCACGCCCAGGATGAGCGTCACGTACACGTATGGCGTGCGCCACCCCTGCGGCGCGTGCCCGCCGTCGGTAAACGCAAACACGACGAGCACCAGGCCCGGCACAATCGTCGCCACGCCGAGCCAGTCCATGCGCGCCGCGGGGTCCAGCTCGCTGGCCGAACTCGGCACGTACACGGCGCCGACCACGGCCACGAGCAGGACGAGGATGCAGCCGATCCAAAAGTACCAGCGCCAGCTGAGGTACTCGGCCGCGAGGGCACCGATGATGATGCCGAAGAAGAAGCCAATGACGGCAAAGGCGCCGTACACGGCAAACATGAGGTTCTTGCGCGGGCCGGGCCGGTACGCGCTGCTGAGGAGGGCCAGCCCCGCGGGGAGAAAGGCCGCGGCGCCGATGCCCTGCATGGCGCGGCAGACGATGAGCACCGTGGGGCCGTTGCTGAAGCCGCAGCCGAGCGCCCAGGCGAAGAGCCAGGCGTGGCCGAAGAGGAACACCTTCTTGGCGCCAAAGATGTCGCACGCGCGCGCGCACGGCTGCAGCAGCGCGGCGATGGTCAGGTTGGTGACCCCGGCGGGCCAGGTGCGCGACGAGGGCGCGATGTTGAGCGCCACCGACACGGGCGGCAGGATGATGTTGAAGCCGCTGATGAAGTACTCGCTCATCATCATGGAGAAGACGATGGTGAAGACGAAGAGCGACTCGGACAGCCACCCGGAGAAGACGGCGGGGCGCTCGCGGCCGAGGCGCTGGATCTCGGCGTCGGTGAGCATGGGTCGTCGCTGGCCGGGGGCGGAAGTGGCCGCAGCAGCAGTGCCATTTTCTGTGCAGGACGCGGCCTCTTCATCTTTTCGCGGTGAGGTAGAAGGGTCGCAGGCCTGCTTCTCCTGCTCCTCCTTCTCCAAGGTGGTGGACGTCGGGAAGTCGGCGTCGCTGTTGCAGTTGGTGCTGCCGTTGAAGCAGCTCTGGACATCGTCTGCGGGCGGCGGCGTGGCCTCGGCCCGCGTTGGCATCGGGGCCTTGGACGCCAGCGCGGCCGTCATGACGGAGACTGCTCGTGCGTAGCCGTGGTGTTGTCTGCGTCTGGTGTTTTGGTTCCGAGTGTCTTTCTCTTGGCGGGAGCGATGCAACCCCAGTACAGTCTCTCCTGTGGAGGTCACGGCCGGACGGGACAAGACGCTTGGCGATGGTCTTGGTCTTGGTCTTGGGGTGGCGTTACACGTCCCAAAGGTTTATTCGAACTTCTCTCGCCGATTGTTGGCCAGGAGGGAGAAGAAGCCGAGAGACTGCAATCTTTATAGCAGGCGTGACGGCACACAGATGCAAAGCCGGCTGAGAAATCAATGCGCATGCAAGTTGCAGAAAAGAGAAGAGAAGAATCGACAGCTAGGTTGGTAGTACGTCGGAGGTCGAGTCGCTCGAGACTTCCGAACATGGGCACAGACAGACATTTCCCACGTGGGGATGCGCCTTGGCTTCCTATTTCGGAAGGGGATTTGGGGTGCTGTGTTGCTCGAGGAGGCGGGGGGGTCTACTATTAGCAAGCAGCCCGGGGGAACGGGGCCCGAGCTGGTGTGACTTGGAAATCGAACACGCAGATACGCCAGCGGATACGGTCTGGCCAGGCCAGGCCAAAGCAGGGCAGGGCGGGGAACATCGACGACAAAGGAACGGGTGAGGGGGGAGCGGGACGGATGGGGGTGCATGAGGTGACGACCTCGAGGGCGTCACCGTCGTCTGGTCACAGCGTTAGACGGCGGCTGTCACCGGTGCTCCCAACTTTTTTTTTCTTTCTTTGCAGCGCCCGCTGGCCACCGCCGCCACCACTTTGTTAGGCGACCAACAGGCGCCCCCCATTGGAAGAACGAGACTAATACCCACTGTGGTGTGTGCGCTGTGGGTGGTGGCCGCACGCTTGGGATGGGCTGTTAGCGGACATGTTGGCGTCCCTGGAACAGCGGCCGTGAAAGGGCTTCCACTGCGCTGGAGACAACAAGGTTGTGGGGCCGGGTCCGGCGGTCCATGTCGACGCGGGGACCCACAGGTCGTCACCGGCTGTTGCGCCTGCGTCTTGGCTTCCTGTTGCGGTTTAGCGGTGGGTGATTCTCCGGCGCCCGAGGCTCGGACGAATCGGAGCGGCGCCGACCGCTGAGACGGAGATGGAAGAGAAGGCGGGACAATGCAAATGAGCCCTGTTGCTAGACTGACTGGGCTGGCTGGGTATGTTCCCACTTGAGGCATGCTTTGATGATGAAGCTCACGGCATAAGACGGGGGGAATGAGAGCCCGTGATGTGACTGGATTGATCAGCTATGCGGTGCTGTGCATGGATCTGCCGATACATGGTAGGCCGAGCGGCAGACGGGCTCTAGTCAAGGTCACTACGGACAGCTATGCGAATAAGAAAGTGACTGATGCTTTCCAGGCGAACAGACTATTCCAATGGAAAGTGATGAATGCTTTCCAAGGCGGGCCGTCACTGTCAATAGAAAGTGATTGATGCTGATGTCCCAGCCTCGACTCGTCCAGTATGATCATGATCAGTCCTGGGCCCGTGCCGCCATGCCCCAGGTATTTTCTATCGAGCACCGCCAGCCCCGTGTTGGCCTTCTCCTCCTACCACCCCCAGCCTCGGGGGAGATATGCGCCGAAAGAAAAATTTGGCTGGTCGCGTGTTTCATGCTGTGTCACGCCGGGTAGCTGCATGTGCAGACACGGGGGATGGGTAAGCGCCGCCGCCGCCGACGGCAGTCAGCTGCGCGTGTGCCTCAATTTGATGGCAAAACCCCAGACTGGAGGAACTACGTACATTGCCTCGAAGAAAGGAAACAACACCTCTTCTTGAGAACCTTGACGACTGGGAGCTTTGGGAAGCGCGGCGAGATTGATACCTCGAGCCCCACATTGATGCTGGCTGCCGGCTGTTATCCCTTGGGGCACGGATCCGGCTGCCGACGCTTCCCCCTGCACGCGATCCATGTACTTTACCCGCATATTACTGTCTAGAAACTACATATCGTCCATACGTAGGGCGACCGCGATACCGTACCGAATCTGAGCTAACCCAGACCCCCAGATTCCTCAGCTACCGCGGCTAAGGGGTACATATGCCGCACTTGACGCCACGGATCGGGGCGCAAGGGCCCGACTCGAGGTCAGCACCTTGTTCGTGCCGGCTTCCGATCTACAGCTATATTCCTTGGTGGGCTGCGGGCTATTGTAGTAGTGGTAACGGTTTTATGCTTAGCTTGACGTCGGGGGGCTCTTTCGAGGCAAATCAGTCCTCAGAAGTCATCAGTGATAGCGCGATACATTTCCATCAAGAGTAATTGCAAAGGTGACTTGACGCTTTTCGACACCGCTTCATGTACATGCCTACATCTTTAGCAGCAAAGCAGTGCGTGCCTGCGATTTAACAGTAAACCATCAGCTGGCAGGACACAAACCTCAATGTTCAATTATCGCGACATGGAGCCCTTTCCCTTTTATATGTAGCCTTTGTCCTTCCTCATCCATGCGCTCTCGTCCTCTTCATGCCATAAATTACCGCCATATCCCCAGCAAAATGTTCTCGCCGCTTGCATCTGTCTGTTCGCTGGCTCGCACATCCCATCACCATACCAGATCAACACACTCGCCCATCATCACCCCGGCCCTCGACCCCGTCAGCCAAACCGCAGCCCCCTGCGCATCATCAAGTGCCGCGCGGGCAGCCACACCCCCTCGAGGCTCGACAGCAGCATCAGGCTCCCCACAAACACCACCAGCCCCCCGAATCGACCTAATCCGTACCCGCCCGCCGTCACCTGCCCGCGCACCAGGCCCGCCGATATGGGACCCGTCACGACGTTGCCGATGCCCTTCCCAAACGCCATCAGGCTATACACCGTCTGCGGATCCTCGCTCAGCAGCGACCCAAACTTGGGCCAAAACACGATATATGCGCCCGCAAACGCCCCATACACGGCACTAAACGCCAGCAGCGTCGCCAGCGAGCCCGCCAGCCCCCACAGCGTCAGCGTCGCGACGCCCGCCACAAACGTCGTCGCCGACACGAGCACGTGGATGTTGGCCTTCCGGTCCGTCAGGTGCCCAAAGGCGACCTGCCCGACGACGCACGCCAGGTTATTCACCGCGAGGATCAGCGCGCCCACCGAGCCGGACAGGCCCATGCCCGTCGTCGCAAACGTAGGCAGGTACAGCGACGGGATGAAGTAGCCCAGCCCCTGGCAAAAGTTGGACGCGGCAAAGGCCCAGAACAGCGGCCGCCGCAGGAACGCCACGTCGACGGCGCGCAGGGCCGCGGTGCCCGAGGGGGGCAGACGCGGGCGCAGCAGCATCAGGCCGGGGACGAGGCCCGCAAACTGCGCAATGGCCATGACGCGCAGCGTCACGCGGTGGCCGTACCCGGAGAGCAGCCACTCGAGCAGGAAGGGCAGGCCCGCGCCGGCGACGCCCCCGCCCGCGTAGAGCACGCCGTACGCAAGCCCGCGCCGGTGCACGAACCACTCGTTGAGCATGCCCAGCACGGGGAAGTACAGGATGAGGAAGCCCAGCCCGTAGAGGACGCCCTGCGTGGCGACCAGCCCGGCCACCGAGTTGACCGCCGAGGCGATGAGCAGCGAGGCCGCGCACAGGGCCCAGCCCGTGGCGAGCATGTACTGCTGCCACCACTGGAAGCGGCGCACGAGGGGCGCGGCGATGGGCGCGCCGAGGAAGTACATGCTCGTCGCGACGGTGCCGATGGCGGCGATGTTGCCGTCGCCGGCGAACTCGGGCTGCCGCGCGTAGTGCTCCTGGAAGACGCCGAATGCGAGGGGGAAGCCTGTTTGTTGCTCTGTCAGTCTGCGATGGCACATATGCGGCGCATGGTGATTATTGTCTGGAAAAGTATCAAGTTGAACGCACCCCAAAGGATGGCCTCGACGAGAAAGCACCCTGCCAGATACTTCCACGCGCCGGCACCCTCATCGGTTGGCGGCAGCACGGGTATCAGGTGGCCCTGGTCGTCCTGCTCTTGATCTTGTTCCTGCTCCTCCCCTATATCGGGTGACGGGATCCGGGGCGGCGGCGGCGCCGGGACGGGCGATAGCTGGATCGACATGGCGGCGATACGACAGCCCCAGCCGGCAATGGGACCCTTGAAGGGCGATGTGCGTGGCAGGCCTTGGAAATCTGCGCCTCGTTGCGTCTATGTCTGCGTGTAAGCTGGCGACGATACGCTATATATCTTCAATGCGGTCCGGAGTGGCGGCCTCGGTGTATAAAGTTCCCAGGTGTCATCGAAACCGGGTGTAGCCGACACATGGCGGCTGAATCGAATGGAATCCTCGGCAGTCCAGTCTCCAGCCAGTCCAGTCCACAGCCCGCCAGCCAGTCGACCCCAGGGCGCGCAATCACGGTATCCATCGCGCCTGATGCATCGCGTCGAACTTGGTTCCACCCGCCCCCCCATCTCGCGGTCTCGTGGAGTGCAGAGGATGAGCAGGATGAGAGGGCGCCCGGCGGAGCACAGCCGGAATCGGACCCCCGGGCCCCCACACCGGGCGGCGCTGGTGCATGAGCGATACGTAAAATGTAATGCCAGCCGCCCAACCATGCGTCGATTATCGCGATATCGTGACACTAAGGAACGACACTTAAAAAAAAGACACTTGGAATTGACACTTAAAAAATAACACTGCGTCTTGGCAACGGCACTTTCCAATAAGACTTTACAGCGACACTCAGAAACGACACTTCGTACATAATATTGGCGACAATACTTTCAACGACACTTCGCAAGTTTCACAACGCTTGGAAACGCCACTTCAAGACGACGCCTACTTGCACTTGGGAACATGAACGAAGTTTGTTAACCACCACACCTTATAGTGGCATCTAAAAATACAATCAAAAGACGCAATCGCCCGCTCGCCATTCACATACAGAGTCGCTCAGAGTCTCAACCCTTCAGAACCCCCCCATCCCCTTGGCCTTGAGCGCCATGCCCGTCACCCCCCTCACCAGCCCCGACACGCGCCCCGGATCGCCCTGATACCCCTCGGCCGGCTCGCCCGTCGCCGCGTCCCTCCACACGCCGTCGGCGGCCACGCGCCCGAACCGCGCCGTGTTCTGGTTCCGCTCGACGCCCTCGCGCCACCGCGCGCACACCTCCTCGCCGTCCACCATGACGTTCACCTCGAGGCTGTGGAACCACGACTGCGTGTCCTGGTTGCCGCTGCCCTGCACGCCCACCGCCCCGTCCGCGATGAGCAGCTTCACGTGGCAGGACCGCGCCTTGAGCGAGTGGTGGAGCGGCCGCGACTGGTCTTTGCCCACGTAGTTGTGTATGCGCAGGAGTTTGCGCTCGGGCCCGTCTTCGGGTAGGGAGGCGATGAGGGCGCGCGCGGCTTGGTCGTTGGTGCCGCCTTGGCCGGGGATCATCTCGCCGAGGTCGTTGTAGCCAAAGCACACGTAGTAGGTTACCTCGACGCCGCGACGCAGTGCTTGCGCAAGGGCCTCCATCAGCGGCGCGGCGTTGAGGTCCGGCGTCTGGATGAAGATGGACTGCCGCGCGTGCCGGATCAGCGACAGCCAGGCTTCGTTCTGCGGCACGCGCACGCTCTTGGAGTCGAAAGGCCCGTACGCCGGCCGCGACACCAGCGCCATGGGCACGGGCTCGGCCGTTGACGTGGACAGGTACGGCGTCATCTCCGCGCCGTCTGGGATCTCCGGCCCTGATGCCGGGATCGGATTCTTGACCGCCAGGTTGAGCAGCCGGCTGGCCGCTTGTAGGCGAGTCTCGCCAGGCTTGGCCGCGTAGCACGACTGCATGCGCCGGATCTCGCCCGCGAGGTCGTCGTCGTAGTGCGGGTCTTCAGGCGTGTGCTCCGGGAGTGGCACGGCGGCCTCTGCCTCGGCGACGATATCGCTCTGCTGCTCCCGACTCGGCCCGCGCGCCAGATACAGCGGCTCTCCGCCTGGGCCAGTTTCATTCCTGCCAGCGACATTGTCCTCGACCGGCGGCGGCGGCGGTGCGGTCAGGCACGGCAGCGGTGGGACGAGCGCTTTGCTCCATATCGCCAGTGCCGTGTCATAGATGCTGTCCACGACGGGCCCTTCGACATGCGCCATCATCTCCATGTTATCATTGTCCTCGACATTATTGCTCATCACCACGGCCATCTCGCGATCCACGACGCAAAACTTGGCATGCAGCGTCCCGAGGAAAAACCTATGCATGCTCACCACCTGCAGGTCCACGTTGGGCACCTCCTCCGGCGGCGGGAGCAGCACCCCCGCGCCCGCATACGCCGCCGGCTTGACCTCCTGGTGCGGATCCAGCGCGTTGGACAGCGCCGCCCGGTCGTACATGATCTTGACGACGACGCGGCGGTTCGTCGCCCCCGCGCGGCGCGACAGCTCGACGAGCGCGCCGCGGATGAGCCGCTGCGCGAGGGACGGCGACCACGCGCAGGTGACGAAGATGACTTCGCGCCCGGCGCGCGCGATGAGGTTCGAGCAGTGCCGCATGATGTCCGCCAGCGGCGCGATGGCCGTGAGGGGGATCGTGCCGTGCGAGCCCATGAGCGGAGGGGAGACGAGGCCGCTCCACGGGTCGTCGTCGAGGCAGGCGAGCGCGTCGGCGTAGGCCTGGAGGAAGAGCGTGCTGGGTGCCCGGGGGCCCCAGTTGCCGCACTTCAAGGCCGCCTCGAGAGGGTCTTGCTCTTTTGTCGCGCCATTGGCACTGTTGCTGTTTGTGTCGTTATTCGTGTCGTTGTTCGTGCCGTTGTTCTTGTTGCTGTTCTTCCCGTTGTTGTTGCCATTGCTGAGGCTACTTTGCCCATTGTAGAGCCGCTTGACGACGTCGCCGGGGGGTTCGGACGGGTTGGCGGCTAACACGGAGCTGAGCGTCTCTTGCGCCTGGCAGAGCCGCAACACACGGTCGGACACCATAGCTGCAGTCTTGCCATTGATGTCCACGGGCGCAGGCTGCGATCGAAGTCGACGCAGGATATGTAGTCCAGCAACTATATTCCAAGGTTGGCCAAGTCTCCAAGATTTATTTCCACATGGCACACACAGACACACATCGGCCATCGCCAAAGCCCACAAACGTCATTCCTGCCGCCCAAACAAGGCCGACACCCACATTATACGCTCGCCAAGGGGGCACCTGCTCTCGGCCACGCGCCGTGCGACCCGGCAGCGCCATGCCGAGCGGCACCGTTTGCCGTGCGGAGCGGGGCGCAGCACCGCCACCATTATCCCGGGATGACATCAGGGCCGCGGCCGCGCATGGTGAGCAGCCTTCCACCGGCCCTTTTCCAGAAAGGCCCAATTGCTCCGGATTGAATGTGACCAGAAATGGCCGCCGGACGGTAGCGAGGGGTGTGTGTGATGGCGTAGGGCGATCTCGGAACTCGGCGCGGACACCGGCACGGGGAGATGGCTCCTGCGTCGCTTCTTTGGCCAGGAAGTCGTCTTCATGGTGCCAAGCGCCTTGACGTTTTGGCTTTGGGCATCTCGATCTCGAATAACACAATCGTGTTGCTGACAATCGGTACTCAGGTACCCCCATTGATACGACTGTGTATCAGCCTGTCAAGACCGGGGATGAGTGTGCGAAAGGGGCGAGTGCACGTTTTGTCTATGCCCCAATTCTATTCTAGGTTCCCAGTACCATTCTATCGATTCGCAGATGAGCAGCTCTCCCGAGTCTTCCCTAGGGAACGCAGCTGCCGACATGGACCTGTAGTTGTACAATGTGACGCCAAAGCGGCTCATGTCCGTGAGCCGACTACGAACTCTCCGCCACTTCACCCGCATCCGACAATGAGCTCCCCGCCTCCTTCTTCAGCCAGCACGGCTCCTTCGTCGGATCAACCCCCAGCTTGACAACATCCACGTGCAGCTCGTCATCCAGCCCCTCATGCACCAGCCCCGTCTCCAGCGCCAGCTGCGCATGCTTGATAGCCTCGGTGCGACGCCCCTCGGCACAGTTCGCCAGCGCCGCAATCAAGTGCGCGTCCGAGCTGTACACCACCAGCCGCTCCTGCTGGTATAAGCTGATGACCGTCTCCGCCGTGGCAATCGCCTCCACGTTCGAAATCACGGGGATCTTGTCCATGGCTTTCTGTTGGGCCTCCTCGTGCTTCTTGGCCTGCTGCTCGTCCTTGACGACGGGTTTCTTCGTGTCAGCGGCGGCAACGGCGGCGGCGTCTGTCAGGTCGAGCCGCGCGGTCCACCGCTCGTGCCAGCCGTAGAGCAGGCGCGTCATGTTGTTGATGTGCTCGATGCGCGTGTCGGAGTGCTTGATCATCTTGGGGTGCATGCTGCACTGGCTGCAGGTGCACTTGAATCCCCACGAGACCCTGAGCGTGTTTTGCCGGTGCTGCTGCGGCGCGAGCGGGCTGATGTACGTGAGCGAGATTTCGGTCCCGGGGTTAATCTCCGTGGAGGCGTGCGTGTAGTGCGTGAGGGTCTCTTCGTCAAAGTAGTAGGCCGAGTTGGGGCGGCAGTCGTGGTTGAAGCGCTGTGAACGTGGGTTAGCACCGCAATGTGAAGGCAACTTGCAGCGTCGATCGATCTGCCGGACAGAACTCACCGAGGTCTCAAGCACCACGCCGGAAAACTGCCATCCTGCCACCTCGACGGCAAAGGCATTTACGGTAATCCGATCGCGGACGGAGTTCGTGGTTGGCTGGCTATGCAGCTCCCAGAACATCTCGTTGGCCTGCGGAGGCAGCTGGCGGACGGCGATTGTCTCCAGCATAATGCCGTCCATGACGTTCAGGAACCGGTTCACCCTCATGTCCACCAATATAGCCGGCGTAGCCGCGAGCAGCCGATCTCCACGATGCAGGGTCGTGTTCGCGATGCCGCCCTTCCCACGGCCCGGCAGGTCCCTCACCTCGAACGGCGGGACGGCCATCTCGCCCGCCTTGGTCAGGTTCCCCGACTGGGTAAAGGAAGTGAGGTTCTGGATGGCCGCGGCGGTGCTTGGCGTGGTGATGATGGAGATGCCGCGTCCGTTGGCGAACTCATGTGAGGTGAAGACGCAGAGCTGCGGTGAGCCGAAGGTTGAATTGATGCATTGCGGCTTGAACGTCCATGGCGACGCGGGCTCCTCGGGCAGCTCGAGTTCGAACAGGTGTGGCCGCCCGCAGCCTCTGACCCGGAGGGGAGTGTTGACGCAGAGGTCTCTGTTTGAGATGTTGTTGATCCAGGCTGCTGATGCAAGGCCGGACAGCAGAAAGCTGACAGCAACGCGTCCGCACCACATGGTCACGAGCAGTTGCAGCCCTAAAGCGAGATACCTAGGCTGCGGGCGATCTCGGGCACACCTGATCGGAGTACCGTCGCCGCTGGTATAATATACCGTGGAAGCCCGCACATGGCTCTAGCTTCACAACGGAAAGCGCAACGTGGGCTAAAGCTCCCGCGCCGACATACGACGACATTGACGTTGGCGTTGACGTTGACTCCTGTTTGTTTCGCCCCGTCGCCCCCTTCGGCTTCGTCCGTTTCAACCAGGCCGGGCAACCGTCGTACGCTGGGCGGCAAGCGTCCGTGCCATGAAGCTCTTACAAAACGAGGGCTGCACTAAATCTGCGAGTTGAGCCCGCCACGCCAGGCAACAAAAAGCTGCTTGTCAGCTACCTCACGCTGCCCAGGGCGCAGGCGCCACCGCATGCGGTTTCGGCCCCATCGCGTCTTGAATCGCCCTCAAACGGGCCGTTGCAGTTTGGCTGACGCTGCTAAATTTGTACGTTAGGTGGTCAGTGCACTCACAGGCACACTGGTGTACCAAGCATCGAGATTGCTCAATGACATCTTCTCAAAGGGAAGTGTTTGTTCTTGACCAATTACGCCTTTCATGCAGTGTATGGGTTTAGCAGACCATGTGTCAATAGTGCGAAGGCAGAGTTGCTCGTTAATAGGGCCGATGCGTTATCGCGTACATGTTACATGAGATGAAATAAAGCTTGAATCGATACTGGTGATAACCTGCCTTAGGTCACACTTTCCGACTGATACGTGGCGTTCTGCTGATCATAGGCTTTGTCGGGGCATTTAACCACGCAAGTCAAGAAGTGATACATGAGATACTGTAAAGTGGCCGTGATACTAAAGTGGTAGGGAGGAGCGAGTGTTGAGTCACGAGTGGCGTGACGAAAGACGAAACAAGGTTCACAAAGCCTACACGATGAGATGCGACGCGGCAAGCTTTGGTAAGAAAGACAAAGGCAACTACCAATCATTTGCAAAAGGCTCTATACCCACCTCATATGTTTGTCAAAGCCGAATAGGTGGCATGTCACTGAGACTCGGTTGCAAGTGCCGACTTGGAAAGTGCCCCCACAGCGCACTGGTGCGGAACCAGACTGTGTAGAGTCTACAATCGGGTCTCATGCAAGTGCCAGTAAGACATGCGTGGTTTTGCATGAAGTTGATGGATTATCCTTGCCTCCGTGAATTCGTGTCGCAAGAGGATGAGCAAAGGACAGATGAGGACTGTCCTGTTGGAAGGAAGATGTGCTTGCGGGCGCAGTTGCCGCTCTAGATCACAATGGTAGGCACACGGAAATTTGGAATAAAGAAATCTATAACGACAGGATCTATATAGAGCTCAAAGTAGCAGCCGCGAGCACTCTGGATACAAGTAAACCAGCTGAAGAAGTAGGCCCAGGTAACCCGCTCGTTCTGTCCCCAGCGCGTCTGACTCTCCATGGCTTGACGAATGCCACGGCCGCCACCCAATGCTCTCGAAACCGACAGAGCTTGTAAGTATCCATTCTATAAGCCAAACCTTCATGTTTTCTCCCCCTCATCTCAATATTCCTTGGGATGGCAGACCGAAGCCGCGCCAGTTGACCTCCCGCTCCAAGACACGCCAGTGTGAGACCAAGTCTTGACGACTTACTGGCCCTGGGTCTTGCCGATCTTGCCAGCGCCAGAGCCGCCCGTGGTAGAGCCGGCAGTGGTAGAGCCGCCCGTGGTGGAGCCAGCCGAGTTGGCGTAGCTCTTCTGGCCAGCGCTGTTGCCAGCGCCAGTGACAGCGCCGTTGGGGTTGGCCGTGTTGCCGGCGCCGGCCGGGTTGGCAGCGCCCTTCTGGGCAGTGCCCTTCCTGGGAGCCGGGCAAGCCTTGGCCGCACCGCTGGGCTTCGGGACGGTGGCGGCGGCAGTGGGCGCGGCACCGGCACCACCCGCGGCGGCCTTGCTGCCGGTAGTGCCAGTAGTACCGGTAGCACCGGTAGTACCGCCAACGGCCTTGTTGCTGTTGCCCTGAGGACCACCGGCAGGGTAACCACCAGTAGTAGAAGTACCGGAAGCAGGGGGGGTAGCGCGCTTCTCGGCGGCGATCTCGCGGGCCATCAGCTCAGCCCAGTCGTCACCCAGGGGGGCGCGCTCCTCGAGGGTGGAGCGCTTGTCGGCAGGGATGGACGCGGCCATGGCGCCGGAGACGGCAGCGAAGACGATAGCGGCGGACAGCTTCATTTTGATGGTTGGTTTGTAAAAGGTTGGTTGCGGAGAGCAAAGTTTGTTGTTGGAGTGGTGAAGAGAGTAGTGGTTGATTGTCGATGTGAATGCTGGTGAGTGATTGGATGTCCAGAGGGAGGTGAAGATGGTTGTCTTTATACCCTTTGCGATGGGGGCTTGGGCCCCGGCTCGAAGTATGGGTTGAGACTGAGATATTGCTATCTCTATGGTTGATGCGGCTTTACCACGAAGCCTTGACGTAACCGTGACTGTCCAAGCTAGACTCAAACGCTTCTAGAATGCCGCGAGGAGGCTCGTTGAACATCATCTGGCTTGTGAGTGAACTCGGGCCAAACGCCCATTACGTCTCGCAACGCCCATCCCTGCGCTCACTGACACATCTAATTCTGGTTTACTTCAGGGACGGTATCCTCTGATGCTCAACACGCAAGGAGCACACGCAGTGGCCCGGGAATGCGCGTTTGCTGGGGCTCTCGGTTTCCAACCAGAGCCTCTGCTGGTCCTGACACAGCGGCTTACGTAGAGTTGGTTTCGACCGCAGCACGGACCGGCCTCGACACCTGCGGGGTGGTGGCTGGGTGGTTTTGCATACTCACACTTGATGTTTGAGAGCTCAGACTGCTTCAGCTGGAATAATCGGAGAATTTGCGACCAATCGTTGACCTGACGCGCGGGTCATATTCTTCAGCATTGGTCATCGGTTGGATCACTCAACGCAGCAGGACTGTACTTGCTGGCACTGGCACCATGTATGTGGACTGTGCGTTTCACCGTGAGAGATTTGGATTCACATGATGGAATAGACACGAAAGTCTGTGTCTTCTTATGTGGCTTGCGATTATTTGATCGTTGAACAAGGTAAGTGGACAGTGACTACAAGATCGGTCACATCTTTGCCTTCAATGGAGGCTCAATCAGACGACTTGCCGCCGAGATTATCCATAATGCGAGCAACAGTCAGTCGTTTGACCAGCTGACTGTAGATCGTGGCTACGAGCGCCGCAATGCCTATGCAAGACTTCATGTCCGTTGCACGTGTGGATTGAGTGCTGCGACCTGCTGCCGAATCTAAGACAACGGCGGCGGGCCGTGCCATGGAAACATGTGGCTGTCTTACGTCTGGTGTCACGCATGCGCAGCACCTCAAATGACACTCATGAAAATGGCGACAAAGCTCGGGGCGCAACAATGCTTTGCAAATCTTCAGGCAGGGAAAGACGCAAGGCGGGCCAACAACAAACGTGGCCCCAGTCGGCGCCATCTCCTGTGGTCATTTCTGAGGTAAGAAATGCAATGGCTTCAGACGTATGGGAAATGTGACCTGAGAATAGACGTAACGTATTGAAGTGAGCCTGGGCCGGTATAGTGGGCAGTGGGCGTGTCTCAGCTTGTGGCTCATCGAGGGTTAGTCGGTTCACAGTAGCGGGACGAATAACCTGTCAGGATTTGTCGTCACATCAACAAGCACGTTTTGTAGCAGTGGAAATAATTATGCAATTACTGCTTGCCCATGTGTTAAGAGTAGTGCTATTTGTAGAGCCAACTTTTGCTAGTTGTAGAGCCCATAGGAGCAATAGCAGCGACAGCAATCAGACGACAGCAACGAAAGCAACGACAGTAACGAAAGCAACGACAGTAACGATACAGACGAAAGCAATAAAGATAACGACATTAACGAAAGCAACAGGCAGCGTGCCTCTACCGCCCCATGCCTGGGCTAGTGCGCAAAAAAAAATCACTGGAGCAGCATAGGGGGCAGGGCGCGGCCGAGAAAAAAAAAAGCCCGGCAGGCGTAACAGGTCGCCGCCACCTTCGACAATATCGAGCAGGTTCATCGCTCCGAGCACCGCCTTATGGGTGCCAAGAATGTAGGAGGGCTCTACACCTAGCAAAAGTTGGCTCTACGAATAGCACTCCTCTGTGTTAATATTGCCTATTTACGCTTGAGAGGCTTCAAACTCAATTTGCGCGCTGCAGTAGCAAAGTTCTGCCTAGCTGCTGCTGCACACGTGAAACCACTGAGGATCAGGAGGAGACAGGGCGCTTGAGGAGTCGCAGCCACGCGGCGATTGATCCTTCTTTGTTTACCCCCCAGCAAAGGAGGTGCAACCTGCGGGATCAGGTAACCACGCGTCGACCGAGCACTCAAACAACACACGGCTCTTCCATTGTCACTCTCATTCCGCTCCACCAGTGCACAGGCCTTTGCTACACCTCGTCGTGCTTCATCATGGCTGTGCAAATCGTCTCGGACCTGCACCTGGAAACGCCCAAGGCCTACGACATCTTCGAGATCGAGCCCAAGGCTCCCGTTCTGGCACTGCTCGGCGACATAGGCAACATCGTCCTGCACAAGGAAGATTGCCTCGCCTTCCTCACAAGACAGCTTGCCAGGTTTCGCGCTGTTCTGTTCGTGCCGGGGAACCACGAGGCGTACCACTCAGACTGGCCGAGGACGCTGGACACGCTTCGCGCCTTTGAGCAACAAGTCCAGAGCGACGATGCCATCGGGGAGTTTGTCCTGTTGGATCGCGCGACGTATCGTCTCCCAGGAACAGATGTTGTTATTCTCGGGTGCAGTCTATTCTCGTTTGTCCCGCGGGCGAGCGAAATGGCAGTCGGCCTCGGCATCAACGACTACTTTCAGACGTACGACTGGGACGTCGACGCCCAAAACGAGGCACACGCCCGCGACTTGGCTTGGCTGAACGGCCAGGTCGCCGAGCTGGAGCAGACGGGCAGCAAGATCATGATATTTACGCACTGGAGCCCGACGCGACATGCAAACGCGACCGATCCGAGACACGCTGGCAGCGCGATTACGAGCGGCTTCGCCACGGACCTTTCCGGCGAGAACTGCTTTGCGAGTGACAGTGTTCGGCTCTGGGCGTTTGGCCATACGCATTACAATTGCGACTTTACTCTGAGCCGCGAGGGGGGTGCGACGCCGCTGCGGCTGCTGGCCAACCAGAGGGGATATAGCTTTTCACAGTCGGAAGGCTTTGACGCAGAAAAGACTGTGACGATTTAGTCTTCAGAAATATCAGCAAACTTCTGGGCGACGCTCTTGAGCACTACCTGCTGCGCCAACGCGGATCCCCAGGATTGTCGGGGTATGGTGCAATTGAACTCCAGCCCTCAGCAGTCGACAATGCTAATATTTGGACAATAGCTCCCAAATAGCCTCTGAACTTTATCGTACAGACAGAAAATCGACCGCCGCAGAGCATCGATATGTGGATGTCAAGACCTCAAGCTGTGCCCGGAGAACGAGTCATATCCTGACCATTCCATCGCGCAACGCTATCCGCCGCCCGCGCGCCACTTCCCTGTCGCATCATCAGACACGCCTTTGACATCATATCACCACAGGAGGAAACATGGCCAATATCTCCCTTCGACAAAGCGTTGCTTCGCTCAGATGATGGTAGCCAGCCGAGAGGCCCTCCCTCTCCCCGAGTGTCTGGACCTCGAGTCCGCCGCTCTCGTCACCTACACCAATGTCCTCGTCGTCACAGGTCACACCTCCCAATCAAGGTCTAAATACGCCTTCTGACTCATGACTACGGCAAGAGTGATGACGCTGGGACCTTTAGGAGGCACGATGAGTATATCATCTGCCTGAGATCCAGACGTGACGTCTGGTGGTACATTCAGTCAGATGATCGATGCAACATGTCAATTAGACTATAAGAACGCCTCGGCTTATAAGAAGCTTTACGCTTCTGGTACCCTTGGGGATGCAATCCTGAAAATACGTGTCCCCGCCATATGGGTCGCTTCCGTGTGTACCAGACCGCGGATAGTAGGCTTCAATGGCTGCCCAATTCCACCTCAGATCCGCCGCCTCTTCCTCTTTGCCTCCAGCTCCGAATCGCTGGCCGCATCTCCCCCTGAGACCAGTGGCTCATCAGCCCACCTTACCCGACGCCGCTTACCAGTGGTCGGACAGGGCATTGCGCCTCCAGCGCTGAAGTGGACTACGTGTTCCGGGCACATGTCCAAGAAGCCAGTGATGATATCAGTCATCTGACTGCCGTTCACTGTTACTCCACGACAAGGCTCAGCAGGGTGGCCTAGGCAACTGAAGACTCCTTCCTCGGCGTTGGACTCCTCATCGGCGTCGTTGCCCACGTCGTCTTGCAGCTCAATGCCCTCCATGTGTTCGGCGCGCTTCGTCAGGTCCTGAGCCTTCGCCAGTCCGGAGAGAAGCGTCGAGCCTGCAGCCGGGGCGGGTCGTGTGTCCGTCATGACGCTATCCTCTCTTGCGGACTGCCCGTTGACGCTGACATCCATGTCGCTTTGCCCTGCGACTTCCAATTCCATGCTGGCGTCGAGAGGCTGAGCCTCTGAGGCTTCGTGTAGGTCAAGGTTGTTGAACTGTTCCAAGATGGGAGCGCCGTCGCTCTGTATGGGGCCACACTCGACCTGCATGTACTCGAAGCTACCGGCCTCGGCCTCGGCCTCGCTGGGAGGGTGAATATGCAGTGTAAAGGTTGGCTGTTCCTCAGCGACGACAAGTGCCAATAAGTCGTCCTGCCAGGCATTTTGCCCCGGCTCAGCCGGGCATCCAAAAACCTCCATGGGCTCCATGGGCTCGGCCATTGTTACCACATCTTGATTGGAGATGAGGCCTTCCATGTCGGGAAAGCAGTATTGGGACATTCGGCGTGTCACGTCGCAGTCGATTAGTTCGTCGATGTCGTCCCACCCAGGCCCCGCGACAAAGTTGAGGTCAAGTCCGTCGACGCCGCTGTCGGGTGAAGCAGGCATAAGCGCGCCCTGATTCTGCGCTTTTGCGATCTCCCGTGCCCGTGTTTGCCGACGTGCGTGGAAAGTGAAATCTAATGGTCTAGGGTGTGTTGGTGAGGAAGTTGATCGTTCCGACGATGGCTCCCAAGGTGCTTGACGAACGTGAAAAGCGAGAGCGACGAACGTCGAGATTATATCCTCGTGGCGGCACTGCGGTCCGTGTGCCTTTTCTAGACTTCTGAATAACGGCCTGCGGTGTGGTGTTCAGTGTCGCTGTCAAAGAGGGTTCGCGGTGCAGAGTCGTGCAGCTTTGGTGTAGCGCATGGGCGCAAACACCGACTTGCAGTGACTCTGAACGTAAAAAACACGAAAAGAGACTTTGCAGCGTTCAAATTTCTGCAGCGCACAAACAAACGTCTCCTGTTCTGAAAGTTTAATAAAGCCATTTTGAATCCAACTACTCCGGCCTGGCATCCCGACGCTATGTCGCCAGGACTCAATGCTTTTGCGTCTATACTCAAACGTCCATGCTCACCAAGGCCATCAAGGGCCCTATTCTTCCTCCTCGCCATCCAGAAACACCTCGTGCCCGGAGCCCTCGTACATGCCCATCGCCGATGCGCACGCAAGCGCAGACATGGCCGCGACCCCCCACCATCCCCAGGCCACCATGCCAATGTCGAGCCCATACCCGTACCACCACCCGCCGACGACGGGCCCGACGGTCCGGAAGCCGGCCGACACGCTCTGACCGAGGCCGTGGATCGTGCCCAACACGCTGGGATGCGGGCTGCAGTTGTTGAGCAGGATGATGCTCGCGGGGAGGGTAAACGTGCGCGCCGTAACCTGCAGGAGCAGCACGAGAATGATGCCAATCCAGATGAAGCCCCCTCCCGCGGGTTCGGGTGGCGCCGTTGACGATGGCAGGATAGACAGGTACGGCGCGACGAAATAAGCGACCGGGAAGAGGAACAGGAAGTAGCGGAACGAGCGAATTGTGCCCAGTCGGGCCTGGATCGGTGGATAAAGCGTGACCTGCAGTAGCATGCCCAGGATACCCAGAAAGGATGTCGCGAAGCCGACAGTCGACGCTGGCATACCAAGGCCGCCAGTGAAAAGCAGCGGCAGATCGCGCCGCCTCTCAGTCGCCTCGGGTGTGGCGTACCTCGGCGTAGACAGGAACAAGGACCAAATATTGCCAAAGGCGCCCAGATGAAAGTCGTAAAAGGCGCCGGTAATGAGGGTAAAGACGACGTTGCGCGTCCACAGCCGCCGAAATGGCAGCCGCTGCGCCTTGACAGCTGGTTCGTGGACGGGATTGAGCGGAATGTCCTCGCCCTCGGCAGACAGATGGGTGTACCCGTTGTTCGTAGGCTTGATACCAAAGGCCACTTGCTTGACGCGGTCTCCAAGGTGGAGGCCGTAGTCAAACTTGCCTCTTCTCTCTTTGGACGTCTGACCGTGGTGTTAGGGCTGTTCACCAACTATAATGTTCAATGCTTACCTCTTCCAAGAACAAAAAGACAATGGCGGTGCATATCGTCAAAAAGACGAAGTTGACAAGGCTCGGTAGAGCATACGGATAGCTGTGAATCCACTGGAAGCCAAAGACGGCGCCTTCGCCAAAGAGCCCCGGCATCGTCTTCATAGGATCGGCCAGCACGCCGCCCAAGATGGGGCCGAAAATGCCCGCGACGTTGAAGCTCATGGGCAGGATGAGGAACGCCCTTGACTGGTACCTTTTCTCCTTGGTAATCTCCGCCACCATGGTGCGACTGCGATTGACTCTCAGCAGGCTGTGTTGGCGTGTGGCTTTGAGTCGACTTACATGATGCCCACTGTGCCATTGACAGCACCGCCAAAGGCTCTCCAAAACGCCGCCCAAAAAAACGTCGTCGCAAAGCCGTAGCCCAGACACGAAAGCGCCGTGCCGGCCAGCCCAATGACAAGAACCCTCTTCCGGCCGCACCAGCCTGCATCGGCGGCCTTGCCCCAGAGCATCGCGGTGGCGACCTGCGCCCCGGTGAAGCAGCCCTGCAGGATGCCCGCCTGCTGCGAGATGCGCGCGTCCGAGGCATTGCCGCTTGGGTCCAGCGCTTTGAGCTGGTAGAAGACGTAGGCCTGCAGCGAGGCGACCTGCAGGAAGTCGACGAGTCTGGCGAGGAAGAGGATGGCGAGCTGGTCTTTGCGCGGGAGGCTAGACCACGACACGGGACCAGCGGCGGCGGGCTTGAGAACTGACAGCTGGGAAGTTGGCGTGGATGGACGAGACTCAGGATCGGGAGTAGGTCGTAGCGAAGCCGGTGATGCGGTATCGGACAGGCGTGAGGACGGGCCGGCCATGGTGGTGGTTGTAAGGGTAAGCGTGCCGCCAGGAGAGACTGCCTGCCCGAGGAGCTGTTGCGGATTCATCTCGCGAGCCGTCAGGTTGAGCGTCCGTCCGCGACGATGGCGACGCGCCTCCGGGGCTTGGCCGGCCGAGTAGTCATTGCTGAAGGACCGCGCGTGTGCGTGGTGCTTGGAGGCTGACGACGAGGCGGGCGGCGACGACGGCGGCATCGTGAAAGAGAGTGGGGGCGACCGACCGAGGGGGCCGCCGGCAAGAAGGAGGAGGCGTGTCGCAAGGGGGTGGGCGTCTCAGAAAGGCTGCGAGGAAGGAGCCTGTAGCGGAATGTGGGAATAGAGGCAAGAGCGAGCCAAAGCCGAAGAGTAATTCGCAACGGAACGCAAGGCGTGTGAAACGAGCGGTGGGTTGGTGATGCCGTCCTCTGTCGGATCTAACGACTGGCGTTGGTGTCGTGCGTCGTGTTGACGCTTGCGCGGCGTGTTCGGCTCCCGGCAGCCGCCAAGACCGCTATCTAACTGCAATCAGTACGGACTGTAAGATATGCATCGAGGAGGGTGAGTACTTGAAAAGGAGCGAGTCACGCGTCGGGGAGTGTTGCGTACGCCAAAGACTGCGCCGGAGCCGAGGCTGCGGGTGTAAGTTGTAAGAGGCTCCCTTCCCAGGCGCGGAGCCGAGCCACCGGAAACAAATTACAAAGCAAAGAACATACGCCAACAGCGCGGAATCGGCAGCCAAAGAAGAAAGTAAAGAAAAGCACTTGGGCGGTGGTGGTGACGTACGTCGTCCTGTGTCGGCCGACGGGCCGGCAAGCAGACAAGAGAGGCCACGCCAATTGATATGAATCGGGGCATCGCTCCCCATACCGCCAAGAGCTGGCGTGTGTGGGCCCCCTGGCCAGCGGCACCCCCCAAGGTGCAGGTACCGGTACAAGCCCAGGAACAGCAGCTGGAATTCCGAAGATGGAGGAGGGGCTTGTCGACGGCTTACACCCAGCTTGGGAGGGGGGAGTGGGTGAGGAAGCCAACTTCAATTGACGGCGACCAGTTTGTGAGACGCTGTAGCTAAATTGAAAGCCCTGGTATCGCATTGCGTCTCTGTTTATGGGATCTCGTGTGGCAGCCGATTCTGTTGTGCGTCTACTTCGTACTGCGGGCACGAGAGGTTCGACAGGCGTGAGAGGCATTAGCCACAGGCGCCTCGTAAAATCATGGCTTGGTTTGAACCACAGAACTTTTGCCTTCGTTGGGTTCCTCAGCTGCTCGATTCGTTACGGAAACCCGCCTGCCGTCGCAGGATCACCAGCGGCTGGTGCCGAGAGCTGCTAACCTACCCGACGTGGCGAAGATGGCTTCGTTTCCTTGTTTGATCCGCACCGCCTTTTTGCTAGGCGTCTGGGCACGCGTCGATACCGATCGTCTGCTCGCTTGCACGGCGTGCGGCTTCGGAACCAAGAGTGTGAGCGTTTGGCTCTTCGATGGGCGACATGCGATTACGTTGCATCGTGGGCCGGCGACAGGCCCACCGTGATGTCTGGTGGAGGGGCGTGTACGAAGCAACGCTGGGGGCCCATGGGCAAGGTCTAGGTCCAGGCCAGCACTGTTTCGCACTTTTCAGTGAGCCCATCCGCAGCATTGGGGGACCGCTCCAGCGGCAGGCAAAGCCAGTCCTGCCAAGCGTGTAAGTCGGCCTCGGGAACACGCGGTCGGGTGAAGCTCTTTAGCCGCCGCATTTCAGAAACATCCTGGCGCATGAAGCAGACGACTGTAGGCAGTGACTTCTGGCCGCGCAATCAATTGCAGGCGTCGGGGGACTCGGCGCGTCACGGCGAGCTGGTTTAGTGCTCGCGTGCCACTCTGCCCCGATGCTGGCCTGTTTCAACGTGTAATCGCAGCAAGAGGCATCGGGTGAGGGCCCGACTCTAGAGCAAGAGCGTCTGAGCCTCCCGTTTCTTTACTTTCCTGCGATTGACACTCGCTGCAGAACGGTGTCCCATTCATTTATATCTATAGCTGTTTTCAATTCCTCTGAGCGTTGACCGTCTTGTCCCGACTCATCCAGCATGCAGCCGTCATGTAGCATCTCCAGCGCCGCCATCGCGATACAGCACTTGCTGCTCCCGCTTTCTCTATTGCTGACGGGTTGTGTAAGCGCAGAACAGCCCGTCTTCACCGACAGCGCCGAGTTCGACAACGAGACGTTCGGAAAATACCCCGTCCAGACGTTCAAGTCGACGCCGATCGTCGCCCCAAGGCCGAACTTCCTCTTGCGGGACAACCGCTGCGAGAGCGATCTCTATACCTTCCTGACCCCTCGCGGGTATGTCGAGGCTGCGAGAAATGCGCAGATGACCATACTCGACCAGGGCGGTCACCTCGTCTGGACGTCCGGCTGGGAGGGCAAACAGATCTACAATCTCATGGTGCAGCGGTACCGGGGGCACAACTACCTTACGTTTTGGGCAGGCAACGATGCCGTGGGTGGGCATGGCGCCGGCACCTACTACATGGTGCGTGCACAAGCCGAATCGGATTCGTTTCATGGCTGTGAACGAGGCATCGCATTGGACCCAGGCCCTCTAACAATGGCATAGCTCGACGAGGCGTATACACTTCGACACACTATCAAAGCGGGCAACAACCTTCAAGGCGACCTGCACGACTTTCGCTTGACGGACAGGGGCACGGCCCTCATGACAGTCTACGAAGTGCGCGAACATGACCTTTCATCAATGGGAAAGAAGAAGGGCCCCATTTGGGATTGCCTGATACAGGAGATGGACATTGAAACCGGCGACGTCGTTTTCCAATGGCGCGCCGCGGAGCATTTCAATATTTCCGACACGTACCGCGGCATCGGCGGCGAGGGCGAACCGGGCGGCGCGCCCTTTGACTGGTTCCACATCAACAGCATCGACAAGGACCGCAAGGGCAACTACCTCATTTCGAGTCGCTACATGAGTAACCTGGCGTACATTGACGGCCGGACAGGAGACGTATTGTGGACGTTGGGCGGCAAGAAGAACATGTTCAAGGACCTGTCGGGCGGTAAGGCGACCAACTTTCGCTACCAGCACGACGCAACATGGGACCTCGACTACACAGAGATTACACTGTTTGACAACAGTGACCTTGGGAAGCTTTCCGATGCGTCGAGGCCGCGGGGAATGCGCATCAAGGTGGACCAAGAAGCGCGGACAGTACGCCTCATCGCGGAGTACCGCAACCCGCAGCATATCCCCGCCGAGTCACAGGGCTCGACGCAGACGCTCCCAGGAGGCAACGTTGTCGTGGGATTCGGCTTCACAGCCGTGTGGACCGAATTTACCCACGATGGCACGCCCCTTTGTGATGTGCACTACGGCTCACAGAGCCGCTTTGGCACAGGCGACGTGCAATCTTACCGCGTGGTCAAGTTTGCCTGGAAGGGATTTCCGACGACGACTCCGGACCTGGCTGTCGCGCAGGATGATGCTGGTGTGTGGCGGGTGTACGCGAGCTGGAACGGTGCGACTGAAGTGGCCGACTGGGTGCTGCAAGGCGAGGCCGATGACGAGAACGGCGGCGACGCGTCTGACTGGCAGGTCATCGAAACAACCGCCAAAGATGGCTTCGAGACGGACTTCGTGCTCGATGCGGACCATCCTCAGTATCTGCGGGCCGTAGCACTGGACAGTAAGGGCAATGCGCTGGGGACGAGCAAGGTGCTGGATGCCGGCAATGTGACGGTGGTGAGTACGACCCGAGTGGTTACACAAAGACAAGCCGAAGCTGACGCACATGCAGGATTACGAAGTCCCGAAGCCGGAGCCGACTGATAATATTGCGTACACGCGCGAGACTGTGGCCTTGGGTGCAGGGGTCGTCGTGGGCATGGCCTTCGTGGGGATATGCGTCCTGGCGCGGCCGGCGATGCAGGTCTGGAGGCGATCCGATCTCGGCCGCAAGACGGTGCTCTACAAGAAGCTATCTACGGACGGACGGAGGTCTTCGTCCGAGGCTGTGTGATGTTTGGATACCCTGGTGCGCGAGGCCATAGATTGGATCGAGCTGGGTGCTGTGTGTTTAGAGCGTCTTGTTGGCGTAGATAGGTTGATTAGACGACGTATGCACAATACGAAAGACGGAGCTTGCATTGCAACAGGGACAGGGCCAGATCCTCGCATGCCTACTTTCGGCCGCCACATGCACCGAGATGAGGCTTCACAAGCTTCCCTAGGTGATGGGCACGATGCAGCACCGTTCGAGTAGGTGTCACTTTGACCATCTGGGAAGCTGCAACGCAGCGTCCTGCTGCATTGTGGCATTGATTGACCTTTGTTCATGGCGCGTTTCAAGAAGAGCATCGCTGGGGTGGGCACATGTGGAGCGGGGGGGCGTGTGGCCTTTTCTCCCGGACAGGCACGTCGCGCGACGATCAATTCGATACTTGAACGGACGGTGGACTACGCGCGGATGAATTGAAGAGATTGGGCGTGAATTAGAAGGGAAATATTGCAACGGGTCTGCCGGCTTGGCGGTTACGCGTACAGGCACGGCCGAGTAGATGGCATGGGTAGACGAGAAGAGAGGTCCAGTCCTGCAACGCCGTTAGACGACGTGCTGTCTCGGCCTGCCAGTAGGGCCACCCCACCCCTCCTTGCGTTGTAGCCGACAGAGCAAACACGCAGCAGCAGGTAAAATGTAGAGTCGCGCGGCAGTCGAGAGGATGTTTCACGCGCGCGAAGCATGAGGTGTTGAAGCAAATTCCCACCCCGTGCGGTGGCTGTTACAGCGTGAACCCTAAAGGGGCGATGGTGTAGGTCTCGGGGTATTTTTTGGTCGAAATGGGACTTCCTAAACGGGCTGCGCATAAACACGATAATCTATCGGATGCTGAGAAGGCTGCTTCGTTGGCCCCGATCTGTTGACTCGAGTTCAATGGTAGATGGTCGGCTGGTGAATTGCAGGGAATATGAAGTGTGTCTACATACTAAGTTACCGCAAGCTGAGACTGAGGCAACGCCGCCCGGGCATGGGTCGCTGTGGTATGTACGAAGCAAGGGTGATGGACAGACTGCAGCCTCCGGGAAGTCAATTTGAGTAAGCTGAGAGAGAACGTCGGACGCAGCGCTTCTGGCTCAGCTTCTGGCTCAAACTTCAAACTACTGCTGCATACGCAACGCGGAGCCGAACACGGCGGACTAACCCCCCAGCGGATCCCCGGCACAGAGAGCGAGAGATGATTGCAAAGCCGGCGACGACGCGCGTCCGATTGATTCACAACACACTCCGCTGACCGCAAATCGCCCCACTGGCAGTTGAGTACATGAATTGTTAGTGTTGTGTCCCTTATTAGCCTCTCGTTTGCTAGCTTCTTGAACTAACGAGCCCTTCGGTGTATCCAATCTACTTATTTCCTGCTGCAAGTCCCGGTCACCTTCTTTATCATACCCATTCTCTTCGACACAGTCCCTCCCAGTTTTAGGACGTCAGCGTCTGTCATGCCTCTCCTTATTCCCGCCGCCTTACTTATTTTAGCTAGATCCGCCAGAGCAAGAGGTTCCAGCACGAGGCTAAAGATCGCGAGAGGCGCATTATCTGGGTCGTCAACAATGGTGTAGACGTCCAGTGCCGCATTGCCCACGGCTCCTAGGATCGTTAGGATGATTGCCAAGTCGGCCAACTCTGTCAAGGCGCCCAGTACTTGTCCTGCGATGGGTACAAACAAGAGGATAGCACCCAAGAAGGCCAGGATGATGGTCTTGCGCTTTGCCTCTTCAATCTCACCCGCCACGGTTTCTACATGCGACATGCTTTCGACCGCTTGGACAATCATAAGAATCGGCAAGGATATGCTATCCACAAGCTCGAAGCTATCGCCGCCAAAGCAGCGGAGCTTTAGTTGGAGGAGGACGCTGCTCACTTGCTCTACCAGACTCTGAGAGTTGTCGAGGGCCTTGGCCGCCACTTTCTGCGGATCTGCCACATCGCCTGCACCGAAGCCATCGGGAATAGGCGTACCATAATCGATGCCGAAGGCGTGACATGAATCTTCGGGCTCCGCACCTGGAGAACAGCTCTGGTACCGATAATAATCACCAAATTTCATCTTAGTTTTGGGTATGCCCGTACTGCTCAAGAGATCCGCATAGAATGAATTCGACTTGTCTTCCTGGAGGCTCCAGTAGACACTTTGCGTGTAATCAGTGGTCCCCTCACCGCGTTTGGAATAGTCTGGTGGACATGGCTCCGAGACATTTTTGATCCGCCGACAGAGCACAGAGGTTAAGCGGATGCACATAGTTTAAAAAGATCGAACCATATTTATATAATCGGGACTGCGTACTATAAGTGCATCCAAGGGGTATACTTATCTGTCCAATGAGAAACACCTCCAATGCTACTACTACTACTATGGACTTGCATGAGGCTTGCAAGATGAGACTGACTTGTGTAGGTGCCGGAGTCAAAGTAGCCGCCGATCCCTACTGAAGTACCGGGGCTCCAATCGATGTCAAAATGCAAGGCCGCATATTCACTTTGAGCAGAAAGGTATGGTGTCATCCTACCTAAAGTTGTGCGTGTAACAAATCCACTACGTCCTTTCTCGAATATTGCTCTGCGACATGTACGGAGGTTCTCCCCTTTGAGTCTTCACGTAGCACGTCCACGCCCTTATCTATCAGGTACCTGGCCCTGCCTTTGGTCATCTCCGTACTATGCCTCACCGCTATGTGCAGCAACGTCATTCCATTGCCGTCAGTCTCCGTCCAGTTCACTCCGGCTTGATCAAATATCGCAAGCACCTGTGCATCCACTTCCTCTTTACTCGGATTCTGCCCGTACAGCGACTCGCTCAGATATGCTGTGGCGCGGAACACCGCCGTGCTTCCGTCATCGTCTAGAAACAATTCAATTGCGGTACGTCCCGCTATATTACGCGCGTTGATATCCACGCTCAGGTCAACAAAGCGCCGAAATGTTCGCCGAGTTGCCTCTCCGTGAAGCTGCTCGGCGAGGCCGTTAACCGCCAAATAGTGCAGGGCCGTGTTACCCCTACCATCTCTGGCAAGTGGGTTGGCCCCAGCGGCGAGAAGCTGCTCAATGATCGACTCAAGGCCAACTTCATCGCCCGCGTCGCTGAAATACGGATGGCGACGCCATAGCTGGAACGCGGAGTGCAGAGGATATGTTCCGTGCCGGTCAGGCTTGTTAATTAGCTGGGGCAGATTGGCAAGCACGTAGCAGAGGGCATCGCGCATTGACGGCGGCCTGTTACTGAAGGACCAGGGCCGGTTGGCGTCCAGGAGCTGGTGAAGAATATTCTTCCCGTTATTGTCGACAGCAAGTAAATCAGCGTTTCGTAGCCGAAGGGCGTGGAACAGTGAAGTTTCATCCTCGGTCGCAAAGACCTTTCGATCATGTCTATTCGGTTCGATGTCCTTGAGGGAAACTCCCAATAATGCATCTGCACCCAATGCGCTTCGGCAGGCTGAGTGGAGGATGGTCCGTCCCTGCGGATCGCGGCATTCCAGAGCCAGCGCAAAGTCTTCATCGAAGAAAGGCAGCACTTGGCCACCATCTTCGAAAAGGGAATGTATCACACTTCGTGTGCCGTACACACGGCCTGGGATAGGCAGAGTCTCGGAGTAGTTGTCTTCAAACGGGGGATCCACCTGTTCATCATGCGACTCGCCAGGAAAGGGGTACGGATCTGACCGCCAAAGAACCTCCCGGTACAGAGCATACGGGTTGGCGCCCTGTCTAAGCAAGAAGCGCATCATATTATATTGCCGCTCCAGGCCTTCTTGGCTTAGCGACAGCTCGTTCGTTCGTGCTATGATTTGCAGCGGGAACCACTCCTGCCACTCATTGTAGAAATGCACATCGCGGAACGAAATGGTGACGTCGCGAGTGTCCCAGCCAATCCGGACGCCAGCATCAGGAGATGAGGCCGCGCTGGACCTGATGTTTGGCGAAATGCCTTCTTCGAAAAGAACCTCAAGGGTGTCAATATGACCGCTCTCGACCGCAGCGAATACTCCTTCGGGGCTGACGCTTACCCCATCGGCGAGAAGCTTCTGTGCGGCCCGGGGGTCGCGCGCTGCCTTGACGAAAGGGTCATCTCCGTACTTGAGAACTAGGGAGTCCGGGCCCTCCCAGTCATAGTCAGAGGGTGGCGAGGGTCCGCTGACCCAGGGATAATGCCCGCTTTCGTCCATAATTTGGCTAGTAGCAAGTGGGTTTCCTGCTCACGAATATGAGCAAAACATAAACATGTGCAGAAAGTGTGGTCAAATAAAGCTCGAATATAGTGAGAGCTTGGCAGATCTTTGGACCTAACCGTGTCGTTACACTGGCGACATGGAAACTGGAGGCGCACGGCAAGATGTGAATCCCGAGCAATTTTACCAGCGAACCCGGACAGTACTGTGCTGTACTAGAGTATGCAATAGGTCTGCCTGGAATGAGAAGACAGAAGAGAATCAGGAATGAGGCATGCTTCGGATCTGTTGGTGCAGCAACCCGCAGAGATGCCGCAGCCAGCGGCCAGACTCGGTCGGGCATTCAAATGCGCTCGAGCCGACATCAGTTGTTCGAGGATGCCACGAGGCATCTGTTAGCCAACGCACCTGCAAAGGCACATTGGCCCAACAGCGTATTCGCCTCTGGTAGTCCGTGTATGTACAGTAAAAGGTATATATGACGACAGATAAATCATTCAACAGAGATATCCTGTTACAGTTGTACATACGCTTCTCTTATCTTTGACCGAGCCGTGGGTTAGCTCCAATGACCGCCACGTCCTTGCCATCCACACAACATGAGGAGGAAATGGACGGGGTGGGCGCAGCGGCGGCTGCGGCGGCTACTAGATCGCAAAAAGAGAGAATGGAGGGTGTGGCATTGCAAAAAGGTCCACGTCGCTCCCCGGGGGGATCATACGGTGCGCATCCTCACGAGCACCTTGCCGACAAGGCGTCTGTCACTCCCAATCGTGGACGAATCCGGAGGTCGCCTCAAGCGAGTCGCGTCCTCTCCGAGTGCTTTCCTCTATTCTTCTTCCGGCGAGCAGGTCTATTTCAGCATACCCCGTCTCTACTTCATCTACTAACGCCAAACAGAACCGGCTGTTGGTGGCAGCTGTGCCAGCCGGCCAAAGCCCCAGCGGGGCAACGCGCGTCGTCGGCCGCTCGTCCGCCACATCCCGTCGCGGTTCGAGCGTTGTCTGCCGCGAAGCAGTTCGCGGCAGGTCGACGCCTCTTTTGCAGCCTGCCCGGCATACGTCAACATGCCAAGAACCCCTTTCTCGTCGAGCAGAAATTATTTCGCGTGGAACTACATTTTGACTTGCAGCGTGCGACGGGCGGCCGCGCGGGCGTGGCGTCACGTCGGCACCGGTCGGTCGCCGACGAGCCGATTATCAGTCTTGGCGGCTCCAGGGGTGCTTTGACGATCAGCATGTGCGGTGGTCGGGTACAGCGAACACTCGTAGATGTACGGAGCGGAGCAAGGGCGAGGCGACGCATGGGGGATCAAAAAATGATCTTTGGCGGAGGGTGACTGGATCAAGCCACCAGACGGGAGGCTCTCTGCGCCTCGTGTCAGCCACGACCACAATGCTCATCTGCGACATACCCGTACGAGCTTCCCGGCCGAGTGATGCTCGCTGCAAGCAAACACAGTACGGAAACAAGGTTATTTTCGCCAGGTGGTAGCGAGGGCCCGCAGGTGCCAAATCCCAGCGGGCATGGATAGGCGGACGATCGAGGGCAAAGAGCCCCGCGAATGCGAACCAGTGCGGCAGGTGGGAACAAGTGATGGGTAACGCAAGTGATGTTCAGGGGCAGACGAGCTGCCAAAGGCCCAGCGCAATGGAAGGTGGATACGGCAGAGGACATGGATGATGGGTCCAGCTTCGGCGGCGCCACATTTGTTCGACTCCGATGGACGGACGGTCGTGGGCTTGTGGCTGCGGTGATGTGGACTGTGGACCGGCCACTACGGTCCCTGGACGCCAACTCTCAGGGATGGCACCGCTTGGCCGCGAAGCTGGTTTTGATGAAGGCGCTGGAGAACTGGGAGCGGCATTATTGGCCAGAACCGAGAGGCAAGGGCGTCGATGGGTGTGAATGAACTTGTGGCATGTCACTGTACCTGTACCTGTACCTGCAACCTGGCCGCGTGTGTTTCAAGTCCGGCGTTTGGTGTTTGTTGCGCATGTCCAGTCGCCCACAATGCCCACAGCAGCATCGACGTCGCACAAGTCAATTTGCATGCATTGCTTCAGCAGACCCACGACGAGAAAGAAGCCTGTGGCCAAGCGATGATGAATACTACTCGATTCAGGAGGCATAGCCACAGCCCGCAAGGACCCGCGCGGGTGCACACCCCCATGGTGCCCGTAACACGCCTTCCTTGTCCATCGCTCTCCTGGGCCATCGCCCTTTTCCTACTGGTTCGATGGAGGCAGCTTGCTTGTTAAAAGAGACGGACTGTCGTTCACTTGTGTCATGGCCTCTTATTCTGCGTCTTTGCCATTTCGTCCACGTTACGCTTCGTCTCTCGTTTAGCTTGAATCAGCCCAAGCCATTGGGGACAAGAATCTTCAGTGAAGACCTGCCCAGCTCCTTCCCCTCCCGCTCGTCACTCGTTCTTCTCGCGCGCAGCCTTCTATTACTTGAGCATTCGATACCCATTTCTTGTCCGAATCTGCATTTCTTGCTTCTATTTCCTCTTCGTCCTCGACCTATATCTACCGCAGCCATGGCCTACTCGTCCACCTACAAGCCCCGTCCGTTCACCGACGTCTTCACAGGCGACACCGACATCAACCGTCGCAAGACTGGGCGCACCGTGCCCATGAAGGTCCTAATCCTTGGCCTCGGCCGCACTGGCACCGCCTGTTAGTGCCCCCTCTTGCCGGGACTTTCCTGCGATACCCTAGCTGACAACTAACACCTCGCAGCCATGCGCGCCGCCATGAAGCAGCTCGGCTACGTCGACACCTACCACATGATGAACTGCTCCATCGAGAACCCGCCCGACGCCCTCATGTGGATGGACGCCCTGTGCGCCAAGTACGACGGCCAGGGCGCCAAGTTTACGCGTGACGACTGGGACCAGCTGCTGGGAAACGCGCAGGCCGTGTGCGACTGGCCGGCCATTGCGTTCGCGCGCGAGCTCATCGAGGCGTATCCCGAGGCGAAAGTGGTGCTCACGAACCGCGATGTCGACTCGTGGCACGCATCCACCATGAAGACGGTCTACTGGCGAGTCACCGACCCGGAGCTGCGTTGGCTCTCGCGCTTCGACTGGGCCGCCGGCATGTACTACCCGATGCTAAAGAAGTTCTTTGATACGTTCTTCGAGGGCGATTTTCCGGCTCGAGGCAAGGACGTGTTCCGTCGACACTATGCAGAAGTGCGCAGCCTGGTACCAAAGGAGCGCCTCCTCGAGTACCGCGTCACGGACGGATGGGAGCCTCTGTGCGAGTTCCTCGGCGAGCCAGTGCCGAAGGGATGCTCGTTTCCAAATGTCAACGACAATTCGGACTTTGTGACGCGCTCCCGCCGCAGGAACAGAAACCAGATGTACAATGTAGCGCTACGGTATCTGTTGTGGACGGTGGTTGTGCTGCTCCTGTTTGTCGCCCTGCGGCGGATGCTGGCCATGTGGCAGCTCATCTAGGGAGGTGGAATTCGGGGATCCCTGATTGGCTGAAGCTTGGGGGTTCTTTTCACGGGTCTCTCCCGTGCCCGGGGCTCCGTCAGTGACTTAGTGCATATGCACGTTGCCGCGGGTGGTCTCCTTGAAGATGGCGAGGGATGGCCACTGCATCCGGTATGTACGTTGGCAGCTGTATATTTCGCCGACAGTAGACTATCGCTAGGGCAGGTTCGTGTCGCAAAGGCGTTTAGCATCAAAGCTGTGTTTTCGAGTCTCTTACTTGCATTCGCGTAATAAGGCAATAGCACTGTTGTGATATGGCGGCGTCCATCACAGCAGCGCCTAGCATCACCAACATACCCAGCCGGTACATTGCCGCGCAAACATTGTAAGACAAGGCCGCAAGGCAACTATACTATATTGGCGGCTACATTCGTCCCTTCGACGTTCATCTAAGCGTCTGATGTCGGCTGGCCCACCTTAGTTTCGGTCAGATTCCGTTTGCTGCTGCGCTCCCGCCACCCGCCGTGTTGCCGTTTCGGGAGGGCGTGCGCCATGTGGTTGGACGGCCCGACAAGGCAGCAGAGCCTCACCGGCTAGGGCTGTAAGTTGACCCCAGGGGGCCAAAGGATCACGAGATAGGCGTCTCGATACTGGGGATGCCGTCAATAGGTCTCGCGTCGTAGAGCTGCCGGTACAGAGGCATTCGAGTTGAGCTACGGCGTGCTCTGGAAGCTGTTGATGTGCTCACCGGCGCTCTTGGTGTCTATCTAGGCCGGGTATCCGTTGGTTGTGGCCCCTGAAGATGGCAGCGGGAGATCCTGAGCGCACGTGTCAGGGGCAGTGTGGCCTCCTCCGTTTGCACCACGCAGCTGGCGACAGGTGCGTGGCTCCCGTAATGAGCTGCTCAAGCGAGTCCGACGTGTCAACAGCTTTCGCACCTAGACCTTGACCCTCCCACCTACCTCTCTTCGGGCGTCCTCATCACCTCTCCTTGTCACCTCTGCCCACCACCCTCTGCCCATCACCACCATCATCATCCACCATCGTTCATCACCGTGAGCGTCCAACAATGGCATCGGCACCTGCGAACGCTCCGGGCAGTGGCGGCGTCGCCGTTCCTCCCACAGCTCCTATCCCCCAGATCCCACCCATCGAGGACATCGTTGCCGCTCCTGGAGGCGACGTGGTTCTCGTTGTGGGTAGAGAACGCGTCAAGATCCAGGTCCTGGCGGTCGTCCTCAAGAACTCGTCACGCGTCTTCGCAGCCATGTTCCGCCCCGAGTTCGCGGAAGGTCATGCCCTCTATCTCAACCAGGGTTCCAACGAGCCCATCGAAATCGAACTCCCGGAGGACGACCCACTCGCCCTTGGGACACTGTGCAAATTAGTCCATTGCACAGTTGACGCTGGCAGATACCCCGGCAGCGGGAAGAAGCTGCTTGGGGTGGCCAAGGCCGCGGACAAGTACGACTTGATCACCAGACTGGCCTTTCCGTCGAACCAGTGGTTCTGCGAGCTTAAGAGATCTCGCGACCCGGCTCAGATCCTGGCAGGTCTCATGGCGGCCCATATTTTGGGGCACAAGCCTGGTTTCGCCCTCCTGAGCCGCTGGCTTATGTTCTGCCATGGCGGTTCGTGGGGTGGCCTGATGAGCGCTCTGCCGGGCGTCGACAAGATTGCGTATGAGCTTATTGGTACGTGCCTATGAGTGTTCGTTGAGTGGATCTGTGCAGTGACAGTGCTGACAGCTTCAATGTCTAGTGGCGGTCGAAGAAGCCCGCGCACAGATCAACGCGGCCATGATTGAGCGTATCAACAGGTTCACCATGGCGGCCTGCATGGTTCCGGGAAACTGCAGCTGCCCTCTGGAGAAGCCAGAGTTGGTCCGAAAGTGGTTTACGATGATCAACACCAAGCAGCCGACGTTGAACGTCGTCAAGCTGCAGTCGCTCAGCATCAGTGAGCTCATCAGCGACATACACAATCTCTCGCATTTGCAGTCAGCTCAGCTTACTGGCGTCCGCCACGAGTGCGGCAAAAACCTGAAGCCGCTGGTTCCAGACGCCGTGCCCGCCTACCTCAACCAGAAGCTGGCGGCTTTTAAGGGTCTTTGCATACTCTGCTTCGACCGGAAGAAGAGGTATGACGGAAGGGTCGGAGGTTGCGCGGGGGCTCATGAACGTGTGTGACCCGGGTAGGATGCGGAACACTAAGAGTTTTCGGAGGGGGTCGTGGTGAGGCCAGGGCACCGGCGAAACGGGAACAGACGGCGGGATATCATGAACATGGCAGATCTGGGGACGAGGTGCCTCCCGTAAGTTTGGAACAGGGATCCGTCGACACTCGGAAAGGACGCTCTGGCTGGGGAGATTCCGCAGGTAGCGAGGCGTTAAGGATTTGTTGCCGTCAATGGCACGGCCAATGTTTGAGATAGCAAGGGGTACATGTAATCAAGATTGACAACATCCGTGGCACTGACCTGACTTCTTGACATGCGTGCAGAGGGCATTCGATGCCTGTTACAGTAGAGTTGACAGCGTCTTGGCAGACATCCAGCTGCCCCTACCGTCCCATTACCGAGCAGTCGCTCACTGAGAGTGGCTGGAGACTTCCACTAACCACGTGCAGTGCGCGTGCGCTTGGCCCCAGCCAACACCGTTGACACAACATGACCATGTCAAAGGGCTGCCCGTTTGTCGAGGCTTTACCGCATGGCCATGGTGTTCAGACGCCCCTCGCACGTACTACCGAAGCCCTCTGAAAGGTCTGGCTGCCACCAAATCCCTAACCCACCTTCAGCGTTTACAGCTCTACGAGCAGATGACCGGAGCCAACAGAGCTGTATTGAACGCGATCCGATCTCCTACCATGTCTACAGCGCCCGGCGGTCATCGATCGCAGCAGCCTTCGCATTGCTTCGACGAGCTGGTCTTGCAGGGCCTGGCTGCGGCTCGCACCGAGGTCCGTTCTAGGCACAGCTTGGCACCGAAGCATTGACAGCTAAATAGAGCTTTATCTCACGACAATCCAGGCCCCTGCGGCTCCCACATCGTACGATCAACGCATGGCAAAGTAAATACTGCGTGAAGACGACCACCAAATGGCCAAGTCTACCGAGCGCGAGCGGCTAAAACGACACGGAGGCGGCGGACGGTACTGCCCTGATCCGTTGGACACGAAACGGGTCCCTACCATACCGGTTTTCGAGCGATACGACGACGAGTATATATTCAGATGGTCGCCTAGGCTCTTGCATTGACGGGCAATTCAACACTGCTTGGCCCGACCATGCGAAGCTCACGTGTGAGAGACGCCAGCTCGCACCCATGTCAAAGGAGACCAAAATATTGGCCTTGGCAACTATGTAGCACAACGACGGCACGTCATACCTTATGCGCAGACTCTGATCATTCGGTTGCATGACTTGCCATCGGCTGTTTCTGCTTCTTCAGCTCTTGGCTCCAGAAAGCTACCATAGTGCAAGACGATCGACTACCGCGTCGGTCCCTGGTGGCATCTACATCGTCCGCTATACAAACCACTGGTATAAAGATCCATACGTTCGATGCACCTCTCCTTCTCTGAAACATTACTGTCTCATCCACATTGGACTGACTTGGATCAGGCGTTCTACTTTTCTGTCCAACTCAAGTCACCACAAGTGACGCCCCCTGCCCGCGTCTCCGCCACGCGCAAGCCATGCTGGGACAAGGAGCACTTCTCCTGGCGCTCGGAGCCACTGGCGCCGTCGGACAGGGGCTTATGTGGCTCAATTCGACGGATACGTACGGTTGCGCCGAGCACAACGCGCCCGAGGCGAGGTGCGGCAGTCAACTATACTGCGAAGCGTACGTTAGGGACACAAACGGAGAAGCGCTGTACCCCGACAACGACAAGGCATACGACAGCCGAGCGGCGTGCTATCTGGATCGGGGTCGAGCCTGGCGACTGTTGGACCCTTGCCTCACGGAGCGCGATAAGCGGCTCGGTTGTATGCCGCTGGAGCCTTGGCGCCGACCTGATGTCACCTGCACGAAAGCTCAATGCGACCCGAACAACGGAATCATCAAAAACTATCACCGCGTCTGTGGCACCGAGAATTACTGTGCCCTCTTCAACCGAGACGATGTTCGCAAAAACCCAGACACTCCGTTCAGTGGCACGATCGACTGTCTCATTCATCATGAGGACAATGAGGGCAGGCATACATTGCAACGAGGCGATAGGCAGTTCCTGCGAAGTTCTTGTTCCTACAGGTTTGATGTCACCAACGAGTTCTTGGTCGGAACGATCAAGTACTGTGCCGGCTTTTCGCATCCTTTCTATCCTCTGAACAGCAGGATCAGGCGCATGGAGCAATATCCGAACGAAAGAGCTTGTCTTCTGGATCGCGTTGCCCCGGGAGACTCGGATTCGAATGACGGGTGCCTTCCCCAGGGCATCAGGAAGAACGACAACGCATGCGAGAATGATCCGGAGTGGACGCTGGCAAAGCTCGAGGAGACCAAGCCTCCTCAGCGTCAATGGTATACAGGGCCGACATGTTACATGTACGAGGGACAACGCATTTGCCGGTAAGGCTATATGCCTAGTCTGTCAGGGGAAAGGAATATGGACTAGGAAGGTAAGGGGTCAGACTTTGAAGAGGGGAGAGCTACTATCGAAGTATGCCTTGAGACTCTTGGTGGATATGCCTAGTATCGCTGCTCTTCTCCCTCATGGCTCGCTCCAACACCTACATCCACCTCATAGAACTACAGCCTCGCTAATAGTTGACCCGACTATTCCGTTCTCTACTGAGAGCATATGCAGCGATGCAAATCTATGTTCACTTTCCATTTTCTAACTATCAGGATGTTTAACGCGGCGGCAGCGGAGAGCCATCGCGCAAGGCATTTCCCAGGCCCACGGGCTGCGCCAGCAACTGGAGGCATCACGGCTTTCGACGACGCAATGGTGCCTCTTTCGGCAGCCTTGGCGCTTGGTATTGGTGGGGTCTGTGGCATACAGTTGGCAGAGCATAAGACAGGGTGCAAATTTTGCCATACTGGCGATCGCAGTCCCAGAAAAGTACAAGCATGGTAGAGGTTTAGATACGGTTTAATCGACGCAGGCCTCGATCATCTCCTGTCGACCCAAGAATGTCGTCCGCAATGTCTCCTCCAAGATCTGTTGCGTGAGAGCCTCCGAAAGACGCTCCGTTGCGAGCGCCACCGAAAGTCGCACAACGTTCTTTATCTCTCTTCCGTTCATCACATACTCGCCCAGCTTCGCGACATCGACGTCAGTGCCCCGGGGTAAAGAAGTGCGCCCCAACAGTGTCTCCCAGATCTGCACGCGTGCGTTGAAGGACAGCGGTTCGTAGCGTAGTGCAACCGTCACTCGACTCTCGACAGCGGGATCCAGCGCTCGCACCCGATTTGTTGTGAGGAACAAGATGCCAGGGTGGTACTCCAAAAGTCGCAACATGACGCAGACCATGGCGTTGCGGGTCAGGTCCGAGCTCGTCCGTTTCTCGACAAAGATGTCTGCCTCATCCAGCAGCACGAGGGCATTCCATTCGGAACACAGTTCCAACACTTCGCCAAGGCGATGTTCCAAGCTTTGTGCTGTCGCTCCGAGTTCTCCCATTGTGACAATGTAGAGGGGCAGATGGAGGAGTTCAGCAATTGCCTCGGCTGTCAGAGTCTTTCCCACTCCAGGAGGTCCATGTAGTAGAAATATGCTGCTCCCGGACTTTCCACCCACGAGATCGTCCACTCCTGAGCTGGCTCCGAAGCGAACCAATGCGCGAATTAGCTGCTTCCGCTCCTCGGCGAGGACGAGATTCTCAAACGCTTCATCCCGGAATATGACAGTCTCGAGACCCTCGACGAGGACCTGGCCCCAGGCTTTGGCGGTGAAACTGAAGCCAGCCAGCGCAGGCCAACAATACAAAGCCATTTCGGACGGCACGGTGTCCCAAATACTCAAAGTGTCTGGAACTGGTGCACTCTTCGTTGTTTTGCGGTTCTGCCATCGCTTGTGCAGTCCAGTGACATTGGACAAGGCAAGAGTCGGTTCGTCGGCGCCCGTGGCTGCTTGGTAGCCCATATTGGAGGCGCGAGCCACGTCTATCATGATTCGGCCCCCTGATGGCAACTGGCTGCTGCGGGGCTTGGCAAGTGTGCTGTTGCTCTGGCCACCGAATGAGCTTGTCTTGTGGATGAAGAACGTGTGTGGCGCGTATGCCAGAAACTTGGCACCGCCAACGCCGTACCGCGCGTACATCTCTCCCCGATTCTGGAGATCCTGGTGTGTGACCGGATCGACGGGTAAGTACGCAAGGCTGGAAAGAGGCCGAGCGCGAACGCCGGTCCAGCTGCTGAGGACTTCCGTGAAGCTGACCAACGTGAAGTGGTCTCCCATTGATGCCACGAACTGCATGCTAACGTGGAAAGTCTTTTGCATGCCGAGGAGGGCCCGATGTTCTTCGTAATAATAGTCGGTAACGAGAAGAGCCGCTGCCGCTCCGCCTAAAGCGGTTGTCGTTTGGAAAGTTGTTCCAGGCTGATACAACTCGCCTAGGCCCTCAAAGGTTATCAACCCACCCTCGATGAACCGACGGGCACTGCCTATTTCGTCGTCGTAGAGAGCCTCGAGCTCCTGAATGAGCTCGCGCAACCCGACAATCGACAGCGGCCCATCGTCTCTGGCCTGGAAGCCAAACCCAGACAGCTGTTCCAACGTTCGCGGCCGCCAATACTGCAAGAACATTGGCGGCCGTGTGACGACGCCTTCGTTATAGCGCTCAATGGCATGGAGGAGGCATCGTAATCTGCCCAGGATCATGTACAGTTGTTGGGCAGGTACAATGCGCTGATTCGGTGCGGAAATGTAGTTGGATACGATGGTCCTGAGAGGAATGGAGCCAGCCAATTCCGTGGGCTTCGGGAACTCGAAGACCGTGTCATCTTTGGTCGTGCCTTTTCGTTCAAACGGTCGACTGTCCGTCTTCTCCAGTTCTGAGCCATGGTGATGCATTGCGGACGGTTGCCAAGCTAGTCGTAAATATTCCGACCGTAGATTCCAAGCGAGGTGTTATCATGACATCGAACATCTTCCTCATCAGTCTTAAATGATTTGGCATGTAATTATTGCTCCATCCCTTTGTGGTAATAATCGGGCGACGGAAGGCAGCAACGTTGAACGAGCGGGTTGTGGGCCGCAGCGACAGGCTAAAGTCTTGCTGACGACTCCGCATGCACTAAAAGTAGGAGTTTGGCACACGCAATCAAGCTGTCAACCGCAGAATTACGAGTATGGGAGGGCCTGATCTAGCTGGAATACGTTGGGCTCCCTGCTGCCTTGAAATAAAGGGACACCGTTCGGATGCCCCGAGCACCCCGGAAGGCCGAGCAGCTTTGGTCCAAGACGCTCAAGTCAGAGCGCAAGACTTGGGAACAGAGATATAATTGTCGCTGCCTGGGCCGTCAAGGATGGGTCTGGTCTGGGTCAAAAGGGAGTGGACCTCGTGCTTGCAGCGGTTGGAGAGAGACCTTCGGCGACGAGCGCAGACGGCGCCGACCGGACGCGTCGTGGCTTGGTGGATATAAGCTAGTTTTAGTTGTCTGCTGGTACATACGACCATACCTACTAGAAAGCACGGGATCCCGTCCGCTCTCCCATAGTTAAGCTGGTAAGGGGCAGATTAGTAGTTGGGTCGGTGACGACCAGCGAACACCGGCTGTTGTATGTTTTTGCCGTGCGCGACAATTTTTTGGTTTCTTCTGGGGTGTATGATGAAGCCGCCATAACATGTTTTGCCTCAACAAGCAAGCACATACGACCATAGCCATAAGAAAATTCGGGATCCCGTCCGCTCTCCCATAGACAAGCTTATGAGCGGCAGATCAGTAGTTGGGTCGGTGACGACCAGCGAACACCGGCTGTTGTATGTTTTTTGGCAATCTTTTTGCTCTCATTTCATGATCGCGTGAAGTTGAGGCGCTCTGCACTTTTGCTGTACTGGTGGGATTGAAGTGTCGTTGCGCGGTCGGCCCCCAACCTGCGACCCCTTATGCGACCCGGTGGATGACAGTAGGGCAGTCAAAGGGTCGTAGGCACGCACGCCTGATTCTCGGCTGAAGGACATTCATTTGGCCCGCCAACATGGCTGAAATGTTGGTGCCAGGCGGAACAGCACAGTTCTGAGACATCGCCGTGTGCCCTTGCGAGAGGCTTTGGCGCAACCGAGTCAAGCGGGTATACGCGCCGAGTGTTACTTGGTCAGCGGGCAGACCGGCGGGCGCCTCTGTTAACCCACTACACCAAATCTAATGCACAACTGTCTTACGCTTTTGAGGTGGCCAGAACAAAACGCATAGCAAGCGAGAGCCTGAACCAGACATAGTGGCTCAGCTTGATCCGCACAGGCTACGCGCCTAACAATATTCAGGGCGATCCGGGAGTACGATATGTCGCCAACAACGGTGGATAATCTTTGTGTTGTGGCACATCGTGGGCAAAAGACGGCAGTTATTAGAGAACCGAAAGTGAAAACGCAGGTACCGGTCAAAAGCGGACACTCTATGGTAGTCTGAGGCTTATAGGCATGTCAGGAGTCTCACAAGGCCCTCGTAAGAAGCGTCGTCACAACGTACAATAAGGCATTTTATCATCGAGTCCGTCTTCTGCAATCGTTGCATGTTCTCTTTGCCGTGGATGGACAACAGAGGACGGTCGCACTCTTTTGCTTGACTCTGAAGCTGAATGGACGGGAAATGTGCCATTACGGAAGTGGGCAATGTCACCATCTACTAAACATAATCATTTGCCTATCCCAGCCAGGTCTAAGAAGGCAAGGATGCTTCTCACTGCCTATTTGTCTCCCTCCACAGAGTTTTCCAAGGGTGCATCTATCCAACCCTCAGTAAAGCCACCACCGAAGTCAATCAGCCAAGCATCGTCTTCTTCATCGATAATGATATTGCTTGCTTTCCCATCGCCCCAGATAAGCCCCTTTGAATGCATTAATTCGACTGCCTCACAGACCTGCGATGCCTATTTCTGCCTTTTTTCCCTCGATATGCTTAAGATATCGTAGTCCCCGAGATGCTATCTAGGCACCTATTGCCTGAGGAACCCGACGATACGGCCTGTATCATATTGCCGAGCGTAGCCCATAAGTTGCGGAGTACGAACCTGGTTGTCGAGGGCTGACGGCTAGATGCTTTGAATGGTCTGCAAGGATGCAAGTTCGCGGCTAACACTGGAATCCATGAACCTGGTGGCACCTTGTGGACCTTGCAGAACATTCTTGTGCTGTCAACTTGGACTAAGGCGGCGGTGTAACCTGCGCCTTGCACGTATAGTTCCTGGACAAGTATTTTACTGGTCGAATGCACCGGCAGGGTAGTACCAGGATAGAAGTCCTCTTCAAAAGAGCCCGTCGCGGTCAAGGAAGGATGACGTGTATTCTTCTTCGGGATCGATTCGCACAATGGTAGCGTTGTCATCCACTGTTTCTAATCGGAACACGTGAGTTGGCGGGAAGACAAGAGAGTGTAAATCGATACCATCAGTCGAGGGCGTAGGTGCGGCTTCGCTGAAGATATGTGACCCTGCATCAAGTATTGTCTCAAGCACTTCATCGACGATGTCTTCGTATTCGTCATCGTCGGTGTCGGGTGACGTGGCGCGGGCCAAGAGATCGATGAGGCGATCCTCGAGGGATTGTTGCACCTGACCAGGTCTTGAGAGAGAAGGGAAAATCGAAACGTCCATTCGCTGACCGTTGAACTCGAAGACGATGTCGGCGCCGTCGCCGTCGCCAGCATGAACTTGGCGAACTACTATTTCGCCGGCATTGTCCATTGCAACCGGCTGCCACGTAGCGAGAGTCACCGCAGTTTGTCCCCGCAAACTGGGAGGAAGAAGGCTCTTGGTGTTTGGGGGGGG